CTCCCTCTTTGACGCTGTAAAACGGACTCTTCCCCTTTCTCTGTAACTGCCTTTGGATCTTTGGACTCATTGGCTGGTGAAACGACCACGACACGACCCGGTTTACTTTCTTTCGTTCTCTCGCTATTACTGCTTGCGCTCACGGTGCCCTTCGCTGTCGCTCGACTCTGTGCTTGGAGCGATCGCTCGCTTTACGAAGGTCGACTTGCTGAGGGACGGGTTGTCTGCTGGGAGCTCGCGCAGTCCAAGGAGATGTCTATGTATCGTACACGATGCAAGGAGCGCGGTGGTCTACGTGCAGCCGCCGGCCGCCCTCTCAATACTTCCCCTGCTCGAGGTCGGTTCCACCACTCGCCATCCGCTGACCTGGCGCATCCCGCATCTCGTACTCCTCCTTCGCAGTGTACGCGCCAGCCCACTTGCCCTTCTGCATCTTCTTCTCGACCTTGTCCTTCCACGCTCCCTCGTTGATGTCGAACATCCGCTCGAGGTCGAAGCCGAAGTACAAGACGACGAGGACGACTTCGGGGACGCATGAGAAGACGTAGAAGCCGGCTTTTGCGCCGTGCGAGACGAGCGAGACGGGGTGGAGCGTGATGATGAGCTTGTAGACTGAGGGAACGATCTGAGGGAGAGCCTGCGTCAGAAAGAGCGAGAAGACGGCAAGAGCGAGAGGGAACGCACCAAGCACGCCGCGCAGCCGATGAGGAAGTAGACCGGAGCCATCGGAAGCCCATTCTTCCCCGACACGACGATTGCGATGATGGGCGAGAGAATGGAGATGAAGAGCGTGATGCCGATGATTCCGTAGCTGCGAGGCAAGCGGGTCAGCTCAGAACAGAAGGCAGAAAGCTCGACGAGACGTACCGGTAGTGCTTGAGCGAATCGACCTTGGTCGGGTCCGTCATAGCGGCGCTCGTCTGGGAACCCGACTGGACCGCCGACAAGTCAGCTCTTTCAGTCTCGCCAAACGCGACGATCCCCACTCACAACGCATCCGAGAGCGATGGCGGCGAACAAGGCGATTCGAAGGAGGATAAGGAGGCGATTGAGCGTCGTCTTGCGCTCCTTCGGTCCGTCCGCGGGCGAGGGCGTCCAGTACCGGCGGACGTGGAAGCGGAGGAGCGAGATGAGCGGCTCGCAGAGGGGGATGAGGCCAATCAGCAAGAGGACCTGCGGGGGCAAGGGTCAGAAGAGGAAGCGCGAGAGAGGATGAGCCCACTCACCTGCTCCGCAATGAACAGGCCTGTCGCGTAGTTGCCGTTCGCTTCGAGCGCTCGAATGATGAACGTGGCGATGCGAATCACGATCACAACAGCCGGGCGGATGAGGATGGCATCGCGAGTGCGGCGGACAGCGAAGCGCCAGACGGGGAGAGGGGTGAGGAGCGCCCAGACGACGAGGAAGATGACGGAGCTGAGTCGCATCGAAGGTCAGTCTGGTCTGAGCAGTGAAAGGAGCGCAAGGAACGCACGCTGCGAGGTCAGGGTTCTTGAGAGGAACTCCGCCAACGAGGCTGAATCCAGTGGGAAGGGCTTGGGAGAGGGCGGCAGACATGGCGGTGGTCGCTTGTGTAGGTGAGAAGGCAAGCAGGAGAGAGCTCGACGCCTCAGATAAGCCTGTTCGCTCGCTCCATTACTCGCTTCGAGCGCGAGCGAACAACGCTCCGAGACATGGCGAGCAGGCGAACGAGCGCGCGAACCACCGTGGGAGCGGGCGTGGGGTGTACAGGCGGTCCATTGAAGGCATCAGAAATAGCGTCACAGTTATTTCGGGCGGTGGCAAGGTCGTGAGCGTGCGTTCGTCGAAGCAGGCGACGAGGAGGAGAAGGGGAGGGCTTCGACAGCGACCACCGCCGTCTGAGCGCTGCTTGACTGGCTGAGCGTGTTCTGCGAGCTCATCAGACTGCTTCACGCCTTGCACCGCTGTCCGCTTCGTCCCGTCTCCCCGTTCGCCCTCCCTCAACACCTCGAAGCGATGGCGACTCCTCAACCCGACACACGCGCAGCGCAGCCAGTGCAGCCTGCAGAGCCTGTCCTGACGTCGAAATGGAGACGCGTCGAAGCCATGCCGGCGCGCGAGATGCTCGTCAAGCTCGAGACGGATGAGGGAGAGGGCCCGGACGACTGGGAGGAGGATGAGGTGGGCTCATCCACTCTCGTTGGGGCTTTCAGGACGCTGAACGTCTCGACTGACGTACTCTCCGTGGTCTGGCAGGTCGAGTACGTCACCCTCGAGTCTGGGAACCACCTTCCCGCCGACCTCCTCGCGGAACACAACGAGGCCAGCGTTTGGCTGCCAGCTGCTCGTGCTTTCTCGCTTCCTTCTGCTCCATGAGCGCTAGAGATTCGCTCTCGCGTGGCTTCAGCTGCCCCGCGCTCGTCGGGCTTCGCAGCAGAAAAGCATGCGCCTGTTCGCCTGTTCATGACTTTTGCGGCACCGTCTCTCGCACACCGGTTCTCCCGCCGTGCGACAGCCCTACTGCCTCGCTTGGCGCACCCGGCTCCATCTGATCCCAGCTCTGCCTCCTTGTCCTGCCGATGCGCCTAGGGAAGGCGGCTGAGGGTCCTCCGCTGGGCTGGGAGGCAGCGGAGACCTTCGAGGCGACACTGACCGTGCGGCTGCCGTCTGCATAGCCTTATGCATACACAGCGCAAGTTGGCCATGTGTGGCTAGACCCGTACATGCTGTCACGACCCGCGGCGGACGAAGGCAGTCACCCGCAGCTCGCTGTTGGCTTTCTGTACTCGCCCGCCACCTCTCCTCTAGCTGCGCAGCGCAAGGGCCTGACGAGCCGAATGCATTGTCAAACGCCTTTTCAAGCAGTCTGCCGCCGCACAAGAAGCGAGAGAGCGGGTTGTCGACGTCTCGTTCTCTCGTTCGACTCCTCCTCGCCCGCTCGTCTCGCTTCGTCGCGCTCCGTTGGCGCAAGCACACTCGCTCGTGCTCCTGCACGCCTGTCTTACGCTTCCCGTCCTCTCGTTCTCAGACTCGCCTCACAACACGTCCCGCCGCGACTGATCGCGTCCCGGTCGCCCACCCTCTCGCTCGCTAGCCCCGCTTCCACACGCCCGCTGCGATGCCCAAGCACAAGGGCTACGCATCAGACGACTCAGAGCCAGACACGTACAACCCTTACTCGGACGACGAGGCGCCGAGCGCGGGTCGAGGAGCAGGCCCTGATGAGGATCTCGAGTCGGGATGGAGCGATGGCGGCGCACCGATGACGGCCCAGCAGCGGTGTGTACCACCCTTTTGCTCAGTTGAGACGGTCTGCTGACCCCTCGAGCGACTAGGAAACGAGCGGCGATGCACCCGCCCATCTCGTCCATCTGCGCCGCTCTCGGAGGGTTTGAAGAGTTCCTCGATGAGAACGGACAGGTCTACACCGCGTACTCGCTCGGTGATCAGGTCGTCGGTGCGCTGGCGTCCTTACCAAGCCTTGCGAACGCGACGATGGACTGACTCTCCTCGACTTGTCATGCGAACAGGATGTCTGAAGGACTTGAAGCGGTTCTGGCGTATGGACGAGAAGGACGACGACAGAACTGTTGCGCGCATCTTTCACGAGATTGGCGTACTCAAGACCGACTTGATTCCCATCCTCAAGACGACTCTGGGATCAGGTGCGAAGGGAGACCGTATCGCCCTCGCTTGCGGTTCGTCCTCGTCTTCCAATTGTATCTAGACGAGCTTACTGACATTGTCGCCACGCGCGCAGTCGAGCTGATCGGCGCCATGACCTGGCCGATCAACGTCGCGGAAGAACTTCGCGACGCCCAGCTGCTCGGGGAGCTGAAGCAGTCGCGCGACTTTACGACGCTCATCGACGCTCAACGAGGCTACAAGGCGTCCATCATCAAGGAGGGAGTGCTGAGGCACATGATGAGCATCTTGGCGGGCTCGTTGCAAAAGGGCAGGCGGTACGTCGGGACGCTGAGATACTTCCTGACCGCGCTGACCTTTCTTCCGCAGGGATCGCACGCAGAAAGACGAGAACATCATCTCGCTCATCCTCCATGTCTTCCGCAACCTCGCCTACCTGACCGACCGCTCTACGCCCGCCTCTTCCGCCTCCGCCTCAGCAATCGAGCAATCCTCCCTCCAGTCCGACCTGATCGCCTCCTTCTCGCGCGAAGGGATCCTCGACCTCTTGCTCGCCATGTCCGCGCACGCCGACTCGTCCGACTACGCGCCTTGGAACATGGTCGTCCTGGATATCCTGCACCTCCTGTACAGGGGTGTGAGGGCGGACGAATTGATGGTTCCGGAGAAGGAGGTTGAGAACACGCGGCTGAGGGAGTTGCTTGATCTGGAGCAAAAGCAGGGAGGGAGGGAGTTTGCGCTCAAGGGGTCGAGGCATTCGAGGTTCGGCACGACCATCGCGGTGCAGTCGGTGCGTCCGATGTCTTCCCTGTCCTCATCGCTCTCTGTTGACAGCGCGAGCGTCGCAGAACGGCCGGAAGTATATCCTTCACAAGCAGTCGACGCTCTCGGAAGGTCCCTCGGCGACGCTGGACAAGATCAAGCGCGCCAAGGCGAAGAAAGTCCGCATCGATGACGACCTTGCTCCGCCTGCGACGCAGCTTCGACCTGAAGCTGTGCGGATCCTGTACGAGACGTCAAGGAAGTTTGTCGAGTCGGCCTTCAACCGTACGTCGCTTCGCCTCTCGCTCCTTGACGGGTACTCACCAGTCTCTCCCTGCGGCAACAGCCTTCTTCGCATCGGTCCTGCGCGACATCCGCATGGAGCGCCTCAAAGTCCGCGAATCCGACACCCTCCGCTTCCTCTACCTCTGCTCCTTCTTCCTCGAGTTCTTCCTCCTTCTCTACCGCGACGACGAGCGAAGAGGGATCTCGCATCTCGATGAGGAGAACGGACATGACTTTGGGCTTGTGGCGGAGTTGACGGAGCCGCATGCGATTGGGTTTGTCACGAAGCGGATGAAGAATGCGCTCGAGGAGAAGGTGTGTGGCGAGCCTTTTTCTCAATCTCGGTTAGTGATGTCGCCTCGCTGGTATTGAACCGTCTGCTTGTCGCGCAGCCGCCGCTCTGGACCGACTTGCATGCGGGCGTAGAATGCTTTACGCAGATCGTTCGTCCTCCTGTATTTCCCTCCGTCTATGTCACCCGCTGACCCCATCCCGCAGCTCCTCGTCATCGAAGCCCTCCAAGCCTCCGGCATCCCCGAGCACATCGATGTCGCCGAAATCCTCCAGAACAAGCTCTACTACGAGGCCGAGACGCTCGAGATGGTCGTCACGCTCATCACGCGGTACAGCTCGCAAAGCTATAAGTGCGTCGGGATTCCTCTCGCTGTCACCTCTTGATTCGAGGACGGAAAGCTTACAAGTCTCGACGAACACAGGTACCTCGACTCGGTCATGCACCTCGCCTACACGCTTCTTCGAATGCTCGAGAAGTACTCGAAGTCGAAGGCGTACATGTACGTGAGGAAGAAGAAAGCCGGACGAGCGGCGGCGAAGAAGAAGCGGCAAAAGAGTGCGTATCCTTTCGTGGTCCGTTATAACGGCCCCGGTGGAGCAGCTCCTGACTGGTGTTACGTGGAACGGGTGCAGATAAGGCGGCTGACGAGAACGAGGGAGACGGTCTCGGCATGGGCGAGGAGGAGGACGAGGAGCAGGAGGAAGTCGAGCAGTCAGCCGTCACCTTCGGCGAGCACGCATTCCAGTTCGAGAAGTTTGAGCAGGTGCGTGTCGGTGGATCCTCCGTCCATCGCAAAGCGCAGCTAACCTGAGCTATCTCTTCGCAGCGCTTCGCCGACGAATCCGTCCTCTCGACCTGCATGATCTACCTCGAGTCGTACAAGACGTTCCGCACGCCTGAGCAGATGAAGCGCATCGTCGCGCTCATGCATCGGCAAGCCATCAAGGCCAAGTCGGAGGGTCTCTTCTACAAGGTGAGCGGTCAAGTGACGGGTCAATAGAGTGGTTCGGCGACTGATGTGCTGTCACTGCAGCCTACCGTCCTCGAGCTCTTCCGACGGATCATGGAAGACCGCGACATTGCCGACGCTCGCGAAGGACCCAATGCCGACCTGCGCAAGCTGATCGAGTATGTCCTCCGCAAGTTCTTCAAGGCGGTCCAGGAGCATCCGTTCCTACTTCTCGAGGTGCGTCGTCCCGCTCTCGCCCACAGCCAAGGCGAAGACCTCACAGAACCTTCCGCAGTGCTTCTTCCCCAAGACGCGGACGCAACTCGGCAAGATGCGCATGGGCGAGGTCGACCCATTTGCCGACAGCGACGACGACACGCTCATGTACAAGGTGCATTTCTACCCTTGCTGCCTCGCGCGTCTCACAAGCTGACAAAGCTGCTGCAACAGGCGAAGAAGATCGGCGAGGTCGAAGTCCAGCCCGGCTTCTCCCACACGCAGCAGATCGGTATCGCCATCGCATGTCTGCTCGAAGGCGGCGAGCAGCGGCTTGTCGACATGGTCAAGAAGGTGCGCACGCGGTTTCTGCTGTCCTCCTGAGACTGCCTCCTGACTTTCGACGCATTCAACAGCAACTCGTCCTCGCCTCGGCAGCTCGTACGGAGATCATTCTCACGACCGATGGCCCGCCTAACGACGACGTTGCTATGCTCGGCGACGAGAACGAGACGGACGCTGCTCTTCGCGAAAAGGCTGCCCAGCTCAAGGGTCCCTCTGCCGAGGCTGTTGCGCTCTTCACGCCGCACAACGTCGAGTATGGCGAAGACGCCGAAGTCAAGGAGGCCGCGACGGTCAACCCGCACGTTAAGCTGTTGATGCGCTTGCTGAGCTGGGAGAGCAGCGAAGGTACGCTCGCTTCCCTGCGTCGCCTTCGCCGGTATTCACCGGTTCCCTGACAGCTCCCGAGTCCGGCGAGCTCGTCTGGTCGATTCCTGCGTCAATCCTCCCTTCCAAGCTCGACAGCGACCTCAAGATTATCGAAGACTTCGTCCTCGACCCGGTCGATCCGCAGAACGGCAAATCGGCCGCCGAACTTCTTCGTAAACAGCGCAGGAAGCCTGTGCGCCGTAAGCGTAAGATCGCCAGCGAGGACGAGATGGAGCTCGGGTCGGATGGCGAGCCCGTAGTCAAGGTCAAGCGGAAGCGGCAGAAGAAGCGCCAGGAGGAGGAGCAGGCCTACAAGAGTGCCCAATTCGTAAGTGCCGCCTCAGGCGCTGCTATCTCGTGCGAGAGCTGACGTGCAGCGCGCACAGATCAACGACTCTGACGACGAGGACGATCCCGACCGCGATGCAGCTTTCTTCGCCGCCGAAGCAGCCGTGAGTTCTGCTCCCTCTTGCTTGTGGCGAGAAGCGAGCGTTCGCTGATCGCCGCCTCCCCACAGTTACGTGCGAAGCTTGCGGCTGGTCAGGTGTCCGTTCACCTCGAGAACGGCAGCAAGAAGAGGAAGCAGCCGAAGGGCTCAGCTGCCGCGACCTCTTCTGTCCGCGCAACATCACCCGCGTCTTCGCCTCCGCCCGCTGCGCCGAAGAAAGGGAAGGGCAAGACCGGCGGCCGCAGCAAGAAGGCCAAGAAGACCAAGTTCGACTCCGAGATGGTCAGCGATCTCGAGGACGACGAGGAACTCGTCGGCGGGCTGCGCAAGGAGGCGGACAAGCAGTGCAATGGTGCCGACGAGGAGGAAAAGTCGGCAGGCCCGACTTCGCCTGCGTCGTCTTCGACCGTAGCATCGCGCAAGCGAGCGCCCTCCGCCTCGTCCGCAACTTCGTCTCCACCTGCCGTCCCAACGGCTACTGCCGACATTGCAGGCGATGAAGACGACGAAGAAGCTGTCGGTGCGACGCAGTACAAGAAGAAGCGCCGAATCGTGCTCGATTCGGACGACGAGTAGCGTGTTGCCTGCCACCTTTCCTTTCTTCCTCACCGTGTTGTCCTGTACTATGCACTGGCAGGCCTCTTCCGTATTGCTGTACCGCTCTCGCATCTTAAGCGTGCAATGCTCGTCGACTCTCTCTTCAAGGCGACTGAGCGAGTGCGTAAGCGTGATCCAGGTTGCAGGGGAGGAAGTGCAGTGTCCGTGAAGCGAAGGAATGCTAAGAGTGAGGACATGGGGTCGACGTGCAGCGCATTAGAAGTGAACGGTATGGACAAGGGAGAGTTGGGCGAGTACGCCTGGTACGAACGGATTGCGGCGGTCGCTCAAGAAGCCAGGATGATACGAGGCCGAGAAAGTGTCTGTTGAGAGTTCTAAGGCTGGCCGCCGTGGCTGAACCGGGGCGGCGCGGCGCCGGGCGGGAGATGTCCGCCGCTGCTTGACGAGTGGCCGGAGATCGAGCCTCCGCCGCTCGTGGTGCCCGAGTAGAACGAGTCGGCGGCTCCGAAGGACGGCTGAGTCGACTGCTGCGTGGACGGCCTCGAACGGTGCTGGCCGTTGACAGACGACGAGGGCGCGTTCGAGCTCTGCCTGCGGGAGTGACGCTGAACAACACGGACGCCGCCGCCGCCCGACGAGGGCACAGGACCGACGTCAGACAGCGAAACGCCGCGGCGAGACTGTGTCGACGGCGGATTGGCGAAGGGGTTGTTCGAGGCAAACGAGGCCGATGAAGCGGGAGGCGGCGAGGTGGAGGACGCGGACGGGGAGAGGGGGAGGCTGTCAGGCTCGGCGTGGAATCGCGCCGACGCCATGATAGGCGGAGACTGGTGGTGCAGGATCGGACGGTCCGCCTCATCTTCGTCGCCGTAGCCCGCCTGCTGGTGCGTCGGGTAGTCGACCGGCGAACGCGACAGCGCACCAGAGTGAGCCGGAGGCGGAGGGGAGATTGCGGAGGTAGGGTTGTCGAAGCTGGCCTGCGACGAAGCCGGGCTGATCGCCTGGGGAGCGAGAGGAGCGGGGAGAGAGAGCTCGGTTGGGTAGCGCGGGTGCGAGAAACCCTCCGACGTATCGACGCTCGACATGATCGAGTACCGGTTGCTGGCGGGCCTGCCGGGGGAGCTGCCGCGCGGACCGTCGCCGTACGACGAGTCGCGAGACTGGTTGGCCGATTTGTACCGCCGCTCGCGCTCCCAGTCGGCCCAGCGCTTCATGCTGATGTGGCTCGAGTCGAACTCGCCCTCCTTGTCGCCATGCCCTGCTCCTCCGGCCTTCTCGCCGGCGATCTTGCGCGTCTGTCCCCATGAGAAGTCGTCCATATGCAAGACTGTGGGCAGATCGATGGTCAGTGAAGCTCGGCGAAAACACTCGGAAGAAGTGCGGACGCACAGGCATAGGCAGGAAGAACAAAGTTCCAGACTGGAAGCGAGCAGAGCTGCGCGAGGCGAAGAAATTTCAGCTCGGTGACCGTGCGTACCGGCGACTTCGTCAACTCACGTAGATGAGCATCCAACCCAAGAAGCTCCAACGGCGCGAGGTGATCACGATGAGGATGGCGGGGATACCGAGAATAAGTGCGAGGAGGATGAGCGAGATGACGGGCTTGACGGTTCCGGGGATGATGGCGACAACGATGAGGTAGAGAGTGAAGGCGATGGCGGCGGGAAGGACGAGGGTACCCGCCAGCTCCATGAAGACTGCACGAACGAAAGTCAGCCAGCTGCTCGTCCACGCAATCGGAGAAGACCTCGCTACGCACTGACGAAGCGCATCGAGAAGCAGAAGACGCCGCAGAGGTCGGGAACAAGGATGAGCTCGAAGAGGTTGTGGACAGTCGAGTTGATCCACCTGCGGCGCTGCGAGAGGAGGACGGAGAAAGTGTCGGGGACGATCGTCTTGCAAACGGCTTGCGGGCAGAACATCATCTTGCGCCGCGGGAACGTGCGCAACATGAGCGTCGTGAGGTAGCGATCCTCGCCGAGAAGCAGGAGGTTCTTCTTGTGCAGGGTGTCCACGACGTTCTCCGAGTAGTGCTGGACGATGTCGGGGTTGGCGAGAATCGGAACCCAGTAACCGTCGCCACCCTTGGGCGCCTTGATGCGGTACATCGAGAAGCATCCGGGCAGACAGGTGACGCCGCCAAACATCGACTCGAAAGCCTTGGTCTGGTGGTGCGAGACGAAGTATTCGAAGACTGTGGGAGAGGGACGGTGTCAGCTACAGCTCAGCACGGAGATGAGCAAGCGATCGCACCCTGGATCATCGTTACCCACGAGTCGGACTTGTTGGCGATCTTGGTCTCGCCGCACAAGCCCATAATCTCCGGGTCGTGGACCATGCAGGCGACCATGCGCGAGACCGAGTCGGGGAAGACCTTGGTATCGGCGTCGACCATGAGCACCAGCTCGTAGCGGTCAGGGCTCACGCCCGTCGCGCGCCAGAGCGAGTTGAAGAACTCGTATTCGAACGTCGTCATACGCTCGTCGAACATGACCTTCTGGAGGAACGTCATGAGGACGATCTGCGAGTCGCGCTTGCCGCGGTTGCCCGGCTTGGGGTCGCGCTGCTCGGCGGGGTTGCCGACCTTGGCGACGAGGAGCATCGGGACGCGCTGCTGCTTCGACCGCTCGACCGTGTTGTCGTCGTACGAGTAGAAGCCGGCATACACCTTGGCCATGTTGTGGCGCTTGTGGCCATCGGCGATGGCGACGTACGAGTACGGCTCGACCTCGGCAGGCGGAACGACAAACTCCTTCATCATGCCGAGGACGATCTCGGGCGTCGTGAGCGAGTTACCCGAGCCCTTGACCATGCCGTCGGCGATGACGAGGATGACCTTGTGCGAGTTGGGGTAGTCGGTCGTCGAAAGCGAGTCGAGCGTCGTGCGCAGACCCTCGACTGACTCGGAGTAGGCGGTGACGAGAAGGATGGCGTGTGCGAGAGGGTAGTTGAACGGCTCGTAGTCGGGCGGAGGCTGTGGGACGACATCGGCGAGCGGGAACGGGCAAGCACCCATCGCGCCGTCCGCTGCCGAGCCGCGCGCGAGGCCGTCGAGCGTGAACGACGACATCGGGAGCGAGGTGGAGCTGCGCGACGCGCGAGGTCCGCCAGGCGAACCCGGAGGCGAATTGCGCATGCCGGCGCCGATCATGCCCTTCTTCGACAGCGACGGGAGGCTCGAATCGTTGCCGGCGGCCTTGAGGAGGTCGCCCTTGGAGAACCGACTCGTGGTCGGCAACATCGACTTCTTCTGCAGTTTGTTCGGCACGCTCGGGCGGTAGCGAGCGGGCGCGGGGCGGTAGATGTCGTCTGTCCAGTTCTCGATCTCGTTCGCGCGTGCTCGACGCTGCTCGTTCGTCTCCTCGGGGAACTTGCCGATCCTCCAAGAGAGGAACCAGCCGAAGAGGACGGCGAAGGCGAAGCGGATGAGGACGACGCCGATGATGACGACGAGCGAGACGTAGAGGACGACGTCCGACGCGACGCAGCCGAACGTGACCGAGTCGACAAAGCCGACGCGGATAACGTCGACGAGGCACTCTGCGACGTCGCGCTGGTTCGAGTTCACCATGAGCGAAGTGATGTCGCGGCCGCGGAAGGACGAGTTCGTGCCGGAGCGGAGCTCGTCGAAGATGGGCGGGTACGCGACCTGCGACTTGTCGAGCCAGTTGAGGAGGGAGAAGTCGAGTACGGCTCCGTCGTAGACGCCGAGGTTGCGTGACGTGTTCTTGAGGTCATCCCAGAGGAAGTAGACCTGTCCGAGGGCCTTGAGCTGGCTGAACTGGACGCGCGCGTCGCCTTGCGTGTGGCACTGCCATCCCTCGGCGTAGCCCGTCAAGTTGACGGTCGACGTGCCGTACTGGTCGTAGAGGTTGCAGGGGAAGTACCACCCCATCTCGTTCCCGTTGTGCGTGATGCCGGTCCCGGCGGCGGGCGTGATGACATTGAGGCACTTCTGGTTGACGTTCTGGAACAAGAAGGAGCCGTCCTTGCCGGCGGCAGCAAAGATGTCGTACAGCGGGTTCGAGCCCTCGCTGATACCGGCCGCGGCGGGATGCCTGAACGAGTCCATGTCGTAGTCGTAGCCGTGGAAGATCATCGAGCCGCCCTCGATCGAGCCGGCGCGGTACCGGAGCGCGGGCGTGCCGCAGACGGCTTGGGTGAAGCCGAAGGTGAGGAAACCGACGAAGGCCATGCAGAGCGCGATGACCGAGAGAAGACCGATCTTCTCGCGCCAGGCGTCCTGTCGCTCCTTCGTGCGGAAGCCTGCGCGTGCAGCGAGGGTCAGTCGAGTGTGCAGCTCGAGCAGGAAGGCCCACGTACCGAAGCATCGCAAGAGAGGGGCCGGGAAGCACGCCGTCAAGATCCTGCAGTAGATCATCCACGCTCCGAGCGGCTTCTTCGCCTCTTTCGCCCTCCTGCCACGATCATACGCTCCACCAGGCATCGCTCCGCCAGCTGTCCCGCGTTTCGGTCTCCGCAGCGTCTGGCCGCGCTTAAAGATATTGAGACCCGATTCGTTGACCATCCCTTCCTCTCGCGCGAGGATGCTCTTGCCTCGTCGAAGCGTCGTCGAGCCTGCGCCCGCTTCTGCTCCGTGCGAAGGATGCGCCGCAGCGGCTGCCGCGCCGCTGACTTCTGCCGGCCCAACGGGAACAGGCAAGCCAGCCTGCGCGTAGTGGCCCGTCCGCGAGACCGCCGCCGTACCCCGCCCTTCGGCCTCCATCATCGCCGCATGCTGGCGGTAGTTGTACAGGCGGTGGTTCTCGTCGACGCGTTCGCGGTCGGGACGGACGAGCGACTTCTTGCGTTTGAAGTCGGCGCCTGACCCGCCAACCGTCAGCGAGGTCATGCCTGGCGTTGCAGCGGCACCGTGCGCGGCCGAGGAATGGGCAGAGTAGGCGGACGAGTAGCCGACGAGGGGGACTTCGGCTGCCGAGACGGAGTCGTAGAACGAGGTCGACGCCTGGTCGCGCGAGAACTGGACCTTGGGGATCGCTCCGCCAGCATAGGAAGTCGAGCTGGTTGCGTGCGAGGCATAAGCGAGGTTGGGCGGTCGAACGGGCGGCGACGAGAGGGACTGTTTCGCCGATTCGTCCGAGAACGAGCTCGACGAGTGCTGTGTAAACGGCGGTCGCTGCGAGTTTTGCTGTGGGTTCGGGTGGAGACCAGGAGATGGATAGGCGGGTTGCTGTTCGCGCTGCGGCCGCTGTGCGCCGTGGTGGAGTGCTTGGGCGGGTGGAGGGGCCTGTCGAGGCGGACGAGGCGGAGGCGGATCGGAGGCCATCTCGCTCGACGGGAGCCTCGCTCTGGACGCTATCCTCGCTCAGTCACGTCTGTCTACCCTGCGAGTGCTGTCCCTGCCCTTCCTGCGCCGTGCGAGCGTGTGTCCGGCTGTTTGGCGAGGCGAGGTGATGAGCGCAGTCGGGAGGCGAGCTGTTGGCGCGGGACAAAGGCTGGCTAGGCGAGTCGAGTGAGTGTGAGCAGTCTGACCAGTTGAGCGAGCAGGCACACCAGCAGCAGTCCCAGCGAGCGACGAGCGTGTCCGTCACCAGGCAACTCCTCTCCTCTCGCAGAGTCCGCGACCACTCGAAACGTGCGACTCTCGTTTCGAGCTGCTGTAATGATTCTGCAAGCCGTATAACACTCTACCATGCCGCACAGTCTACCCAGCGCCACACAGAAACTCGCCGCGCAAACAAGAGCCACATCCAACTTGCTCGATTGGCACACCCGGACGCACGGAGGAGACATTTCGCAATGGCTCACTGCTTCGTCCACTGGTCCATCCCGACAGTCTCCATCCCCGCCAGCTTCATCCGCACAGCGACCTCGAGCAGGTAGTCGAGGCACTCCGCTTGGCCCTGCATGGCGAGGCGAGGCGTGGCGCGGCGGCGTCGGAGGAGAGGGTAAGTTGGCGAGCGAGATGGAGAGGGGTAAAGTGGTTGGACGGGCGCGGAAGGGAAGAGGAGGACGGAAGAGGCGTCAGCGTGAGGGCAGCGTGAAGGAGGCGAGCCGGCGAACGAACCTTGGCCTTCTCCCAGTCTGCGAACGAGAGAAGCGCGAGTGGCGTAGCAGAGCGGATGAAACGAGGTCGAACGATGAGACGGGAATGAAAATCGTTAATAAAGCGTTCTGAGAAGCTGTAGAAGTCGGAAACAAGGCGGACGCACCTGCACCCCAGCTGTACGTCCCGTGCCGCCGGACCAGGATCGCAGGCTGTTGCAGCAATTTCGTCCGTCAGTATCGACTCAACGTGCGCGCCGAATGCTCGACCTCGTCTTTCAAACGAAAGGCGAATGGGGAACAAAACGAGCGAGAGGCGAGACGTACCGCGTCGGGGTGATTGCGCATAGCCTGCGGAGTGATCACCTGAATGTCAGCAGACTTATGGAGCAGACGCTTCAAGCCTTCCCTCCAGGCTCAGAGCAACCGCACCTCCTCCGACGCTTCGTCGGGCAAACGAAATCTCGTCGACTCACCTCCTCCATCCCCTCCCTCAAATCCTCCTCATCCGGCGTATTCTCGATGATTGGTATGACAAGCGTGTCGAGATAACTCAACGCTGGGCCCGTGCCGCCGATGCGCATGCCTTTGATCATCTCTTGGTGTGAGATGCGGAACTCGGAGCCGGGCCAGAGAAGGGTGGCCATGACGGCGTGTTGAGAGTGGGTCTGTGGGCGGCGCAGAGCGGGAAGGAGTCGTTCGGTGGAGCGGCAGCGGGCCGAAGGCAGATAGGCGGAAGGGCGGGAGATGTGAGTTGAAGTTGTCAGCGCCAGCAGAGTATCCGTAGGCGCCGCTGGCAAGCGTACGTGGATGCATGCACCCGCATTTCGCAAGTCGTAAGCGTTGTAGAAGAGCGGCGTGCAGGCAGACTGCTTGAGCGGCTTGTGGACCGGCCAGCGGAGGAAGTCGCGTTCCTGTTCGTCGGCACTCCTTGGCATCAGTATCTCCTCGAACAAGAGCGTCGAGGCTAGTTGAAGCGCGTGACGAGCTGGACGAACCTTGCGGCTCAGGACGAAGATGTCCTCCGGCTCAATCCGCTCCTTCTGCACGCCCGACGGCGCGAGGTAGATCTTCTCGCTGCGCCGCACATCCCGTCAGCTTCCCTTCAGCCTCGACAACCATATCGGAACGCACCCATCGCGCAACGAGATCCCACCGCCCGTTCCCGTCACCCACCCAAGCTTGTAGAAACCCCTGCAGAGCTCGGGGATCAGGAACGCGGGGTGGAGAGGGTCGTTATTGTGCTTGATGAGGGAGTGGTCGTTCGGGTGCGACGGGTCGGTTGGGGGTGCGAGACTGTGGGAGTTCGAGGGGGGTCAGCGGGAGGAGGGGGTGGAGGGAGCGGAAGGAACGCACACCATGGCTTGAGCTGTACCGTGGCGGCAAGAGGCACTCAGGTTAACGACTCTGCGTCTTCGTAGCGCTGCCAAACCTCCTCGTCCGTCCGAACAACCCCTCGCACGAAAGTCGCGATGAAGTCGCGGCAGGCAGATCAGAGCCAAGCGGGGCAACGCTGGGCAATTCAGGCGGCGCAAGATGTACGTGTGAGCCTGTACTGACCTTGAAAGCGCCTTTCGAGCGAGGAAAGCGGTCGGTGAGGAGTCCAACCTGGCGAACGAACGTCGCGAGCAAACTGTTCACCCGCTCTCGCTCGTCTGAGGCTAGACTGCGTCTCGCTGCCTCATCGAGTAGCCCTGAGTGCTGAACTGCGCCCATGACCCGCCAGCCAGCGCCGGTTCGTCTCCTCGTTCTCATCGCTCTTGCCGCATGCATTGACCTCATCCAGCGCTGCCTCGCGCTTGTACGCCTGACAGAGGTGCCCGATAGCACGACTACCCACCGAACTCCTACTCCAGATTGTCCGCATCGCCCGGGACGACCACGACGCCGACATCCAGACCTACTCCACTTCCTGGCGCCCTCGATCTCGTCAGAATCCGGTTCTCGCGTTTTCGCACGTCTGTCGAGCTTGGCGACAGCTTGCTGAAACGACAGGGGAGCTGTGGAGCTCGCTTTACTTGGATGGCGAGATAGACGGAGCGGCCAGCGAGGCAAAGGCGCTGTGGTGGCAGCACCGAGCGGCTGGCGGCGTAGCGCGAGAGGGAACGGAGCCTGCGCGTGACGGAGGGATCAGGTCGATCTTCATCACGCGAGCGCAAGACTACGCGACAGACGACTTTGCCTACCTCTGTGAATCGCTCGACCTCGTCCAGCTCGTCCGCCTTCGCCGCGCCCACATTTCCTGGATGGGCGGCGGTCCTCCAGTTGACGAACATCGACAGCTTCAGTCATTCTTCCGCTTCCTCCTCTCTTCCGCCCCGACCCTCACGTCGCTTTCGCTCCACACCCCTTCACACCTTCGCATTCTTTTCAGCCTACCCCGCTTCGGAGCTACGTTCTCCGCTCTAACCGACCTCGAGGTTCGTTCTTGCAAGATCTCGTCACCAGCGTCCGACGCGTACCTCTTGCCCGCCTTCCTGCCGCGATACTCGGGCGAGACCGACTGGGCGCCTCTCACATCGCTTCGACGACTCATCCTCGTCGGTCCAATCTGGCGCCTCCGTTTCCGCGACGGTACAGTTGCTTCGCCCACCCTCTCCTCCGCCGACGTCCCTTGCCTCGAGTACGCCCAACTCTCGTCCACCACCCCGCCCGTCCACTGGGACATCCTCTCGCACTCCAACGGAACCCTCCGACACCTCGCTCTCGAAGACCACTTCGATCACCCTACCCTGCCCAATCCCGACACCGCCGCTTCTTTTCCCAACCTCGTCTCGCTCAAGTTGACGAGATCAGCTCCCCTCGTCACTCGGCTCTTCGACCTCGCAGTCAGCCTGCCCGGTGCTCTCGCCTTCGAGAACTTGATCGAGCTCGCTTTGCCGGGCGCGAGACTCCAGCAGAAATACCTCAACCTGTTCGGAGGCGACTTGGCGCCGCACTTGCGCACGCTCGATCTGTCCGACACGACTGCTGCGCCACTTCATCCTCTAAACGGAGATCGGCCAGTTTCACTGAACTTGCCGCACCTCCCAGCACTCGAGACCCTTCTCGCCTACCGCGTTGATTGGACGTCGCCGGCCCTAATCCTCGAGACGATGGAGAACGGCCACCTGCCCCGCCTCTCCGCCCTCGGCACCGATCTCACCTTCAGCCTCTTGGGTGAATGGAAGATGCGGGACCGTAGGATAGCGCTCGTGAGCGAAGAGGGTGATGTGTATGATTGAAGCGGCGGAGCGGTGAGAGGAGATCGTCTAGGTCGTCGGTCGGACAGATGGGCAGCAGCAGCGTCCAGGAAATCTACTGGTAGTGTAGGCAGAATTGCAGACTGTGGCATGGCCGTTGCATCCGCCGGGACTCCCTGACCGCTTGCTTCGCTTTCCTGCATCCGCATTGACGGGTCGTGAAGAGGGGATTCGCGTCACGCCACCCCTTGCTTGAGGATCCAAAGTCTTGCTTCCGCTTTCTTGCCTGGCAGCTGCTCGAGCGGGCCTCGCAGCGCCGTACGCTCCTCCGCTCGGATTGAGAAGGTCGAGCTTGTCCTCGCTTTCCTGCCTCGTCCAGTCCGTTCACGTTCCAAGGTGCTGGCTAGTCCACATCTGACAGCTCATACAATGTAGCTGTCGAGTCCGCCAGCGCCCAGACGCCTGCAGGATGCACCGTGTCTCGTCCTCCTCACAAGCGCGAGTGTCGGTCGCCGCATCGTCACGTTTCGCTGGCAAGTTCGCCGGCGATTGCGTTCGCTCCAGAACAGGCTTCTCAATCAACAGCAGGCTCGTCCGGCACGGCAAAGAAGCAAGAACAGACCTGAATCGGGGTCCAGCGCGCGACCGACGCGTCCAAGTTGTCCTCGTGTGCTTTGCCAAACATTCCTCGTCTCCGCTTCGTCTGCTCGTTCTTCGCTTGGTCTTACCTCGTCTCCACATCCTCTACGTGCTGCGTCTGTCCGCCGCTCACCTTCCGTCACTCGTTTCACACCCACCCTCGTCGCTCCTTTTCAGCAAACATGCGCACCGTCTTCGCCGTCGCTTCCGTCGCGACCCTCGCGTCTGTCGCCACCGCCCAGTCCATCACGGGCTACGGTCGCTTCTCCTGCACGACCTTCGTTGGAGGCGTCCCGACTGCTGGTACGCTCCTCCGCCTCCTCGTCGCGGACTCCGCTGTCGGTCACAACGGACTGACCTCATTGATTTGCGATGCAGACCAGTCGCTCTGCACTGGCCTCGTCTCGCCGGGAACTGGCCTCGGCGGAGGCGCCCAGGGAGACTCGCCCGCCCCGGTCGGCGCGACTTGCTCGCTCGAGATCGAGACGGGCAACTACTTCTGCGGCATCGCCGGCGCTCCCTGCACCGCCAGCACGCAGTGCGACAACGGCTTCTGCTCGTCCACGGGCGGCGTTCCCGGAACCTGGTACGCACCCGCGATTCTGACTTTCAGACCGTCGCCAGGACTCACCGAAGCCTGCCTCGTTCCCCTGTCTCCTCTTCGACTCTTTCAACCCATTTCTACTCAATTCTCCTCTCGACAACCTGCCTGTCATTCGCCGTCCTGTCTCTGCCCGCACACTCGGACCTCTCCGCCGCGCGCGCTCCCGTCCCACAGCCAAGGCGGTTTCACCCAGGCTTGCGCCAACAACGACGCAAACTGCTCGGGATACCTCTACTGCACGAGCCAGCAGCTCACTCCGACTGTTTCGGGAACGTGCGGCGGCCTCGGCGCTTTCTGCCAGGTAAGCTGACTCTCGTAGCGACCCCGGCAGCGACAGCCAGGATACGTCCCACTGTACAGCACGCTGACGCCGCTTCAATCTCTGCGCAGGACTACACCGTTGGCTCCACGACCTTGACCGACGCTCAGAATGAGGTTCTCTTCAACCAGTTCTGCCAGTCGGGTGCGTCGCTGCTCTCTGGTCTCCTGCGAGCGAAGGATCCTGGACTGACACTTTGGCCTCGCATAGGCTACTGCGGCTTCGTACGCACTCGCAGCCGTCGTGTCGGGCGGTTCATTAAATACTGACCTTTCGTTCCGCACCCACAGCTCACCGGCAACTGCGAGACGCACGCCCTCCTCGGCCAGGACTGCTCGTTCGACCCCGAGTTCGCCTGCGCGACCGGCCTCACCTGCACGACCGACACGACCACTGGCGCCCAGACTTGCACGATCGCCAGCGCTTCCGCTCGTGCTCGTACCCGCGCACGTCGCTCGGGCGACCTCGCTCGCCGCAACGTCTGCCCGTCGTCGCACTCGGCGTGCACTGTCCCGGGAGCCAAGGGCTTCGAGTGCATTGACACCTCGGTGCGTCGCTTCCCGCTCATCCTTCACCCGCTCGTTACTGACCGCTTTCCTCGCTCCACCAGTCCAACATCGAGCAGTGCGGTGCCTGCGCGTCGGAGGGCGGCGTCGACTGCACCCAGATCGAGGGTGCTGCCGCCGTCGGCTGCGTCGCCGGCGTCTGCGAGATCTGGTCGTGCGCCGAGGGCTTCACCTACAACGAGGCCAAGGGCGCCTGCATCGCCTAAGCGCGTACACGACCTTCTCGCCTAAGGTCTGCTCCTCGCCGCCTTTGTCGGAGGTCGTGCGGGGAGGCTACCTACCTCTCCCACTCCTTCGATTTTTCCCGGCGACCCGTCGCGCCTCTACCGGCAGCACGGTCTCCTCCCCTTTCTTAGTGTGACTCCTCCGCAGTTGTCAGTCTGAAGCTCGAGTTGGAACGGCACAGGTTGTATCTGCCGTCAGAGCGAGAGTCCGCCTGAACAGGAGCAGCCCTACATGCGACCAAGGAACGCGTTACTGCATAGACAGGACGTCCAGCAGCAGTGGACGCTGCAATCGGATCGCTAGCTGATGAGGATTGAGCGGGAGGAAGAGAACAGCGAGGAGAGCTGGACAAACGCTGGCTGAGCGGCGTGCCCCTCCATCGACAAAACGTAGCTGGTTAGACCGGCCTGCAGCCTTCCATAGCGCAGTCATCGCTGGAGGTTGAGCGAGACCCTCCCTCTTGTCTCCTCGCAGGTTGAGCCCGACGCCTTCGCCGTCCTCGCTCATTGGCTGAGCAGGACACGTTGGAAGATGGCGCAGCTTCAGGGACTCGACCAGCCAGTGCTCGAGCGCATCTTCGCCTTCGCTGGCGGCCTCACATCTCACGTCTGGCCCCAGCCAGACTATGCGACCCTCAAGGCGTGCGCGCTCGTCTGCCAGCCGTGGCGGTACCCAGCTCAGTCTGTCCTCGCCAAGCACGTCCGCATCGCCAGCCCGGAAGCGATGCAGGCGATCCGCTCGCGCGAGGCAAAGAGGATGCTCGCTGAACACCAGACGCTGGTCCTCGAATCGGTCTACCAGTGGGGCATAGACACGTACTGGCTCCTCGACAGGTTCCCGGATCTCAAGGCGTTCCGCATCGACTACGATCCGCTGCGAGGGCGGACGGATGGCCAGGCGGAACGGGACGAGGAATGGTTGACCTGGGACGTTCTCCGGCATCCGTCGCTGACTGGTGCGCGTGTTGTACCGTCTTATGAGGATTCGGAGCTAAACCCATCTCCGCAGGCATCACGCACCTGTACTGCAAGGCCGACTTTCAAGAACCCGACGATACCTCCCTCCTCACCTTCCCCGTCCACAACCTCCTTCTCGGCTGCGTTCCGTTCGAGCACTGCCCTGCGCTACACAAGGCGCTCTTCTCTGGCTGCAAGAAGACCCTCAGCACAATCTCGCTCGACTTCAATCAGACCTCGCCTAAACCCGCGCTCGACAACCTGATCGAGGAGTTCCAAGCAGGCGTTGCGACGACGCTCGAGCACCTGCATTTCACGAACAAGCCCAATATCAACTTCCTAATGTCGCTGCACTCGAAGATGAACGCATCCAAGATGCCCTTCCTCTACTCGATCTCGTACCCTCTCCTCCCAAACGCCCTCGCGCCCTTCAACATCCTCGCCCTCGCCGTCGTCAACAACGGCACCTCGCTCGTCGAGTTCGCTCTCGTCGAACCGCCCAACGAGCCGCCCGCATCGGAGGAAGATCACGAGCGCCTCGTCCTGAAATACCTCGCGGCGTTCGGTTCCCGCCTCGACTCGTTCAACATGATGGCGCGCAAGTTCCGCTTCCGGTTCCCGCGCGTCTGGCCGGCGAGGTTCGTCAAGACGCCCGAGATCGCCAGGTTCTTGGACCGGGCTGGAGCGCGAGGTTGCGATGTTTGGTGCGGTGCCGAGCAGCGGTTCGAGTCGACCGCCAAAGGTGCGTCCGACCTCTTCCTGCCTTCTTGCTTGCCTTACTCACATTCGCATGTGCGCAGCCATCGAGAAGCGGAAGGGCAAGCGCGTCGCGAAGGGCGGCGCGGCCGAGGAAGACGAGGAGGAACCGACAACTCTCGACGCCGTCCAGCGGGCCCTACAGCAGGCAGGTGCATCAGCGTCCTCGTCCTCCCACGCGCCGCCTGCAGTCCATCCTCCCTTCTCGACTCCGCCCATCTCGAGCGCGGCCAAGGGCAAGGGGAAGGCTGTCAACGGCAAGGGCAAGTCGGTGGACAAGGGGAAAGGAAAGGCGCGGGCTTAGCGGATCATCGTCCATGGCATCTATCCTTATTGGCCATCTCTTTCAGCTCGTTCGCGTTGTGGTCGTCGGGCTCCACCTTCGGGAACAAGTTGACCTTCGTCTCTTCGCTCGATTCGCTTGTGACGTCTCGCTGCTGCACTGAGGGCTCGCTTGGCAGCTTCTCAGCCTACTGAGACTTGTCATGTTCTCGTCCAAGTCGCGCAAAGCCGTCGAAGCCGTGTCTGTACTCGACCACACTCAGCAACTTCGGACGCCGAATGGATGGGCACTGGGACAGCTGGCCGAGCTGGGCATCGGCGGAGAGCTCACTGCCATGGCATTTGGTGCGTCTGACGCTTTTCCACACGCCCAGCTGTTGCACAACGACGACAGACTTACCGAGGCTATGCCCATCTCTCTCACCTCTCTCCCTCGCCCGCCAACAGACCCTGTACAGTCTTTGCTCGCAGTAGGGACATCAGCAGGTCGTCTCTTCGTCTTTGGCGCACCGGGCGTCCAGGTCGAGTGGGATGTCGGTCTGCCAAGCAAGATTCGGCATCTCGCTTGGAAGAGCGGGTCGGGCTTTCTCTGCGTTGTAGGCGAGTCTCTCTGCTTCGGCAGACACAGAACGATGTACTGACCATGCTTCAACAGACGCGAAGGACACCCTCTACGTCTACGACCTCCAGCGCATCGAAAAGGGTCGTCCGCATCGCGATTCGTCCCTTTCGCTCCGCTCGACCGTAATCTGCGTCGAAACCTCCGCCTCGCACTCTTTCCTCTTCCTCGGCTGCAAGGATGGGACGGTCGACGTGTACGATATCGACCGCGGCATCCTCGCTCCGCATGCTCGCATCCCGAACCTTTGGCTCGTCCAGGAGGAGATCTTGCGGAGAAGCGGCGTGCCCGACGCACCTTCACGAAGACACATGTGAGTGCCTGACGATGCATTGGAGGTGAAGCGGGAAGAGCGGGCTGACCTTTCCACCTTTCCGCAGTCCCGTCTGTACCGACATCAAGGCTCACCCGCTCGACCTCAACCTGCTTCTCGTTGCGTACGAGGGCGGTGTTGCGCTATGGAACATCGCGACGCGACAAGCCGACCGGACGTGGGAGTTTGTCCTTCCGCCAGGCGCAGCAGGAGGAGGAAATGACACGGAGGAGACGATTTTCATGGAGCGGCGACCGGCAGTCACCTGCCTTGCCTGGCGACCAGACGGACTCGTCTTCGCCGCAGGACACGAGGACGGCTCGCTGAGCTTTGCGGCGACGGCGGACGACAACCCGATCATGATCCGCACGCTCGAGCGGGCGGACGTCAATAAGGCGACGGAGGAGGATCTGTTCGGCTGGTCGTCGCAAGGCCAACCTGGGCAGCGTCAGCCGGCGAACCGCGAGCCGATCTTCCGCCTTGCGTGGTCGGGCTTTCCGCAGGAGACGTACCTCTCGCAGGCATTCGCCAGCATGGCCGGGCCGTCCTCGCCCACTCTACCGTCGTCTCCTTCGCTCACGGAGCAGAAGGCCGACTTGCACGGCGGGACGCTGTTGACCGTCATGGGCGGCATCCTTCCCTCAGATCCAGTTGGCATCCACGTCCTCGAGTTCCCCGCCTACGTCGCTCCGACCGCAGCCACCGCCAAGTCGGGAGGTATCCCTCTCGCCGTCCGGGAAGCTTTACGAGAGTCGATCTCGCCCGTCGCTCACCATCTCTACCCTACGCCTGCACCTCCCGAGGACTTCCTCCTTCTCCCCCGAAGCTCGCCTCATTACGGTGGCGCCTACGACCCTTCCGCCATCATCATCACTTCCGGCCGCGACTCACGCTGCCCCGTCCCTCCAGCGCCGCACTCGAGCAACTCGATCGAGGCTTTCACCTTTCCGCCCACCAACTCCCGCGCACCTCGCACCCTCTCTCTCCCTTCAGCGCTCTCTTTCTCTGGCAGAGACACCTGCACGTCCGCAAAGCTCGCCATTGTTGGCTCCCTCTCATACCGTCACCTTCCTCACCAGTTCGACATTTCCGAGGAGACGGCCGAACGCATCCCGCTCAAAGGCGGTCACGCCAGTCCTCTACCTCGACCGAATCGTCGAGGGCCGCCTCCGACATCCGGCGACCAGCCTCCTCGCATCCTCATCACTACGCACATCGACCTGAGCGTTCGCTTCTCGGACGTCTCGACGCACGTCCTCTGGGGCCGCAAGCCGGAGGACAGTAGCGACCCGCGGACTGAGCAAGACTTCCCGCGCCCCCTTCGACACCTCGACATCGATGTCAAGGCTGCGCTGGCGGATCCTCGAGCGGCAGGTCTTGAGGCGGCACGACTGTGGAAGGCGCGACCTTGGGAGCTCGAGATTGACAAGGTCGAGCTGGCAGAGGAGAACCTCGAAGTCGCAATCAGCCTGTCGACTGGCGATGTGCTCGTGCACCGGTGAGTTCAGCCGCCGTTCGCATTGGGGGTAAATGCTGATGGCTCGTCTGCAGTTTCGCTTACGGCGAGGTACCCCGCGAGCTCGAGCAAGACCGCGCCGACGCCGAAGCAACCCTGGACGACACGGTTCAGGGAGCTTTGCGCGACATGAACCTGGACACAGCGAATCCGGTTCCGCCTCGGCCTCCCTTCGGCTCGACCAGCCAGCAGAGCCGTCAAGGTGCTTTTGCGCCAACCTCCTACTCCGCCGACATGGACCCTCAGGACCGCTACATCAACCTCACAGGCGCCGCCGTACCGCGACCCGACCTCGACGGTTTCCGCCCGATCGCAGCGTTCGCCTTCGCATCAACTTCGTCTGCGAGCGGGATCGCATCGAAGAGCTGCCTCGCGTTCAGCAACATCGGCTTCCTTGCCGTCTCAAACGACGCGACCCTCATGGTCGTCGACATGCGCGGGCCGGACGTCCTTCTTGTCGATTCGGCTGGTTCTGGACGGTCAGTCGCGTCCGACAAGGGCAAGAGTAAGGCGAAAGTCGACAACTCGCCCGTTACGGCCTTGACGTGGACAGTCAGCGCGATTGGAGAAGGTGAGTCCTCAGTTTGCTGTGATTAATCGTCTCAGACTCAACTGGCACCCCCTGCAGACCACGACCGCTCGCCTCGCCTCATCGTCGCGCAAGCGTCCGGTCTCAGCCGCATCTTCGAGCTCGCCAACGTCAGCGGATCATGGCTGATCAGCGACCGCTTCGCCTCCGTCCACCACGACAGCACTCGCAACACCTTCGCTACCTTTGTCCTCGACAAGCGCGGCAACGAGCTTGTCGCTGACTCGCAGAACCTGCAACTCGCGCTCAATCAGCAGGCCACCTACACCTCCCCCGACAATATCGACCCCGTCGGCGCCTTGACGAGTCTCTGGATCACGGTCGCTCCTACGACGCTCGCCTGCTTCTACAACGTCGATGGCCCGAAGACTGCCATGTACGACGACGAGCACGGCCAGTTTGAGCGAGCAGCCATCGTGCGCGCTCAGGGCTGTACAGCGCTCGCTGTCCAGTCGAGAAACTGCATGCTGCACGTCTTCTCGCTTCCCGACCTCCAGCAGGTCGCGCGCTTGCGGTTCGAGGCGACTCTGCAGTGCGTTCGGTCAGATTTCGGTGCTTTGTTCGCGCTCGCTGACGGTCCTCGAGCGTAGCGACTCGGCAGGCGTCTTCCACATTGCGCCAGATGGCGACTTCGTACAACTCCTCGACCCTCTCAACGTCCGACTCGGCACCATCCGCGATTTCTATCGCCCCGCCTTCCCACCAAATGTCGTCGCGTACGACTCGTCGATCGCGATACCTGCACAAGTCAGCGCTTTGCAGTCCGTCGGATCCGCACTAGGGGCTTGGTTCGGTGCGCAGAAGGTGTACACGGGCGCAGAGATCGACGGAATTCGTGCGTCCTTCCGTTCCTTCGATGGCGTCGAGCGACCGGCAGCCAGCTGATCGACGCGAACGTACAGTTGGCGGCACGACCCGTCCTCCTCCGAAGAACCGCCCAGCTGCAGGAGCTCCTCCACCCATTGTCGCTGCTACTCGCCAAGCAAAAACGGCCTCCTCGTCCGGCTACATCACGCCCACCCAGACGCAGTTCCTGCAGGGGGCGAGCGAGTCGGCGCGCGACATCATGGCCAAGACGAGCGCGGCTCTCGAGCAGCGCAATGAGTACCTGGGCTATTTAGGCGAGCGCCTTGGGACGATGGCGGACGATGCAGCGAAGTTTGCGTGAGTTTCCTCGTCACCTCCCTAGCGTCTCGCCGCGTGTCTGACACTGGAGCGTTTGCAGGAGCGAGACGAAGCGCAAAGCGCAGCAAGAGGCGGCGAAGAAAAGCATCGCCGGTGGCTTCTCGTCTCTGTGGAAGAAGGTTCCGTAGGAGCGGACGCTTGCGATGCATTGCGATAAACGAAAGGGTTGGTAGAAAGAGAGGGTATCGCGAAAGAGGGTATGCGAGGTTACGCGAGGAAGAGCGGTCGCGCCTTTGGCTCATTGATCTCGGGAAAGACGACGGCGAAGATCTCGTCTGCGATGCCGTAAATGAGGTGCTGGATGATGACTGCTCATCAGTAAAGCTCTTGCACGCCGTAGAGGCACAGAGGCCCACCTTGTTGAGGCGCTTATTCTGCAGGACGGAGAACAGTCGGCGAGCACCTTGCTTGGCATTGTGTCGTCCGATCAGGCTGGCGGCGACGTCTGCGACAAAGAATGTTCAGCTCTCGCAATCGCGACGCGCTGGGGGGGAGTGGACGGACCAGGCAGGAGGTCGGCAAGCTTGCGACTCGCTGAGGCCTTGGTCGCAGCTTTCTCGGCCGCCGTTCGTGGTGATTCCTTCGGCTTGAGCTCGCCATCCGGCCACATGCCGTTCTGTAAAGCCGCGACGTAGGTGGCGAGCTGAGGCGGCGCCAAGAGCAGCTTGATGGAATCGCGGAATTTGCTGAGGAAGGCAGAGGCGGTCAGCCAGGCGCGGAGAAGCGATGACGAGCCAGCTCACCGTTCGATCGTGCCGCCGAGGACCTGTTGGAGCACGATGAGGATGGCTTGTCGCCGCAGCCAATTATTCTTCTCCTTGAGCTCGAAGATGGTGACGAAGAGGTCACAGATTGGCGCGGTGAAGTAGGTCAGGCCTTCGTCGCCAGGACGTTCGACGCCCGGAAGATGGGAGACCGAGTCTGCTAGCACCTGTCCGACGAGATCTTCGTCCAGGACGGAACCCGCCGCAATGCCGGCGAACTCGGCAGCCTGTTGAGACAGCCGGTTCACCATCTGCTCGACCATCGAGCTCGTCGAGGTACCGAGAACGTCGTCGATGCCGGTCGTGAGGCCGCGGTACAGCGAACGAACGAGACCCTGGCCGGGGAGAAGCGGCGGGACGACTCGGCGCGGAACGTCGCTCTTCGGCAGCGCGACTGTCTCCTTCGACAAGAAAGATCGCAGTTCGTCGCTGACACAGACAGCGGGGACCTTGATGACATTCTGGGCCGCGACATGATCAGTCCGGCGTATCGTAGGTGGACAAAGTAACACGCACCTGCAAGTAGCGCTCGAGACCGACACGGCGCTGCTCGATGAATTCCTTGCTCCAGGCGCCGACGAGTCGCTTGCTGGGGAAGTCGAGAATGCATGTCGATGGGAACTTCTCCTTGAGCTTGTTGTACAGCGAGAGAAATTCGCTGTAACGGCGAGTCGTGATCCAGCCGCTTTGAAAGGCGCCCTCGTCGGTCAGAGTGTGAACCTCAATGAGATACAGCTGAAAGGTCGCGCCCGAAGCGGCCGCGCTGGCTTGGCCGACCGTCGTGGCGGGAATGGTGATTCGAGTGCGGCTGGGCGAAAGCTCGTTCTGCGCCGCCTGCGACTCGAGCTGCTCCTTCTGAAACGTGGCAGCTCGGATTTCGCGCCGCAGGCTTTCGCGAGACTTGACGAGCACCTTGAGCTCCGAAGCAACCCCAGTAAGTTCCGCCTTGCGGATCAAGGCGTCGACAACGATTTCCTGTTTCCGCAGCTTCTCAAGCAAGTCGGCGAGGCGCGGAATCTCGGCCGCGAGACTCAGGTTGCCGGAGGCAGGTAGGCTGACGCTGAAGTCGTCGGAGGCCGGTTCTTCGACCAAGTCGGCTCCCGATCCGTCGTCGTCGGCGGCCTCGGTATCGTCGAAGACCGTTCGAGTCGCGGCACGTTGCGGTGCTGTCGAGGAGCTCTGACTGGAAGAACGAGGAGCGGTGGTGAGCCGGCTCGGGAGGTTGGTCGAGGACGAGAGCGCGGGGGTAGCGGGACCAGAGGACCGCGAGGAAGCGTTCGTCGAAGTACGACGAGGCGGCGGCAGCAGCGAGGTATCCCTGAGAGAGGGGAGAGACGTGGTCGACTGGTTCGCCTGCGGCTGTGTGCGACCATCGGAAGCGAGGATAGAGTTGAGGGCTTCTTGGATCGCCTCGATCGTCTGTACCTGGACGAAGTCGTCGTCGGAAGGCGGCGTGACGGTGTCGTCGGGCGTCGATTCGCTGCCGAACAGCGGCGAACGCTCCGTCTCCACCGCCTGGGGCGAAATGAGGAAGTCGAGCGAGTCCGTCATGGCGTTCGATTTGCGCTTTGCTGAAGGGTATGTTGAAGCCGAAGCAATCGTCTCGAGCGAGCCAGAAGAGACCTTGCGCATCGGCTCGAAGGACGAGGTTGTGGCCTCGAAAAGGTCCTGCGATCTTGCTCGGTTGAAGGCCGCATGGAAGGTCACTTGAGGCGGGGCTGTATCCTTGCGCGCCGCTGTTGGCGAAACGAGGAAGCCAGGGGAAGGCGGGCGGGCAGTCGCGGCGTGAGACGAGGAGATGGTGGTTGACAGGGCGGACGTGTTCTGCAATTGCGGGTTCGAACGAGAGCGGGCTCTGCTAAGGCCAGTACGGCCGGCAGGCGTAGGAGGTGTGACGAGGGGCAGAGGAGCTGTCTTTGTCGAAGGCGTCATTACCGATTCGTCGGCGACGGGAAGCGCCGAGAGCGCCTTGAAGTACAGGTCGGAACGGGAGAACGCAGGCGCGTCCTCCTCTTCGAGCAGGGAGAGAACCTCCCTTTGAATCGCGAACAGCGCGTGCCGGACCTGCCTCAGCATCTGCGGCGTCGCGTTTTGCGGGTCCTCCTGCTCGGCGAAGGCCTGCACCGCTCGCAGATGCCCTTCGCTCGAACGAAACGGGTTTCCGACGAGATAGGCCGACCAAATCATCTGGATGTCCTCGAAGGCGGAAGTCGCGGCAGTCGCGAGTGATTCGTCTGACTCGATGCCGTCAAGCGGATCCTTCAGACCTTCGACGATTAGCCAGAACTGCGCTCTGTCGGCGTGGCGGCGACGCTCGAGGAACTCCATGACATAGGTGACCGCGGTCGGATCGACGAGCATGTCGCTGAGCTTGACGGGCGAGTCGAGATGCGAGTTGAGGTTTCCGAGGATGCTGGGCGCCCGCTGCAGGAAGCCACGTAAGCATTCAAGATGCAGACGCTGGCGAGGTGTCGCGGTACGTACCGACAAACCCTGGTTACCGCCGAGCTTGTCTATCCGCTTGTCAATCTTGCGCTTCGCCGTGTACAGCCGCTCGATGAAGTCGATCCATTCCGCGACCTTGACGCCGTCCACAACATCATCGAGCTCCTTGCCGTCTGCGCTCTTCAAGTCAGCAAAGCTCGAAGCGGAGAAAGCGAGCATACGTACCCGTCAGAATCTTCGCCCTCCTGATCTGACCGCTGACGTCGCTCTTGAGCCGCCTCGCCTCTTGCAGCGAGGCACAGCGACCGATGCTCTTGAGCCATGCATCGAACTGGCGCGAACCGGTTCGCACCGTCACGACTTCGGTTCGCCGCTTAGGCGGAGACGAGGCTGCCGAAGGAAGCGTTCGGGCAGACGCAGCCATCATAGTGGATTCCTGCTTGTTGAGCGCCTCGCGGAACTCGTTGACCATCTTCTGGTCGCGAATCGCTGCGCCAGCTTTGTCGTCGATGAGGCGGTTGGCAAAGTCGGGGTCGCTGAGCATCTCGATGATGGGGAAGACAACCGCGCACGCCACGATCTCGCGGACCATGATGCGTACAGCCGGGCTGTCGACCTCGCGCTCGGGAAGGACGAGCGGCAGAATCGCCTCGAAGGTCGAACGGATCCATGCTTCTTCCGCAGGTCGAGAGTTTGGGCTCGCGGCGTCGACTGCGGGGTGAAGTCGCTTCTCCTCCGACTCCTGCGCGTAGCGCGATGCGACGAAGAGGTCGAACTCGTCCGAGTCTGGCGTTCCCGCCCGTGGTCCTCGTCCATGGACGGTCTTCTCCGCGATGTCGAACCGCTCGAAATGCGTCGTCAGGAGTGGCAGGATGCGACCAACGAGGACGTCGGACCAGTCGACCTTTCCGACCCGCGACGAAATGGCGAGAAGCGACTCTCGGATGGTCGCATCTACGGCGTTGGGGAAGACTGGCGAGTCGGAGATGGTCGAGTACCATTTCTCGACAAAGTCGCGCAGGATCAGGTGCAGGAGGGAGTCGATGGCGGCGGAAAGGAAGGGAGGGGCGCCAGGGAACGAAAGTCGATTCGCGGTTGCTGTCGCCTCCCACTTCGCCTTGGTCTGCGTCATGTCCCACGCTGCCGGCGACGTGAACTGCAACGGCGGCGGTCCTCGTCGCCTGCCTGGCCTCAGCGAGAGCAAGCTCCCCTCCCCACTTCCGTCCTGAGAGCCGAACCCGCTGAAACGTCGCTCGTGGACCTTCGCCAGCCACAGCTGCCCTCCCAGCACAGCCACCACACCCGCTACCGCATACAGCAGGAGCCAGGCGAGCGAGACGAGCGGGTTGAGGCCTCGAGCCTTCGAGCCGAGGAGGACGGCGAGGACGACGAGTGCTCCTGCGCCGCGATACGAGAGCTGCGGCGGCATGCAGCAGCCTTTTGGAGTCGTCTCGACTCCGCTCAAGCCAGCAGGGAGGAAGCGAGGTTCGAGGGAGAGGTCGAGGGAGTCGTCGTCCGGCGTCCGCTTCCCCGTTGTCCTGGTCTTTCGAGGCAGTTTTGTACAGACGAGTACGTTGCGCAATCACATCTCAATTGCCCGCCTGAATACGCGCACTACTACCGACAGGGAGATGGCGTAGAGAGGAAGGGAAGAGGAAGATTGGCGAGTTCGAGACGGTAAAACGCGAGATACGTTACAAATGCGATAGGGCAAATCATTGTTTGGAGAGATGGAGAGTGGGAGAAGGAAGGCAGGAGTATGGCGGGGGTGGGGGCGGTCGACGAAGACGGCTCTGTGAGCAAAGCAAGCGAACGGTTAGAGCAGAAGGGCTGCGCAGATCGCATCGAGAACGCACGAGATGTTCTGACTGATATAGAAGGGCGTCAGTGTCGCGGACGAGGTCGAACGAGTCTGGGGCAGATAGGTCGTCAGCTGTGAACTGGTCGACGAGGAAGAGAGAGAGAGAGCGAGAGTAACGCACCACTGGTGATGGACCTGCAGTCTTCATGAAGCCTCTGCAGCGTCACATTCCCTCGCTCTACAGCCAGTCCGCCTGTTTCCATGTTGTCCAGCTCGTCGACAACGCCGTACCAGCGCGCCCTGGTCCTCCGCATCCACCTCCTGCCTCTGCAGCAGCAGCAGATCTCTGCTGGTATACAGCTCATTACGCGAAGGAATAGGCTGAGGCGGTAGAGCGCAAGGGCGGTGAGTGTGGTCGCAGTCGAGAATGCCGAAAGGATCGCGAGGGCGGCGAAGAGTGGAGAGAAGAGGAGGACGACGACGGCGTGTTTCGGCTCGGTACCGGTGAGGAAGGCGGAGAGTATGGCGCAGGAATGGGTGCCGAGCGCATGATTGGGGCTGCAGAGGGTGTCGGAGATGCCGTAGAGGATCTGGACCGCGATGACGACGCCGCACAGAAGGGTGCTGCCGTACGCAATCCAGCGCGCCTTCGTCTTGCGGTCGTACTCAAGCCTGCATGCTTGGACGCTGCACCAGAGCGCGACTTGGGTGACGAGGGCGTTGATGAGGAGGTTGAAGGAGCTGGTTTGGGTCAAGAAGAGGGACAGGACGGCGAGGACGGGCGAGAGGAGAAGTACGAGCCCTGCCATGGGTGTACTCGGCGCGAAGAGAGAGCGCACGAGAGCGTCGACGCGTTGACCGTTGAGCAGATCCAACCGCGCGATGCTCTGCTGGTCCCGCTTCTTGAACTGCTAAAGTCCGCTCGGCTGCGCAATCGGTCGCCCTCGAGCCGACACACCTTCAGCCTCAGCTTGCTTTCCCTCCTCATCGCTTCACATCATGGCGGGGTTGTTCGCGAGGCCGGCACAGGCAGGCGGAGTACAGAGGGATGCGCAGAGGCAGGCAGTGTTTCTTGAGGTGCGTACGAGCAAGTTCCAAGCCGTTTCAAGCTGACCTCGACGCCTCTCGACAGTTCAAAGCCGTCTGCGTCTCTCTCCTGGACGCCGCTCGCCAGTCTCCAGTCGCTAAGACCAACCGGACGATCGTCGACTTGCTCAGCAAGCTCACGAGGCTAATCGAAGAAGCGCCGGACGAATCAGTCACTCCCGCCCTCGCGAACTACGCCTTCTTCCCGCTCGCCTCGCTTCTCCAGCCGGCTCTCGGCGGCGCAGACCGCGGAGACCTCGTCCTCGAGGCGACTGCGATGACTCTCGCAGCCTTGGTACCGAAATGGCGAAGCGCAGGGATGGAGCCGCGGGTCAGGCAGGAGCTGTGGATCATGGTTACGCTCAAGCTGGGAGGGCCGCTGGATCCGCAGGGGCCGAAGCAGGCTGGCAAGATGGACAAGGGCAAGGCAAAGGCTATCGAGCGAACCGAGGAAGCAGAGCTCGCGCTCGTGCGAGTACTGCTTGCCCTCATGCGACCAGCTGGAAGGGAGAAGGCGTCGCTGGGACAAGACGAGGACTCGCTCGGCGAGGACATCGACTGGGACAAGGTCGACCCGTCAAACCCTTCCTCCTTCGACCGGCCATCGCTCGTCCACAACGATCGACCGCCGCCCGTACCGATCCTGTTCCACACCTTGACAACTCTCCTTACTCTCGCTGCCGAACCGACGTCCCTCCTCCAGCTCCAGCTTTCGTCGCTTGAAGCCCTTGGCATCCTCTTCGCTACCTACCTTTCGCGCCATGACCTATCGCCCGTCTCCGCATCCCCGAGCGGCCCCTCTCCCCTTCTCGCGACCGCCCTTCCCGGCAGCGCCTCGACCCTTTCGCGCATCGCCGTCTCAAAGCCTAGCATCTCTCAGCGAGCCGACCAGGACCACCGGCGGAGACAGGCGATTCCGGTAGTCGTCGCTGCTCTCGAGTGTCTGGCGCGACTGATCATCCAGACTGTCGGTGACGGCCTCACGTCCGATCTGCGGGGCAAGGATGAGTCGCAAGGACAAGCGCCGCCGGCGTCTCTAGAGGAGCTGGTCTTTGGACAGCATTTGAACGGATCAAGCGCGGACGAGATGGACGAGGAGAGCGGCGAAGCGGGTCCTTCCACGTCCGCCGAACCTCCTCAAGCGCCTCCAACCGGGCCAACGGTACCCACATCCTCTTGGCTGCGCTTCACCGTCTTCTCCCTCTCGACGCTCTTCTCGGCTCTCTCGCCTCTCGCTTCGCACGACTCGCCCACCCTCCGGGCGGCCCTCGTCGACTTCTTGTCCATCGTCGTCTCACGGTGCGGGAAAACCCTCGACCAAGCGGTCGAAGGACCGCTCGAAGGTCTTCTGCTTCTCGCCGGCGACGAATGGGACGATGTTCGAGGTCCGGCCCGTCGCGCCCTTCTCGCCGCCTTCAGTCAATCAACAGACGATACCATCGAGTTGCGACATCCTCTCACTCTCGCCGCCCGCATCGTCCGACGACGCCTGACGGGCCTACCCCGTTCGCTCCGCCAACGAGACGAGCAAGCCGTCCGTCACGGCGCAGGCATCGTCCGCTCGGCACTCGAGCTCCTGCCGACATTCCAGGCGGGCAATGCGGGCGCGGGACTCCTCGAGGGAATTGACCGGTGGAGCTGGACGCTGCTTGACGCGATTGAGCTTGAGCGAGTTCCGGCAGCGGGACGGGCGGTCGAAGGCGGGATGGCGCTCGCTTGGATCACTGGCGCGGATGCTACCGACACGAATCAGACGGCGGCGACGTTCCCGCCGATCCGTCTGCGCGGGATCAGCGAGTCAGAGACGGTCGACGCCCTCGACTCGCTCTGGCAAGCGCTTGGTCGAATGGCGGCGTCGAGCGAGCGACTCGGCGACGTCGCTGAGCAGTTCCTCGGCGTCGCGCTCGGTCCGAGACGCGGCGACCCGGCGGCGGTGACTTCGCTCTGGGTCCTGGACGGCGTCTTGCGAGGTGCACGGGTGGACCAGATCTCGAAGACGAACAAGAAGGTCTTGCGGCAGACTGGACGGGCGGTGCTCTCTCTACTCGAGGAGCTGGAGGAGGATGTCGACGTCGACGCGCCTACGGACGAGGCGACTACGCGAAACGACGTTGATGTCAAGCACCTCGAGGTCGCAGAGACGGATGGAGCAGTGCCGCAGCTCATCGTGCATAAGGCGGGCGTCGTTGAGACGCCTTCTCTCGACGAGTACAAGCCCATCGCGTCCGTCTCGAGCTTACGGGACGCACGAGCCTCCCAGCGACTTCTCCTCGAGGCGCTCGCCCTGCGACTTCTCGCCACCAACGCATCGTTGCTCGGCTCCTCCTTCCAGCCGTTCCTCATGCAGGCGCTCTACCATGTCCTCGCACACCTGTCGCCAACGACACATCCTTCCCTCCGAGCATACGCCCAGGCAACCCTGCAAGCTGTCTCCGACGCGACCGCCTACGCCTCGCCACAGAACCTCGTCCTCGCCAACGTCGATTACGTCGTCAACTCGGTCTCTCAGCGCCTTTCCGTCTCGCGACTCGAGCCCGCCGCCCCGCTTGTCCTCGTCGAGATGATTCGCCTCGTCGGCAAGCCTATTGTTCCGATGGTCCAGGACCTCGTGGACGACGTCTTCGAAGCTCTCGACGACTTTCATGGGTACGACGAGATCACCGTTGGCCTGTGGGCTGTCCTCGATGCGCTCCTCAAAGTCATGGAGGAGGACTTGCCGCCGCGGAGTCGAGCAGCGAAGTATGGTGCGCAAACGGGCGCCGACGCCGACTGGCGAGCGTTCGAGGAGTGGTACCGCACGCATCGAGATCAGGCAAAGGACGACGAGGACGACGTCGAGGAGATCAACCCGGAGAGACCATTCGAGTCCGGCTTCAAGAGCAACAAGGAGCGCGAAGACGGGCCGGTAGAATTCGCTTCCGACACCGTCTCGCCTCCGACAAGGCCGCAAGTCGTCACAGCACAAATCCTCTCGAAGGCCATGTACTTCCTCTCGCACCAGTCGCCGTTCCTTCGCGCTCGCGTCCTCTCCCTCATCGCCTCGGCCGTCCCTCTCCTCGCTCGTCCCGCCCTCGAGGCCACCACGACTGCCGGCACACGAGCATCGGACCTGCTTCCCATCATCCACCGCGCTTGGCCGTTCATCCTCAATCGCCTGGCCGACTCGGAGCTCTTCGTCGTCGTCGAGGCGGCGGCTCTCATCGAGGCGCTCGCTTCGCATGTGGGCGAGTTCATGGCTCGACGTATTCTCGACGATGTCTGGCCTCGCTTTCGAACTTTGCTCGCGAAGCAGGAGCTCGAAGACCGCAAGTCTGCGATTTCCAGCTCGACGCGCTACTCGTCATCGCACCGACTGTATCGCTCGATTTTGCGGACACTCCTGCAAGTCGCGCGAGACGTTCCGCTCAAGGAGGACGTCCTGTGGGAGCAGGCAGTTCTCGCCCGCCGCTTCCTCAGCGCCAAGGTCGACCCCGAACTGCAAGTCTGCGCGAGCGAACTGTACAAGGCGCTCGGCCTGATCAACCCGGACGCGATATGGCTCGTGCTCGCTGGTACAGTCAGGCTTGATGCGTCGTTTCCGGCACATTTGCACATGCCCAATCTCGACTTTGGCCCAAACGTCGATTTGCTTCTCGAGCAGCTGTAACGCGCAACTCGGTCTCACAGCCTATCGAGGGAGAGCGCATGGGAACAACAAGTGAGATGGCGAGTACGTTGCGCTTCCGCTACATGCCAAACCGCCGCGGAGTCCGCTTGACGACAGGCGTGCCGACTCCAGCGATCCTGGGCGTGCTCGCGACGCTCTTGGCCGCCCTCTGCCTTTCCGCCTTCTCCTGCTTGTCCCGCTCGAACTCCTCCTTTAAGCGCATCTCGGCATCCGACTCGGTCTTGAACTGCTGCTTGGCGGCAAGACGCTGGCGGTCGGAGAAGTGTTGCTCGCGGACTGTGAAAGCGGGAGAGGTCAGCTACAACCTCAGGAAAGACAGCGCAAACGCGGGACGCACCGGAGTAGAACTTTGAGCCAAGCTCGGCGAGCCAGTAAGCGTCGACAGACGTGACGGTCGACATGTACTCCTTGCTCGTCAGAACGAGTTCATGGTAGACGACGTAGTCGGGCAGGAAGCCAAGGCCGTAGAGCGAGGACGTGGCGTGCAGGTGCATCGGAACTGTCAGGAGAGAGCGGAAGTCAGCAAAGCTGGAAGGACGGGAGAACAGGCGCATGCTTACCTCCGGTCCTCAAGTGCTGAAACTCGCCGATACCCTTGACGCGCGCGGCCTGGTGGAAGTACGCGCCGCAAATGGTTTTGCGAATGACGTCCCAGTCGGTGCCGCACGGGATGATGTCGAGCTTCTGGTGCTTCATGATGTCGAGAAGCTGCGTTCGAACCTCGCGCGCCTTGCGGAGCGTCTTCGGGTGCAGGAAGTGCCGCGCTGCCCAGGCATCCGAGTAGCTGTAAGGCGCTGGGTCAGCAGGCGATCGAGAACGGAGAAGCGAAGATCTCGGACGCACCCGTTAGACTTCCACTGCGTGTAGACGTGCAGCAGCGTCAGGTGATCGCTCTCCGGGACGAAGAACTTCTCCCTCGCGGCGTCCGACTCTTCTGCGCGCTCCTTCGGTCTGTAGAAGACGCTCGGCACCGAGAGCATCGAGACGATGGTGAGGACCTCTGCCGAGCAGCGCATTTCGACCGACGAGATGAGCATCTTGGCAAGAGCGGGGTCCATCGGGAAGTGTGACATCTTGCGGCCGAGGTCGGTCAACTCGCCGGTGTTGTCGAGCGCGCCGAGCACCCAGAGCTGGTACATCGAGTTGAGAATGTTCTCCTGCGGCGGCGGGTCCATGAAGTCGAACTCGAGGAGGTTCTTGACGCCGAGCGACTTGAGCAGCAGGACCGTGTTAGAGAGGTTCGTTCGCTGGATCTCGGGGATCGTGCTCTCGAACATCTCGTCGCGGAAGGCCATCTCGGTGAAGAGGCGGTAGGCGGTGCTACGAGAGAGCGGGTCAGGCGTGCATCTTGGCGAACTCAACGCAATGCGCGACTCACCCTGCTCCTGTTCGTCCGGCACGTCCAGAGCGCTGGTTGGCATTCGCCTGCGAGATCGGCGTGATCTGCAGCGAGTCCATGCCCATCCGCGGGTTGTACACCTTGAGCTTGCTGAATCCGGCGTCGACAACGTACATAATGCCGTCGACTGCACGCAAGACAGCGTCAGCTCGAGGTCGAGTCTATGCGAGACGGAGGCAGCGCACCCGTGAGCGAGGTCTCGGCAATGTTGGTCGCAACGATGCACTTCCGCCGGCCGTCTTCCGTCGCCGAGAAGATCTTGGCTTGCAGGTCAGCGGGCATCTGCGAGTAGATGGGCAGGACTTCGAGCGGCGCGACGTCGTCCACTTGCAAGAGGCGTTCTGTACAGCGAGAGGCGGTCAACGGGCTGTTCAAGTCGCACGACGGGCTCAACGCACCCTTGATGACGTCGCAGGTGACCTCGATGTCCTCCTGACCCGTCATGAAGATCAGGACGTCGCCAGGCGGGTGCGAGATGTGGATCTGCAGCGCCTGCTTGACAGCCGAGTCGACGTAGTCTTCACACGGCGTCTTGCTGAAGAGGACATCGACAGGGAACGTTCGGCCGGGGATGGTGAAGCAGGGAGCGTCGTCGTAGAACTTTGAGAACTGCGAGCGGAACAATCAGCACAAGAACCGATGAAGTGCGCGGCGGTACGGACCTTTGCAGCGTTCATGGTTGCCGAGGTGACGATGAGCTTGAGGTCTCGTCGTCGGGACAAGACTGCAGAGGAGGAACGGTCAGCGCATGTCGAGCTGGCAGCGTTCCCGACTCACTCTTTCGCAGCAGGCCCATCAGGATGTCGGTGTTGAGCGACCGCTCGTGAGCCTCGTCGAGGATGATGACGCTGTAGCGGTCCAGATCGCCTTCGTTGAGCGACTCGCGAAGCATCACACCGTCCGTCATGTCTACGAGGTGCTGCTGTTAGCACAGACGCAGGGCGAGCGAGCGCGAAGGAGACCTACACTTGATGACGGTCTTCTCGGATGTGCAGTCCTCGAAACGGATGCTGTAGCCGACTTCGGCGCCGAGCTCGCACTAGGGAAAGAGGGATCAGTCGGCGAACGTTCGTGGATCGCACCGTCGCGAACGCACCTCCATCTCCTCCGAGACACGCTGCGCGACACTCATAGCGGCGACACGACGAGGTTGCGTGCAACCGATGAGGCCGTATTGCGAGTAGCCTTCCTCGTGCAGGAACTGGGTGAGCTGCGTCGTCTTGCCGGAACCGGTCTCGCCGATGACCACGACGACTGCACATCGCCACGAGAGACCGGTCAGTGTGTCCTGAGTCGCACATAGAAGACCTGGACGCACCCTGATTCTCCCTGACAACCTTGAGCAGGTCTTCCCGCGAGGCGAACGCTGGAAGGTACTGCCGCTGCTCCTTCAAGCTCTTCGTTCGCGCGAATTGACTCGTGCCCTTGCCCTTCGTCGCCTTCTTCATATGCTCCGCGAATTGCGAATCGGATCCCTTGCGACCCTCGTCCTCCTCGTGCTTGACATCCGACGTCGAGGTCTTCTTCTCGCCGGTGCTCTCGCCTGTAGAGAAGAGAAGGTAAGCCGGCGAGCTGCACGACTTTGGAAGGATGGACACGTACCGTCCGCATTCTCCTCCTCCTTGACGCCCATGATGTTGCCAAGCGCGGTACCAGCGAGACTGGCGGCTTTCGCTGCGGCCTGCAGGAGGAGTCGTCAGTCGAACCGTCCTCATCCGCAAAGGAAGAGGGTACGTACTCGCTCCCTCTCGCGCTGCGCCCTCCGCTCTCGGACGAGTAGACTGCCCTTCTTCGAAAAGACCGCCAAGTCGCTCGTGGGGTCCTTGATCGGATTGATCGGCTCGAGCTGCTTCGTGAAAGCGGTTTTGCCGTCCAGGAAAGGAGGCTTGAGGTCGTGGACTAGCAGGTGAACCCTGGACTCCTCGTCGTCATCGAGCGAGTCGAAGTCGAGCTGGCGCCGCTCGCCCGTCGCGCCGGACAAGGCGAGCTGATTCCGCTCCCACTGGTCGTTCTCGGCGTTCCGCGCAGCTTGCCGTGCCGTCAGGCGCTTCTTTGGCTGCGCCCCGGGCCCTCCGCCAGCCTTTTGAATAAGCTCGGCTTCACGGTCGGCAAAGTCGTCGTATCCTTCGAAGTCCTGCGCCACCTCGTTGCCGGCTTCGTCGATGTTGTACCAGGAGCGGTCGACTTCGCGCACGTCTTGCTCCCAGCCGCCCGCATCGCCATCGTTGTCGCCGAGAGCGGAAGGCGGTTCGCGTAAGGGGTAGGGTGACTCGTCGCCTCCGGCCACGCGCACCGAGCGAGGTGTATCCCACTCGCGCTCGTCACGTCGCCCGGAAGATGAGCGAGGTGTCGAGTCCCAGCTTGCGCGCGAGCGAGGCGTTGCCGACGGATCGCGAGGACCGCCGCGAGACGGCGTTGAATCCCAGGACTGGTTCCGCAGTCGAGCAGCAGAAGTCGACGAGCCGCCAGGCGTCTCTGGCTCGTAGCCTCCGGCTCGCTGCGAGGTCCGCCCGCCGTAACCCTGATCCCGCTCACGCCCATCGCGCTCCGGTTCCCTACCGCCTCGCGCATCTCGATCCCGTCTTCGCTCCTCATTCCTGTTCAGACGCTCCCTGAAGCCCTCCATCGCGCTTCTTCCACCCTCGTCGCGACCCTTCAGCTCGCGAGTGTCCGCTGCGGCTGCGGCACGCTTCGCTCGGTGCTCTTCGAGGCGACGACGAGCGGTGTCGGAGAGACCGCCAGGATGGGATGGAGTGTCGGATGGTCGATTGCGAAGGTTCGAAGGTGCGGAGCGGCGAGTCGGAACTGCGAAGCAAGATTGTCAGCTCGAGCAGTTCGTGGGAACCCTCAACAGCGCCCTGAACGCACCCTTGAAGCCCGCACTAGTCTGGTCCTCCTCTTCGTCATCGTACTTGAAGCGCTTGATGTCACTCCTCTTGTCCAAGTCTGCCTTCTCCCTCCGCTTCTCCGCAGCGAGCCTATCAAGTCCCAGCGCACTCCGCTGGGGGACCTTGAAGACATGCTTGTCCTCTCCCGCTCCCATGCTCAAGCCTGCCCGGACTGGCTGGTCTGGCTCAAGGACGTCGTGGTCCATGATCTGAATCCCCCTTCCGCCGTTGAGCGACGAGCCAGGCTGACTGAACGCCCGCTCGATCGTCTCCTGCGCCTGACAGTACTCGTAGATCTCTGTCGCCTGCGGGAGCGAGAACCGCCCGAACGCCGAGATGGCCTTGTGGAACGAGTCGACGGTCGAGTGCGAGTGCGAGAGATTGTAGACTGTCTTGGCGAGAACTGGATTCGGGTTGAGGGTGTTCAGCGAACGCGAGAGGAGGATGGCGAGGTGTTGCATGGGATCCATGGTCGGATTCGGCTCGGGAGACGCCATTGTTGCGGGTCGAGGTGAGTCGGAGCGATGAAGTCGAGAGAGGTGGTGGCTGGGTCGAGAGAGAGAGTGAGGCGGGTTCGGATGCCTTGCAGGTGTATCTCGGGACGCCTCGAGCTATAGCTGGCCTGCTCGAGCGCTTGCCAGCGCAGTCGCGACGGTGGAGGCGGGGTGAGGTCGAGGAGAGAGAACGGGGGAGTGGCAGCAGACGGCGAGCTCTGCGTGCCTTGTAGCAAAGCCTGAGCTGTCAAAGCCGGCGCTCGAAGCAACAAGCAGTCCTCCCGCCGAACGAGAGGAAGTGGTCGAAAGCAACCAGCAACCTTTCGAGGCGGTCGACGGCGACGAAGACGATGCCAACAGCTCTCGTTTGCTGTTGTGGACACAACCCGCTAACGAGTACGACAAACTGAACGAGTCTAGCGATACAAGGAACGATACGGACAAAGCTAGATACAAGAAACCCTGCCTCCTCGTCTCCTCAGTCCTTGAAGAACTTGGCGACCCTGTTGCCGATAATCTTGGCCGCCTCCTTCATCTGCTCAGGCGTCGCCGACGAGAACGACATGCGGAAGAACCCGTCCCCGTCTTCCGTGACGGCGAGGTGTTCCTCGGCTTGAGCAAAGCCAGGCGCTGCGTCACCTGGCCCGAACGTGCGCGCCGAGAACATGGTGCCAGGAGCGACGAGGACGTTGTGTTCGGCAAGGTCTTCCCACAAGGCGCCGAGGAGGTCGGTCGTCGGCTTCGAGTTGTATTCAGGGTGCGAGGCGAAGTGGACCCGGAGCCAGACTGCCGGTACCAACGTACGTCAGTCCAGCAATAACGCAGAACGGAGACGCTGGAGACGTACCAAACATGCCGCCCTGGGGCGCGACAAAGGACAAGATCCTCCTCCTCCGCTGCTCGCGCGCGCCCTTCTCGCTCCTCACGACACCCTTCTCGCTCAACGAGCCAGATCTGCGCGTCCAAAGCTCGTACGTTCCGTTCGATGTCTTGCGCGCGTCGAGCGAGGCGTGCGAGATGTCGAGGAGAGCATCGACGAGGGTGTTACGGCGGTCGCGGTACTGGGCTTTGATGCCTGGATGCGCGAGACGTGGTCAGCGTATCGACTCCGACAGGGCACAGCAGCGCTGCCGACAAGAGTGCTGACGCCGCACGTAGGTCGCGAGGAGGAACGCACCCTTGAGCCACCTCAAATAGCCCGTCAAACCCCACTCCTCCGCCAACAATTTGCCCACCAACGCCTGCGCAAACCCAGACGCAGATTGCGTGCTGCTCTCGTTCGCGCGCTCGAGACGCTCGGCGAAGATGGGGTTGCAAGTCGTCCAGCCGAGACGCGAGCCAGGGCAAATCGTCTCTGCGGGAGCGTTCATGCATCAGGTCAAGTCGTGAGGACGAGTAGGGAGCGGACGCACTGGAGAAGGTGTCGATGCGAACGACGCGGCCTTGGTAGTCGATGTTGAGGTAGGAAGGGACGAGGCTCTTGAGGAACTCGTCGTCCGACTCGGTCACCTTCGGTCGAGCAGCGGCGCGGAGAGCTTCGTCGTGCTCGTACTCGCCCGTCTGGAGGAAGTAGTAGGCTGTAGCAGGACGCGAGTGGTCAGCATCCAGCAAAGGACGCATTGCGAGCACTCAGCAAAGCGCTCCGCAAATCGCTGCGAAGCCGACTCACGGTCATCTTCGACGATGATGACGTCGTACTTGACGGCAATCTCGTAGATGCGCTTCTTGCGCTCGAGTGACATGGTCGCGCCTGTCGGGTTCTGGCAGACCGGGATCGTGTAGAGGAGGCGAGGACTGTAAGGCGCAGAAGCCGGGTCAGTGCAAGATGCACCCCAGACTCAAGCCGTTTAAGACTCCAGTGTGGAGGAGGAAACGGCAGCCGGAAAGGGGCCGACGTCGTACGCACCGGGGCATCCCGTCGTGCTCGTCTGGGTTCCATTTCGCGAGCAGGTCGTCCATCCCTTCAGGCGTCATACCTTCGCCGTCCATCGGGAGCGGAACAGGCTTGATGCCATTCGGCCACGCAGTACTGCGAGAAAGACGAAAGGCATGAGTGGCCTTCTACCTTAAGCAGCACTCTTCCCCCTGCCGAGTTGGCTGCAGAGAAGGGAAGCGATCGTGATAGAGTGACCACTCACGCCAAAGCACTCGGATACGTCCACTCCTCCGCCAACACGCCATCGCCGGGGTTGCAAAGCGTCGTGACAATCTTGCCCCAGGCGTCGGTCGAACCGGCGTTGATGACGGTGCGGAAGTCGGATGTGCCGGGGCGGTAGACGTGAGAGGTGAACTCGTAGATGAAGCGGGCGAGGGGAGGGAGACCAGCGGCCGTTCCTGCGAGAGGAGAACGCAATGTCAGCAATCGAGATAGGAACGATTCCCGGCCGTTATCCCAACAAGCCTCGTCGCTATCTCCACGCCTTCTGTACACCGATGGAAGCAGAACGCACCGTACTGAAGCGCCGACGACAGCTGGATCTTGTCCTTCTCGTCCTCCCACTTGCGAATCGTCCACTCGTCCGTCTTGCCCGCCAATCCCGCAACCCAGTTCCACAACCACTGTCCGAACCCGACCTGTGTAGTCTTGAACGAGTTGCGCTGGAGCGACGTCGCAGAGATGGTCTCCTGCTCGTGTGTGGAGGCGATGGGTCAGCGTCGGACTCGGAATGGGATCGCACAAGGCGGAAGCGGTCGGACCAAGTCCCAGCGCAAGAGACAGAGTCCAGAACAGCGTGGGAGTCGAGATCGAACCGCCGGCGCAGCGAGCGAGCGAGGGAGGGACGCACGAAGGGGAAGAGTTCCGGGGGTGGCAGACCGCCTGCGAGCATGAGCATGCCTGGCCGCTGGAAGTACTTGTACATGCCCTGCAGACGTGTCTCTAGCTGTCAGTATCGGTCCCATCTCGAGTCGTTCGCGGTGAGCGCACCTTGAGCGGCGATGCGATGCGGGACTTGGCGAGGTGCGAGAGGTGGTGAGACAGGTCGATAGCTTCGGGGCGGTCCATGGCTGTGTAGGACGACGGGGCGAGCGCAAACGAGTCGTCCATGGCTGAGCGAGTGAGGTGAAGGAGCGAGAGAGTCGAAGAGGCCATGCGGTTTGTCAATGGCGACTCTGGGATCGGGTTGCGATAAGCCGGAAGATATTGCAGCGACAATCTATCGAGGTCAGTACTCGTGGAAACCCAAAGAAAGGCTGAAGGCGTCGATGAAGCCCCTCCTCCCGCCCCAAACCGCTCGATCCACCGTGGCATCCTCAATATTGTCTGTTCCGGGTCGTTTCGACTGGCCGCTACATCCTCGAGAGACTACGGACCAGGTCGAGGCGTCTTGACTGGCCGATAAGCGGTCGACAAGCCGACAGGTCGAGACGAAGCCGAGGAGGAGAGCAACGGCGGGGACTGGAAGCAGTCAAGGCCACTTGGCCTACTCATGTCGGAGGGAATGTCTCGAGCATAGTGCCGGCGTCTGGGCGTCTACGCTGCAGGGCCAGAGGCAGGCGGTCGGGTGAAGTGTGTGAGCAGGAAAGAGGCTGCAACGGCCGAATAGCGAAGCCGTTTTGGCTTTCAGCGCCGAGGGAGGTGCACTCTGGCGCTGTTGTCTGGCGGCAAGTCGTGAAGTCCCAGCTGTCCTCGAGCGGGAGAAGATGCGGCGAGAGAGGGAGAGGCAGGCGGGCGAAGTCGTCCGTGGCTCGAAGTCGGTTCGATTGAAGAGTTCTTGCACCATAGAGCCTCAGGCGAGTGCCATCCCCTCCGTAGCACGCAAAGCTCACCTTTGAAGGCGCAAGTCGGTCGCGACTTGACGAGCGAGGAGAGCGGGTCGAGTGTGAGGCCCCTCAGCTCGCGGGCGTTCGAGAGCAGGTAGACAGCCCTCGAAAGCAGCTTTGAGCACTGTACAGCACCAGTCAGCTAGCCAGCAGCGGTCGCGGCGCATCAAAGTGAGCTGTCGAAGTTCAAGAGCATCTTGACTCTCGACACCGACGACGCTCACACACGAGCTGCTTGGCGAGGCTTGCTAGAGCTCCGAACGGACTCGCTTGACCGCGCTTCACCCGCTTCCGAAGGTCGCAGCGCCGCCATGTCATCCCCTCGACCCGCTTCTCTCCTCTCGCAAGGTCGACCCGCATCTCCCTCTTCCGCACCAGCACAAGGCGCACAGGCTTCAGGACAGGCAGCAGGAGGAGGAGCAAAGGCGAACAAGGGCAAGTCGGCCAAGGACCAGGCCAAGGCGGAGAAGGCGGCGCGGAGGGCGGCTGCTAAAGCGGCGCAGGGGGGACAGGCCGGTGCTGGACCGGGTGGAGACGGCGGAGAACGAGGAGTGCAGGGAGGAGAGAAGCCGCAGGGCAAGGGCAAGGGCGCGCAGGGAGGGCAGGGCAGCGGGAAGGGCGGCGCAAAGGACGGTCAGGGAGGAGGAGGGCCCGCTGCTGCGTCTGGTGCGGGTGCGGGAGGGCAGGGAGCCTCGCAAGGAGGACGAGGAGGCGATTCCGCGTCCCAGGCGGGCGGCCCCTCGCACACCGACACCCTCCAACCCTTCCTCCACCTCGACCTTCCTCTCCCCTCGTCCAGTCTCTCGCATTCTTCGAAGCTCAACACGGCCAACATCCACCCGAGCATCCTGCGACTTGCCCTCCAGTACAGCGAGTTCAAGATTGTCGGCGCAAACGCTCGCTGCATCGCCATGCTCGAGGCGTTCAAGGATGTGCGCATGCTCATCTGCTCGCTTTAGCCGCTGGAGCTAATTCATTGAGCTTTGCAGATCATCAACTCGTACACTCCGCCTCCGCAAACCTCGCTCACCCGCCACCTCCCAACAACCCACCTGAACCCTCAAATCGCCCACCTCATCCGCGCACGGCCACTGTCCGTCTCGATGGGCACCGCTATCCGCTTTCTCAAGTACGAGATCTCGCTGATTGAGATGGAGATGCCGTTGGAAGAGGTGCGTCGGAGCGTCGGCAGTGGCTGCGTCTGACAGTCGTGCTGGACTGACTTTGCCTGTGCCTGCTGGTACTCCTTACAGGCCAAATCCCTCCTCATCTCGAAGATCGACTCGTTCATCCGCGACCGCATCCTCCTCGCCTCTCGCGTGATCGAGCAGCACGCGATCGAAAAGATCAACGACGGCGATGTGATTCTTACCTACGCGCGGTCGAGCGTCGTCGAGGGCGTCTTGCTCGAGGCCAAGCGGCAAGGCAAGGAGTTCAGCGTCGTCGTCGTTGACTCGCGACCGTTGTATGAGGGTGCGTGCAAGCTCGAGTCCTGTCAGCCAAAGCGTTCCCAGCGCTGGTGCTGATTTTCTGCGTGACCGCCGCGCACAGGCAAGCACCTCCTTCACTCCCTGCGCCTCGCCTCGATCCCAACAACCTACGTCCTCCTCCCCTCGCTCTCGCTCGTCCTCCCGCGCATCTCCCTCTGCTTACTCGGCACAAATGCGCTCCTCTCGAACGGCTCGATGTTCTCCCGTGCGGGAACGGCGATGGTCGCCATGATGCTCAAGGAGAAGGGCGTCCCGGTCGTTTGTTGTTGCGAGACTTACAAGTTCAGCGAGCGGATCATGCTGGATTCGATTGTTGGCAACGAGCGGGGTGCGTAGCGGACTTCCTTTCGCTTTCGTGGTTGGCTGTATTTGCGCATTGCGCAAGTCTCGCTGACTCTGCAATGGTGTCCTTCTTGCAGCCACCCCGCAACCGCTCCTCTCCTCCCTTCCCATTCCCGCACCTGCACCCTCCGCAACAACCTCCAAACCACCTCCCCCCTCCTCCACGCCCGAAACGCCCCACCTCTCCCCCCTCTCACTCCTCTACGACGTCTCACGCCCGGAGGACGTCACGGTAGTCATCACCGAAGCGGGACTGATACCCGTCCAGAGTGTGCCGGTGTTGTTGAGGGATTACAAGCCGGTTCAGGGGAGGAATTCGTAGGAGTTGACGTAGCGGCGAGGGTGGAATGTATGTGTGGAGAGGAGGACGGATGGGAGGAGGAGAGGGGACGTGAGAGTGCTGACGAGACGAGTCCCGTTCGCTTTCTGCTGTCCGCTCGCCACCTCGATCTCACGCACTCGGGCTAACTATGTAACGACCCGCGACGAGCGAATGATGACCTGCTTCGATTGCGGCAGTCTTCTGATCATGATGGAGAGAGAGAGGGAGAAGATGCGTAATGATGGATGACAAACGACACACATGCAGAGCGAGAGAGAGATGCGATGAAAAGGTCGGTGTTGTAAGGTATATGTACGGTGGGGGGAAATTCGAAGGGTTCTAGGAGAGGAAGAGATGCGGAGATGGATGGTGTGGACGCGAGCGCGAGGAAGAGGAGGCGCGATGGTGAGTGAGTACGAGAGTGACGAATACAGGTCGACAGCTGTAGAGGGAAGCAGAGGACGCACGTCAGCGTCCATCCGCAAACAGCAGACCCGAAAGCAAACGCGGAAACTTACCCCTTCGCGCGGGGGGCTACCGCAACAAATCACTCAACGACAACCCGCTTCCTCCCTCCAAATCCACCACACCTCGACTCATAGGCCCACTCGCGACGAGCGCCTTGATCCTCGCCGGGTCGGGGCTGCGTCCGCGTCTTCTTCGTTGCTCGGTAGAAGAGTCTGTGGATGAGGCGGACGAGGTGCGGAGGAGGTGCGGGGGCTGTTGGGGAGCCGAGTGCGGTTTGGAAGCGAAGGAGGGAGGGGTGGAGAGGCGGGGAGAGGTCGGGGGAGAAGGCTCGGGAGATGTGCCGGGCGAGCGGGAGAGGGGCGACAGCGAGCGGAGGAAGAGGGACGTCGCTGCCCTCTTGCGCCTTTTCACCGTCGGTGCAGGCGAGTCGAGTTCGACGGACGAACGAGGCGAGGAGGATGAGGAGGTAGAATCGGTTGGCGAGCCTGGCGCGAGGCTGGCGAATGCGGCGTGGTCTCGAGGGTCTGATGCGTGTCGTCTAGGCTCGACGGCCGCGAGCGTCGAAGGCAGCGAAGGGCGAGCAGGGTGCGAAACGGTCGCCGAGCGAGATCGCAGCGCAGAGAGGTAGGGATGCGTTCGCGTCGCCGGATGCGCGGCGGTGGACGCGGTCGACGTCGAGAGCGTGCTGTGCAACTCGTCGATGGGCGAAGCAGTCGCCGGCGAGCCCTTCTTCGAGTGCGAAGGCGTCCGCTTCGGCAAGAGACCCCTCGTCAAGACTGCCAGTCCCTTGACGACGCTCGCCCCGTGTCCGTGCGCGTGCCTGTGGTCCTCCTCGATCGACTCGACCTCGCTCGCGCCGTCTGTATCCGTCTCTGAGGCGCCAGGCGTGAGAGCGGGGACCAAGTCGGACGACGACCTGCTGGGCGAACGCAATTCCGCCTCGTCCGAGCGCTCGTCCTCCTCCTCTGCCTCCTGCACGCCGTCGAGCGAGTGGAAGGGGAACTCGCCGAGCTTGCGGACCGAGCGACGGCGAGCGGTCGGGGGTCGGACGGAGGAGGAGGAGGGTGCGACGACAGAAGACGGCGCGCTCGTGTACTCGCGCGGTTCTTGGACGAGCTGGGGTGCCGCGAGTCCTGCGAGAGGCCTTCCACCTGGTCTAGGTCTGGTACGGGGCGACGAGTTGGGGCATTGGCAGTTTGGTGGTTCGAGGCGGAGGAGGGAGAAGACGGCGGAGGTTGCGAGGGCGAGTGCGGCGTAGACGAAGGAAGCGAGGAAGGTGAGCGGGCGCTGGAGAGCGACCCAGTGCGCGTGTGCGTTGATGGGCAAGGCTGCGATGACCCAGCTCATCATTCCTCGGGAGCGAGCGCGGGAAGCGAAGTTGGCTTGGCGGACGAGTGTGAGCGAGTGAGCAGGTGTGGTGAGCGGGTGTGGGTTGGCGGGTGTTCTGAGTGGAGTCAAGCGAGTGCAGGCATCGTCTTACGGCGCCAGCGAGAGTTGCCGCGACTTCGTAAGCGAGGGGCGGAGGTTCGGGAGTTGGCACGGGCACGGGCACGGGCCAGCATCCGTGCCTGCGCCCGCTACCCGAGCCCCGACCCCGCATTACACCGCATTACAACCCGCACTCCTAGTGATTCCATTACGACCCGCCCTTCCCGCCGCCCGCTGCCCTCCTCGCTTCTCCGGCCACGCACACTCGCATTCCCGCCTTGCCCTTCCCCTGACCCTTCCCCTTCGTCTTGGCCTTGGGTTTTGGCCGTGACGCGCGCACGGCCGTAGACTCGTCCCACACCTTGAAGATCGGGAGACTCAGTCCTGCGTTGTCTGCTGCCGCCGTCCGCGCCTCGCCCCCGCCGTGGTCTCCCTCGCTCCCTCGCGCCTTCCTCCCCCTCTGTCGAATCATCTCGACGACGCCTTCGAGGCGTGAGTGTCGTCGGTGAGGCTGCTCGTCGTGTCGAGTCGGAGCGCGTTCGGGCGTGAGAGGAGAAGGGACGGAACGAGGGAGGCCGAGGCGGCGACGACGTGTGTCGAGTGCGCGGTCGTAGACGCGGATGTACTGCAGTCCACGTCAAACAACTCTATCAGCGCTTAAGTCGCGGAGGGAGAGAGAGAGAGAGAGGAGCCAAACGCACCTCCTCAACAGGCCCGCCCTCCCTATCCCACCTCAACTCCAACGCACTCCCAACCAACCTCCTCACACTCCTCTCCCTCTCCCTCATCGACCTCGTCCTGTCGCGCTCCCAACCGCTCAACGCCCGCCTGACAGCCTTGCGCAGCTCTTCCCGCGCAGGAAGGAGCATCTCCTCGTCCGGTCGCACGTCTTGCGCGGAGCGAGAGTGGTCTTCTTCCGCTCCTTGCGTCTGCGGGACCTCTTCCTCGCCGCTCGTGCGACGGGGGAAAAGGTCGAACAAGTAGCTGTTCCCCCTCCCCTCCCCCTCTTCCTCCTCCTCTTGCTCAGGGATGGGCACGAGAAACTCCCCCAGCCCTCCCACACCCGTACTAACCACCCTCATCCCAAACAACAACGCCTCAGCCGCGACGAGCCCAAACGCCTCGCTCAAGCTGGGTACGAACGCAAAGTCGCTCGCGAGGCGGACCAAGGTGCCGTAGTCGCGCTGGAACGAGGATGTCGAGGGGGAGCGGTCGTCGATCAGCGTCAGGTGGGAGGGATACGCGCGCGCGAGGTTGGTGAGCAAAGAGAAAGGGTAGTTGTTCCTCGCGCCGAGGAGGATCAGTCTCCCTCCCTGAGGCGAGCGCGCGAGTTCGTCGAGGAGGGTGGAGAAGAATTGACAGCCTTTGTTGTATTGGTAGCGGCCGATAAAGACGAACCAGGGTTGGGAGAGGTCGGTGGGGGAGAAGTGTTGCGGGAGGTGCGAGACGAGGAAGGCGCGGGCGCGGCGTTTGGACGACACGAAGGAGGGATCCCCCGGCGACGAGGGGAACGTCGAAGGATCGAACAAGTCGCCGCCTGGTACGCGAGGGAACGCCAACCCCCGCTCGACGAGTTTGGGACTCGTGAACGGATTCCGCTCCCTCTCCGTGAAGTCCAACCCGTTCGTGACGCCCACAAACTCGCCCTTCGCCGCGCGGCGCGCGATAGAGGGCATGACGAGGTCCTGGAGGTGGAAGCGGAATCGGCCTGAGACGATGTCGGCTGCGATGGAGCGAGAGACGAAGGTCGTCATGTCTGCTAGGTCGATGCCGAGGGCCGAGGCGAAGAGTTGCGTCCCCGAGCGGTAGATGTACGGTTGGAGGCGGGCGAGCGGGTGCGAGGCGCTGCGAGTGTCATCGAGGTCGTTCGAGCGTGTCGGAGCGGGAGCGGGCGGGAGGAAATGCACGACGTTTTCGACGAGGTTTGAGTACTCGACCTCGTCGAGCGAGTCATGCAACGTGTAAACAATCGCCGGATGACGACTCTGCAGTCGCTGAACATGTCGTTCCTCCTTCTCCCTCTCGCGCAAGAAATGCGCGACAAAGGCGTTCGTCGCACCGTGCAAGTGAACGACATCGACTCGCCTTTTCGCGCTCAAGCCAGGCGTAGGCTCGTCGTTGTCGTCGAGCGGTAGGTCGTCGTCCTCAAACACCGTCGCCTCGTCCTTGGCCCCCAAGTACGCAACCAACTCTGCCGCGGCCCTCGCGAAATACAGATCCTTCCACTCCTGTTTGAGCGGCTTGCACGCCGAATAAATATCGCCTTCGTCTTTCGCTCTGAACGCGGCGGAGAAAGGGCGAGAGTCGCTAGGTCCGAGGAGGTAGATGTCGATCGTGCGTGCGGGTGGGTCCGAGATGGGTTCGTCCGCGGGAGAGGGGGTGTGGAGGAAATCGGGTGAGGGGGTGTAGGACCATCGGAGGAGGGAGACGGGAACGCGGATGTGTCTGGCGGGTCGAGAGGGTGAGGAAGGGTGGGTCGTGATTGGGATGGTGAGGTTCGCGAAGGGGCGAATCTCGTCTGCCGAGTAGCGGTCGCGGAGGTAGGAGTAGTGTGGTAGGGCGACGGCGATAGATAGGAGGGGCGAGTCGGATTGCGCGATCGAGAGCGCCGTGAGCATAACGCCTAGTCCGCCCATTGTCGCTGGCCCAAACTCTTTCGTGACGTGCAGGATGCGGGTCGCGGGGCGAAGGGATATGGGTAGAGAATGGTCGAGGTGGCGGTACTCTTGCAGAGTGTAAGGTCGTTTTGCTGGGTACGAGCGTTTGTCAGCTTGAGAAGCGTGAAGGGTGGAGGGACAGAACTCACGGATGATCAGAGGTGGCCGCTTCTGCGTGTGCAGAAGTACATAGAGAGTGACAGCGACTGCAAGTGCCAGCAGCACAACCACCGTCCATCGTCTCCTCACGAACTCCCAAATCCGCTCACCAGCCCGGTCGCCTCTCCCACCCCTCTTCTCCCTCCCTCCGCTCTTCTCCTTCACGCCGCCATTCTGAAATTGAATCGATAGTGTACTGCGCGTGCGATTCCGCGGCGAGAGGCGGTAGGAGAGGGTGTGGGTGGGTGAGTGGAGAGGGGAGTGGGTGGAGATGGAGGTTGAGCGGGCCGTCCTTGACCTCGGCGGGGTCGAGGGTGGGTCTGCGCGCGTGTTGGAGGCTGTGAGAGGGTTTCGACGTGTCAGAGGGAACTGGGACGCACCGTGGGCCATGGCAAGTCCTCCGAAAGGTCGGCGCGATGAGGAGGTGGGGGAGGCGAGAGGACACCACGGGCGGGGCTGAGCGCGGGACGGGTGGTACAATTGACCCTCAGAAAGACAACCCAATCGCTAGCAAGTCATCCTGAGCGGTGTGTGAGCGTGTGCAGCGTGTGCCAGCTGGTCGACCTTGGACCCGTCGCGCGCTCGCCTCTTGGTTCTCTACACTTCACCCGTCCGTCGTCCTCTCGCTTGGTGGTCGCTGCAAGACCTCGTACTGACTCTCTCTACTTGTACAGTTCTTGCCACGCTGCCCGCCTCCTCTCCAGAGACGGTTCAGTGCCATGGGACTGCCTCTTCTCGAGGCGCCCACCGAGGGGGAGACCAACACACAAAGAACCGGTGATAGGAAGCGGACTGACGCGAACTAGCCTGAAGCTGCTCTACGAGGGCTGACGGCCTTAGCGCGGGACCGTGCTGACGCATATCCGGCACATTTCTTCGCACGACGACGATGGCGGCGAAACTTTTCCCATACCCCTGCCCCTCTTTCGACTCGCTGCCTGAGGGATGGACGGGATGGACGGGTGGGCTTGGTACAGGCGGGATGCAATCGCAGGCTGTTCGAGCGGGCTGCGGGATTGGGTCGCGAGAGAGACGGCTTGGTGCTTGGGCTTCCATGGTGGGCTCCCCTTCACTCGCTTCCAGTGCTGCGTTCGCTCGAGCTGACCCTGAACCGTTCGACAGCTACTCGCTTCCATCCCGCTCGCTTTCGCCGTTGCCGCCCTCTGTCTCCTCGCCGATCGAACAGGTGAGCCGTCCCTCTCCTCCCTCCCTCCCCTCCCCTTCCGCCGCCCGCTCCAGCCAAAGAAGGACACAAAACAAACGATTTAATGAGCACGAACCACCCCGTCCCCATCCCACCTCTGCGTTCACACGCGCGACCCATTCCCGCAGCGGTTTCCCTCTGCGTTTGGGTTGTGCGTGGGGACTAAGAGGATGGGAGGGGTGGGGGGATATGTGTACAGCTTTTATTGCTGAGGCTATAGCGTGGGCGGGAGCAAGAGTCGAGGAATCGATAGGACGAACGCTGACGGCTTTTCGTCCCTCTTTCGTAACAGCTCGACGGCTTTCGCTTTACGCTTGCGGCTTGTCTTGTTCGAATGGCTCGACTGTGGCTTGCTATATCTCTACACGAGACGCCAGCATCTCCCGCTTGTTCGCCAGCGCTCGGCCAGTGCTCGACTCTTCTTCTCATTTTCCTCCTCGCTCGCTACCTCCCTCCCGCCGCACGCCAACGTGCACACTCGGCATCCCATGCTCGTCGCTCGGGCACCGCCTTTCCTCCGCTTCTCCAGGCTGGAGAACTGGAGGAGGAGGAGACCTCCACATCTGCTCCACCTCCTCCTCCTTGCCTCCTCCTTCCACGAACTCTTCGGCCGATGACTCGAATAACTTACTCCGCAGCGTGCTTTGTGGATCAGCCGATGGCCGTGCGTGACGAGCTACGAGTCTGACTGAGATTTGGCGCAAGGAGGAGGAGGAGGAGAAGGAGGAAGGGATCTCGCTCGCTCGTCGCTCACGCTGGCTGCTCGCATGCTCGATCTGTCACCGTTTCTCAATGCTCGTCGTTTCTGCTTCATCACTGTCCGAACAGCTGCTATCGGACACGCCGGCGCACCAAGTACTTGCTGACTCTCCTGACCTGCTTACGAAGCGCCTTCTTCTCCGACCTTTCTCTCTCGATCACTAAGTTAGATCCACGATCGTGTTCTCCGAGAATGAATCCGCTCCTGATGACTTGCTCTTGCTCCCTAAGGGACGGAGCGGTGGTCGGGAGTTGGTTTGAGGAGTGAGGAGGGCCTGTGGAGGGCGTTGGCAGTGCGAGGGTGGTGAGGACGTGCATTGCCAGAACAGTGCCCCAGAGTGGACCCTCCACCCAGCCGAGCGAGAGAGATTGGGTCGAGAGAACGGCTCCTCCGCCTGCCGCGTACAGTCGCAAGTCCGAGTGAGAGGAGCGTGCGGTACCTCCGACGAGTGCACCGTGGACTTTCCCGTTGTCCGAGCGAGCGTGAGTGAGTCGAGCTGAGTCCGTTTGGCTGACTGAGCGCGGAGTGAGATCGGCGCGGAGTGGAGGCACGCTCGTCCTCCGCTCTCGTCGTCCTCAACGCTCTCCACCGGCTTCCTTCTCTCTCTCGTCTGCACAACTCGACTCACACTCTCACACTCTACCCTCACCACACATCTCAACCCGCCCCGCCTCATCCTCGCTCTTCTCCGCCGCACAATGGCTCCCGACCTCGTACGCGACTCGACATTCGGACAGCTCGTCAACTGGGCATCAAACGGTCGCCTCCTCCCCTACGCAGACCAGCGGCCAGGCTACGTCGTACCTCAACGCTACCTCCAGCCCTCTGCCTCCACCTCGCCGACACCTGCTTCTCCGATCCCTCGCAGCACGACAGACGACTCGACCTACTCGTCTGCGACGCCGAGTGGAGCAGTCACACTCGTCAATGAGCCCGGTGTCTGCCCCGCGCACAAGGACGACGACGAGGGAAAGGCCGACCTCGACCTCGAGAAGCAGGCGGCGCCCGTCGAGCCGACCAAGGAGCCTGAACCCGCCGCGCCGTACCCTTTCCTCGTCGACTGGGAGGAGAACGACCCTGACCGGCCCTTGTGCGTCCCCCGTTCCCTTCCCCTCGACGCGCTCCGACCAAGCTGACTTTTGGCTCGCACTCGCAGAAACTGGTCGTTGCGCAAGCGCGTCTTTGTCGCCTTCATCATCTCGCTCTACACGTTCGGCATCTACATCGGCTCGGCTATCTACACGTCGTCGATTCCCGGCTTGATGCAAGAGTTTGGCATCAACCAGGTCGGCGCGACGTCCGGCTTGACGCTCTTTGTCGCGGCGTACGGCTTCGGTCCCAGTGCGTCTCGCCTCTGCATCCGTACGACGACCCGGAGCTGACGGGTTTGTCGCGCGCGCAGTGTTCCTCTCGCCGCTGCAGGAACTCCCCCGATTCGGCCGCAACCCAGTCTACATCGTCGGCCTCGCCCTCTTCGTCATCTTCCAGATCCCCGAAGTCCTCGCCAAGAACATCGCGACCGTCCTCGTCTTCCGCTTCCTCTCGGGCTTCGTCGGGTCGCCCGCGCTCGCAACGGGCGGTGCGAGTATGGCGGACATCTTCCCCATGAAGGACTTGGCGGTCGCTATCGGCGCTTGGGGTGCGTCGCGCTTCCCTTCACTCGCTTCAGGCTAGTCACTGAACTCGCCTCCGCTCCCGCATTCGCAGCCAACGGCGCCGTCTGCGGCCCAATCTTCGGTCCCGTCGTCGGTGGCTTCGCCGCGCAGAATATGAACTGGCGCTGGCCGTTCCTCGAGCTCCTCTGGGTCTCTGCCTTTGCCTTCCTCGTCATGTTCTTCCTCTTCCCCGAAACCCTCGAATCGACCATCCTCGTCCGCCGCGCCGAGCGACTGCGCAAGTTGACCGGCAACATGCTTCTCAAGGCCCCCGCCGAGTTGCTCGAGTCGGAGAAGGAACACCTGGGACTCGTCCTCAAGAAGCGCATCACGATCGCGTTCCGACTCGCGGCTGAACCCGCTCTCGCCGTCGCGCACTCGTACATCGCGCTCGTTTACGCCGTCTTCTACCTCTGGTGCGTCGCTCGCTTCCTCCTTCCTCTGCTCGACGCGAGACTGTCGCTGACGAGTGCGGTCGCGCAGGTTCGAGGCGTTCCCCCTCACCTTCAACGAGATCCACCACTTCTCCCTGGGCGTCGGAGGGCTTCCGTACCTCGCTTTCGTTGTCGCCGCTGGCATCACCGTGCGTCCCCTCCCCTTGATTCCTTCTTCCTCAAGGCGTCCCATGCGGACTCGGCGACTCGCACCTTCGACGCGCCCCCCCTCCCTTTCCTCTCCAACTCTCGCTTACACCACTTCATCCTCCACTCCACGCAGTACGCCTTCTACGTCGTCTACCAGCGCAAACACATGGGTCCTCGCATGCAGAAGAACCCGAACCTCGCTCCCGAATCCCGCCTCGAACTCGGCTTGTTCGCCGCGCCCTTCATCCCGATCTCGTTGTTCATCTTTGGCTGGACCGCGAGGGAGAGCGTGCATTGGTGCGTTTTGCCCTCTCTCGACTGTCGCTGCCAAGCTGGAGGGATGAGGCTGACGCAGTTGTTCTGGGAATGTGTGCGTCGCGCAGGATCTGGCCGATTATCGGTGCGGCGCTCTACTTGCCCGGCATCTACCTCGCCTTCCAGAGCATCATGATGTATGTCTCGATGTCGTACGTCCCTTCCCTCCCCTCCTTCTCCGTCGTGTTCCGCAACTAACCCTCCCCTCTCCTCCTCGCGCTGCGCAGATACCCGAGTTACGCAGCCAGTATCCTCGCTGGTAACACTCTATTCCGATCGGTCTTTGCGTCCATCTTCCCGCTCTTCGGGGAGAAGTACTTCAAGGCCCTCGGAATCGGAGCCGGATCCTCGCTTCTGGCGGGCGTGTCGATCCTGATGATTCCCTTGCTCTACGTGAGTCCCGCCCTTCCGCCTCAATGAGCGCAGAGTACTGACGATTGTGGTGGTGTACAGGCCATCATGAAATACGGCGACCGCCTCCGCGCGCGCTCAAGCTTCGCGCAAGGCTAGACGCCCTCCTCCCCATCTTCATATGTGCCCCGCTTGCCCTTCTCACCTTAGACCTTTCTCGTTACATATGTTGTTGTCCTTCAAACTGTCCTTTCTCGCCGGACCAGAATCCCTCTCTTGATAGACTTGAAGACTTTGGAGACTTGGAGACTTCGTTTGTAACGAGGTGTTCGTTAGATTTGTCCCCCTTGTGTTGTTCGTGTTGGAGAGTGCCTGTGCGTCCGTTGGGTCGCTGAGAAAGCTGTTGCTGGGCTTCTCGCTGCTGGCGGGCCTCGCTTCTCTCCCTCCCTCCGCTTGCGACGGCTTGCACTTCCTCCCTTGAACAGCTTCGCCGGCTACAGCACACCCGCAAACGCCAAACGACGCTCCCAAGCCGTTGGAGCGAGACCTCTCCTCCTTGCACGCCCTCCTCACTCAGCCAACGCCGAAGGCGGCTTGGCGATTCACTGGAGGCTGCTTGTAATGACACATCGAGCGTGCGTGACTGGCGCACGACGATCAGGACGACGTCGCTGGCTCGATCTTGACTTGCTCTCCCTCCTCGTCCTCTCGAGAATCTGCTCTCGCCCGCTCGAGCGCCGCTGTATCGCCAACTGACCTCGGCTGGCTCTCGAGCGTTGCGCAGGAGCGCAGCAAAAGGAAAGCCATCCAGCACAGCTTCCCCTCCCCCCAGCAGAGAAAAAAGCTTGACCGCACCCAGGTTTGAACTGAGGACCTTATCCGAATCGCTGCGTGTTAAGGATACGTGATGACCAACTACACCATGCAGCCGTGCTTGAAGAGCCGAACCTCAAATGCAAACATAACCTGCTTAGCGGGTTGCCCCCTCCTCGCATCGCTCTTCTCGCTCGTCGCCCTCTACGATCCGCCGGTCAAGCTTACTGCTGCACTCTCTTCACAGCTGTATCGCCAGCAAGACGCGCTGCTGGCTGCGGGACATCCCGGAACCGACCGCAGAGATTATCTGACCGATCGCGCGCTCTGCCCTCGCCCGCTCCCTCGCTCCTTCACCCTCGTCTCGCTCCCTCACCCGTCCTCGTGTGCGCTCAGGAGCAGGTGCGATCTCGGCGATCAGAGTCTGTGCGCCGGTAGAACACCAGTGCATGCTCACACGGCTTCGGTGCTCGCAGATCACGCTCGACGGACTCAACTCGCCCAATTTTGCCAAGGCCCGCACGCCTCGTCGCCTTCTCGCTCGACTACGCTCTCACACGCACTGAACAGTGAGTGACATCCACTCGCAGGATCATCTCGAAGCGATCCGGGGCAGCCGACGCAGACGAAGGGAGACTGTCGAGGGCGGGCTTGCCGGGTTACTGCATTGCACCGGGTCCTTCCGAACGAGAAATTGACCACCTTCGTCGTCGCGTCGCAGAGCTCGACCACCTTCGCCACGATGGGCAACGTCTTCAGGTTCGTCCAGCTCTCATCCCACTCCCTCGCCCTCTTTGCGACCCTCTTGCTGCATCACCCGCCCCTCTGCCTGGAGCGACGACTTCGCTGACTCGTGCACCATCACACAGTGTCCCGATCTTCATCATTGTGCGTCCTTCTCGCCCGCCAGCCCGCCTCGACCCTTCCTGACCTTCCCTCTTTCACAGACTCTGCGCGAGACCATCGAAGCAGCGATCATCATCTCCGTCCTGCTCGGCCTCGTCGAGTCGCTCGTCCACGAACATGGTAACGAAAAGGGCGCGGACGTCGTTGACAGCCTGGAGGTAGGTGAGAGGAGAAGGCTGATTCGGAGGATGCGGATCCAAATCTGGGCAGGAGCGCTCGTCGGTGCGTGCACTCCGTCAGTCAGTCTGTACGGCGGCCACTGATGTCGCTTCGCAGGCCTGTTCATTGCCCTCTGCATCGGAGCTGCGTAAGTCTCCTTCCTCTCCTCTCCCTCCTCGTAAGTGTCGCTGATTTGCGTCTTACAGCTTCATCGCCGTCGTACGTACCGTATTCTGAGCCCCCGCGCCGGCTTCGCTGACATGCCTCGCAGTTCTTCACGACGCTCAACGACCTCTGGGGCAAGACGGAGGAGATTTGGGAGGGCGTCTTCTCTCTGATCGCCTGGTGCGTCCGCTCACGTCGCTACTCGGACACCGCACCTGACATCCTCGACTCTAGCATCATCATCTTCGTCATGGGCGTCACGATGTGCGCCTTTTCCCTTTCCCCTTCTCCTCCTCCTCACCTCGCTCACGCTCCTCGAACCCCCAGGCTCCGCATCGACCGCTCCAAGCTCAAATGGAAAGCCAAGCTCGCCGGCGCATTCGACAACAAAGTCGATGCCTCGACGCTCACGAGCAAGGACAAGCGCCAGGCGCGCAACTCCAAGTGGACGTTGTTCGTTTTGCCGCTCGTGACGGTTCTGCGTGAGGGACTTGAGGCCGTCGTGTTTGTTGGTGGTGTGAGTCGTGCGTGCTGAGTGAACGAGAGGAAGCACGACTGACGCGGGTTCGGGGCGCGCAGGTCTCGCTCGGACAGTCTGCCAAGTCTATCCCGCTCGCCGCCATCGTCGGCATCCTCGCTGGCCTCGTCATAGGCTGTGAGTTCGCTCCCAACTCCCTCAACTCGCTACCATCCCCGAGCACCCGCACACGAGCAAACTGACCCCCGACCTTCGCAATCCAGACTTGATCTACGCCTCCGGTTCGCGCATCAACCTCTCCATCTTCCTCGTCATCTCCACCAATATCCTGTACGTCCCTTCCCTCTCCAACCCACACTCTCCCAAGCTAACCTGCTCTCGCCCGCCCGCAACAGCTTCCTCCTGGGCGCCGGCTTGTTCTCCAAGGCAGTCGGCGACTTCCAGACTTACCGCTACAACAACGGCGTGGGTGGAGATATCGGAGAGACGGGAAGTGGGCCGGGATCGTTTGATCCGACCGATGGGTCTGTGTAAGTGCCTCGAGCTCGCTTTCGGCTTCTTCCGCGCCCTGACTTGGCTTCTTCGACCGGGCAGCTGGCACCTGACGTACGGCAACCCGGACAACAACACCTCGACGGACGGTTACTCGATCTTCAACGCCATCCTCGGCTGGACGAGTGCGTCCCTCCCCTCTCTCATTCTCAACTCACTCAAACTCCGTCCGCTGACCCTCTTCTCCGCGCAGACAACGCGACGATCGGCACCATCCTCTCCTACATCTTCTACTGGCTCGCCGCGATCGTCTGCCTCGTTTACATGAAGTGGACCGAAGGACGGACGACGTTCTTTGGCTACAAGTCGGAGGCTTGGTACCGCCGGGCTGCGCGTTGTGAGGGCGGGAACTCCCCCTCGCCGGACTTGAGGGAGAAGAAGGAGAAGGACGGGGTGGAGACGCCGATGGAGGAGGACAGGCAGTTTGCGAGTCATGTCTGAAGGCCGGGACGGTGAGCGGGCGATTCGTGCGGGTTCTTCTCCCTTCTCTTCGTTTCTCGGGGGTCTTATGGCGTGCTTATCGGCGGCATTGGGGCGGTAGGCCACGGCATGGATGCGGTTCAAGCGGAATCAAGTGCAGGTTCACTCGTCGTCTCTCCTCGTCGCCGGCTGCCTTGCTTGCTCTGCAGTCCCTTTCACATCGAATGCTTCACTCTCCATCGCTGCCTGTACTGTTCGCTGCACACTTGACTTGAGCCTTTCCCGATAATCGTGCGCGGGCTAATCTGATGCAACCTTCCGGACTTGGCTCGCCCAGCAGCAAACCTCTTCCTCCTCCCCCGACGCTCCTTCACAGTGCTGCGATGGGCGGGACAATCTTCTCCGTGCCCATCTTCTTCGTCGTCTTCAGGGAGGTCGTCGAGGCGGGCATCGTCGTCTCCATCCTCCTCTCGCTCGTCGATGGCATGTCCTCGGGCAACAAGGACGGCGCGACCGACCCCGACGAGGCAGAGGCGGTCAGGCTGCGCGTGCGCAAGCGGATGCGCTGGATGGTACGTGCTCGCTCGTTCCCACGCACTCAGCGAGCGTTGGAGCTGACCCTCCCCGTCCCGATCCGGGCACTCGCTGCTGGCAGGTGTGGGCAGGCGCGCTCTCTGGCCTCGCGATCGCAGCGTGCATAGGCGCAGCGTTCATCGCAGTGTTTTTCACAACGCTCAGCAACCTCTGGAGCAAGTCGGAGGACTTGTGGGAAGGTGCGCACTTATCAGATCGGGCACTCGGGGAGGAGGGGGGGAACTCATCTTCGCACTCCACAGGCATCTTCTGCATGATCGCTTGCGTCCTCATCTACGTCATGAGGTGCGTCTCAGGTCACTCAAGCCGGCCAGACGCGAGCTGACCTAGACCTCGACCTCCTCGCTATCCAGTCTCGGCATGCTCCGCATCGACCGGTCGCAGATCAAGTGGAAGGCCAAGTTCGCCGCGGCGTTCGCACCGCAAGAGGGCGACCAGAAGCTCACGGCGCACGAGCGGAAGCAGGGACGCCGCGGAAAATGGTCCCTCTTCATCCTTCCCTTCGTTACAGTCCTCCGCGAGAGTCTCGAGATGGTCGTCTTCGTCGGCGGCGTGGGTTGCATGTCTCTGTACTCGTTACGATCCCCGCTGACCAGTCGCTGCCGCAGGTCTCGCTCGGCCAATCCGCCAAATCCATTCCCCTCGCCGCCATCACTGGCCTCATCGTCGGCTTCGTCATCGGCTACCTGATCTTCGCCTCCGGCTCGCGCGTCAACCTCTCAATCTTCCTCGTCGTCTCGACTAGCATCCTCCTCCTCATCGGCGCCGGCTTGTGCTCGAGGGGAGTGTGGTTCTTCCAGCAGTATCGGCTTGTGAGAGGGTGAGTGCGGTCCGCTCTTCGCCCGAGTACCTTTCGCTGACGCTTGACTCGCTTGCAGTGTCGGAGGCGACCTCGGAGAAGTCGGCGACGGTCCTGGTTCCTTCGACCCGACCGGTAGCGTCTGGTGCGTCTCCGCGTCGTTACCATTGCACAGCTCCCGCTTACTGACCTTCCTTGTCTTGCACAGGCACCTTACCTACGGTACATCTCGCTCATGAAAACCCTAGAGCGCTTCGAACGATGGAAACTGACACCCCCTCTGAATCTGGCGTACAGGCAACCCCGAGAACCAGCTTGCCAGCCAAGGCTGGTCTGTCTTCAACGCCCTTCTCGGCTGGCAAAGTGCGTCTCGCCTCCTCAGCCTCCCACCCTCCCTTGCTCACCCAGCGCCCCTCCGCAGACAACGCCACCCTCGGCTCGGTCCTCTCCTACGTCTTCTACTGGCTCCTCGTCACCTTCTCACTCGTCTACCTCAAGTGGTCCGAAGGCCGCACGTCCTTCTTCGGTCTTCATTCGAAGGCTGGTAAGCGCCGCCTTGCGAAGCGCCGTGAGGGGAAGAGGGATGAGGAGACTGTGGGAACGGAGTCCGGGGAGACAAAGGCGGATAGTGGACTCGCTAGCATCGTGGAGAAGGACGCGGTCGTGGGGAGGACAGAGGAGGGGGAGATTGTCGACTTGCCTGGTCGGCCGGTGCTCGGGCGCGGAGACACCTCGCTCGGGTCGGCTTCTAGCGTGTCAAGCAAGGTAGAGGGAGAGGAGGAGATCACAGAAGCGCCTCGACGATAGAAGCCGTCTTCGTCGCTCGTTTCTCGCATTTATCCCTGTCGCATCCGCATGTTTCCCTCCATTCCTCTCTCTCTCTATCTCTCGCTTTGCACTCCCCCTCTCGCATGTTCGAACAGTCAACAACGCATGTAGAAATACAGTCACGGTCGTCTTCCACATCCATACACCGCGTCTATCTTGACGAGCGAGCGAAATGAGGGAGAGCGAAGAGTGAGCTGTCGAAAGTCGAAAGAATCCGCCGTCCACGCTGTCGAGCTCAGTATGAATAGTCGACGCCTGCGACGGGTGCAGCTCGCGGTCCGTACTGCTGCACGAACGGCTTCGCAGCTGCCAGCGCCGTCGGGCATCCTGTCAAACCTCGCCAAGTCGTCAGCCTCGTTCATCTGGACAAGACGCGTGTGAGAATGCACCATTAGGCGCAGTGAAGACACTCGCGGCACGCGCTGTTCGAGCCGTGAAGAGCAGCGCGAGGAGGACAGCGAAGAGGGGCAGGAAAGCGGAGGAGGGGGCGAGGCGGGACATGGTGTTCTGCGTGTGGGCGCCGGTGGTCAGGACGTGTCTTTTGGATAAGAACGACGGGCTCACTGGCTGGACGGGCGAAGGAAGGCGGTGAGAAGGAGAGGAAGGGCGCTTTGAGAACCTCCGCCTCATCAAACTCGCGACCAATTCGCCGCACGTGACAACAACGTTTCGAGATGAAGAACAGGCGAAATGCTACAGAGACGAATTACGATACAGAGTACGGCGGGAGGGCGGACGAGCTGGCGACGGGCTGGTCGGAGGCGGAAAGGTCGACTGGCGCCGGCGCGGACGGGAGGAAGAGCGGGAGCGAGATGTGCAGGGCTGCCTGGGCGAAAACGGTCGAGTGGAGGTGGCAGTTGAGCGTGTACTGTAGGAAGACGATGGGAAAGTCAGCCGAATCGCAGAAGGGAGCGCAGGAGAGGCAAGACCGCACCTTGACATCCAATCCCTTGCTCTCCACAGTCCAGTCTCCCTGCGGCACTTGCACCTCCCCTCTCCACACCAGCCGTTCTCCCTGCAGCTTCTCATCGTGCTCAAGCGTGCCCGTAGCGATCCGGATCGAGGCAAACTTGAAGTCTGTGCCGCTGTTCGGGTTCACGATAGGCGCGGTGCGGACTTGGCGTGAGAGAGAGGAAGAGGCTTTGAGTGGCGTTGCGTCGGATGAGGATGAGGAGGAGGAGGAGAGAGCGGAGGAGAGGAGGTGGAAGGCGGAGGAGGTTGACGGGGTGAGAGCGAGCGAGAAATGGAGAGTCGAGGCGGGTGTCGTGATCGGCTCGCAGGTGAGCTACAGGTGAGCAGCAGACGTCAGCGAGCGGCAATAGGGAAGGAGAACCGGCTACGCACTTTCGTAGTGACAGCCAGCGCGGACGAGTCGTTCCCCTGGAACTTCAGGTCCCTGTGCACCGTCGTCTCCAGAGATTGCGGTGTAGCCTGCACAGGCAAGGCCACAGGAAGCTCGAGCTTGAGCCTGTGGAGCTGAGATCAGCGAGTTACGGGAGTTGCTGCAACGACGGAAGCCGTACTTGTCATTCGCGCGAAACCAGCCTTTCCGAGCGCCCTCGAGCTCGAGGTACCAGACGACAGAGGCGCCAGCTGGGAAAAGCGGTCAGCAACAACACATGCGGAAAAGTTCTGGGCGACTCACCGTTGTCAGTCTCCTTCTTGTCGAAAGAGGGCAACAGCTCTCCATCCTCGGGATAAGGAACCTGGACCTCGTACACGCCTTCCTCCGGCAAACCCTCTGCTGAGCCCTTCTCCTTAATGTCTCCACCGTAAGCCGCCGCTCGAGCGTTCGATGACGAGGTGAGCGGGATGTCGACGCAGACGAACTGTCGTCGCTCGATACTCGTGACGGGCACGCCGCCAGCAGGACCGCCCATCGTCGCGTTCATGACCGCGCCAGCTTGCTAGACGAGCCAAATACAGAAGCAAGTTGCCAGCAGTTTCAGCGACTTGCAGCTTGAGAGAGCGTGCGAAGGCAGACGGGGCGTACCCATCGAGCCTTGCCCCAGACGGTCACCCGCGCTTCGCCAACGAGTCGCAGAGACAGGTGTTCGTAGCTGGCGTCGCCTTTGATCCGCACGGTAGGGTAGATGGTCGTGCCAGGCGTGAAGCAAGTCGAGTCGTGAGGGGGGTACAGCGAGAGAGCGAGGCGGCTATTCGTTGCCGTGAGCGGCTCGGCAGCATGCGTAGCCTTTTCTAGCATCGCCACGGTCCAGCACCACCCTCCCTGAACGGTGTGAGCGGGACAAGGTGAGTGGTCGATGAGAGAGTTGCGAGGGTTGACTCTCTCGCTGCTCCTGCGCGCGTGCTTCGAGTTGTGTGCGCTGTTTTATGCTCACGAGGACTCTCCATCCTCGCGTCCTCAGCCCCGTACTCGCCCGCCCAGCCCGCGCCCGCATCTCGCGCCTCTCTCAGCTCCCTTCGCCCGCACACTTCTCGACGACACGGGCAACAATGAGCGCCCCGCACCCGGTCCACTCGACCGCTCAGCCGAGCCATCCTGAGAATGCCGTGCCCGCCTCGGGCGCACCGACGGCTCAGCCTGGGCAGGATGCGCCGAAAAAGGCTCCCAAGCAGAAGAAGGGCGATATTGTGGGCGGGATGGCTGCGTTGGAGCTCAACCCGCCCCCAGAGTACCTCGCAAGTAGGGTCGAGCTGTTTGATCAGCTCAAGAAGGAGTACGAGGAGAAGGTCGCGAGTGCGTACAGTCTCCCTCTGCTTTCATCTGTTACGAAGCGGTCAAGCAGGTTGCACAGTGAACGAGCACAGTACTGACATGATGTTCGTGTACACAGGTATGCCGCGGGAGTCGATCACGATCACCCTGCCGGACGGTTCGACGCGAGAGGGAAAGAGCTGGGAGACGACGCCCATGTCGGTTGCGCTGAGCATCAGCAAGGGTCTTGCGGACAAGACGGTCATCGCCAAGGTGCGCTGGACCGCTAAGGGCTCTTAAACAGCGGCAGAGCTGACTTGCATTGTTCCGCAGGTCGACGGAAACCTCTGGGACCTCGAGCGTCCGTTCGAGAAGTCGGCTTCGCTTGAGCTCCTCGACTTTGAGCACCCTGAAGGTGCGTACCGGAACCTCTGCGTGTCAGGGACGCGACTGACTCGCCCGCATTCGACAGGCAAGAAGGTCTGGTGGCATTCGTCGGCGCACATTCTCGGCGAGTGCTGCGAGCGTCACTACGGCTGCCACTTGGCGATGGGTCCTCCGACGGACGACGGTTTCTTCTACGAGATGGGCATGAACGGCGACCGGTCAGTCCCTCTGCGGGCTTCTCCCGGCTCGCTTCCGCTGACTCAACTCTCGTACGGATGCAGCGTGGTGCAGCAGTCCGACTACGACAAGCTCGAGACGTTGGCGAAGGGCGTTGTCAAGGACAAGCAGAAGTTCGAGCGTCTCGTTGTTTCGAAGGAGAACCTCCTCAAGATGTTCTCGGTGCGTTCCGCTCAGACTCCTCCCTCCCCTTGCCCATTTCGCGACAAGCTGACATGCCATCGCGCGCAGTACAACCCTTTCAAGCTCCACTTCATCAAGGAGAAGGTTCCTGACGGCGGCGAGACGACCGTCTACCGTTGCGGCCCCATGATCGACCTTTGCGTCGGCCCTCACATCCCTCACACCGGCCGCGTCAAGTCCCTCGCTGTCCTCAAGGTACGCAGCGATGCTCAAGCTGGGTACGACGAAAGGCTGACCAAGCACTCATGCGCAGAACTCGTCCTCGTACTTCCTCGGCGACAAGAACAACGAGTCGCTCCAGCGCATCTACGGCATCTCGTTCCCTGACACGAACCAGATGAAGGAGTACAAGAAGTTTCTCGAGGAGGCGGCCAAGCGCGACCACCGCAAGATTGGAAAGGACCAGGAGCTCTTTTTCTTCCACGAGATGTCGCCCGGATCCTGCTTCTGGCTCCCGCACGGCACGCGCATCTACAACACCCTCGTCGAGTTCATGCGGGTGCGTTACGACTCTCCTGAAGAGGCACCCGTGGAGACTTACTGTCTCCCTGCACGCAGTCCGAGTACCGCAAGCGCAACTACCAGGAGGTCATCACGCCGAACATGTTCAACTCGAAACTGTGGGAGACGTCGGGCCACTGGCAGAACTACGCGGAGGACATGTTCAAGCTCGACGTCGAGAAGGAGCAGTTCGCGCTCAAGCCGATGAACTGCCCGTCGCACTGCCTCGTCTTCGGCTCGCGCGACCGTTCGTACCGCGAGTTGCCTATCCGCATGGCCGACTTTGGCGTCTTGCACCGCAATGAGGCGTCGGGCGCGTTGACGGGTCTCACGCGCGTGCGGCGATTCCAGCAGGACGACGCGCACCACTTCTGCATGCCCGAGCAAATCGAGGAGGAGATGGACGTCTGCTTCCAGTTCCTCAACGAGGTGTACGGCACCTTTGGCTTCAAATTCGAGCTCAAGCTGTCGACGAGGCCGGAGAAGTTCCTCGGCAAGATCGAGACCTGGGACGAGGCCGAGCGCGTGAGCATCCCGCTCTTCCCGCCGAGTCACACACCTGCTGACACCGCTCGTCCCGCAGATGCTCTCGTCAGCGCTCGACAAGTTTGTGCCGGGCCAGTGGGTGATTGACGAGGGCGACGGCGCATTCTACGGGCCCAAGATCGACATCACGATCCAGGACGCTCTCCGCCGCAAGCACCAGTGCGCGACGATCCAGCTCGACTTCCAGCTCCCGCAGCGCTTCGAGCTCTCGTACCGCTCGGCAGAAGGCGGCGAGGGCGGCGCAGGCGAGAAGCTCGTCCGGCCCGTCATGATCCACCGTGCCATCCTCGGCTCCGTCGAGCGCTTCACCGCCATCCTCACCGAGCACTTTGCTGGCAAGTGGCCATTCTGGCTCTCGCCGCGCCAGGTCGTCGTCATCCCCGTCGCCGGCCCGCACAAGGAGTACGCCAAGGAGGTTGCGCAGAAGCTGTGGGATGCGGGCATCTACGCCGACGCCGACCTGAGCGACTCGACGCTCCCGAAGAAGGTCCGTAACGGCGAGATCGCGCAGTACAACTTCATCTTTGGTGCGTTCGCCGTCTTCTCCCTGCCTTTTGACCTTGCTCACACTCGTTCCTCTGCAGTCGTTGGCTCGGAGGAGATGGACCAGCGCTCGGTCAACGTCCGCAACCGCGACGACGCCGGCAACAAGAAGGCGCGCTCGGAGACGATCAAGCTCGACGAGGTGATGGACAAGCTCATGCGGCTCAAGAACGAGAGGCGGCTAGACAACGAGCTCCGGTGATGGTAGATGTCGGGCTCGCGGGATCCTGAGCGGTCGTAGGCGTGCTATGAGCTCGTCTGTGCCGTCGAGTAGATCCCTGGGAGAGTTGCTGGGCTTCGGGATTCTGCGATGGAGCCGCCGCTCGAACTCGCACTTTCCTCGCTCAAAACCGATCGCAAGGCTGCTTCGAGAAATGCGAGTTGCAAAAGCTTGCTGATCTGTACCCTTACTTGCCGAGCTTCTTCCTCATCGCCCGCTGCGCCTTTCTGCGCTTCTTGTACTTGTGCTTCCGGATTTTCTGCGCGAGCGACGATTGTCAGCGAGGGCAGGGAGGGGAGAGACGCAGCGAGACGCACCTTCTGGCGTTTACGCTTGACCGAGTCCATCTCGATGGTTACCTCGCCCAAGTCGACGATCTCCTGCGGCAGGAAGAGGTTCGGAGAGCTGCCGAGCGCCGCCTGGACCTGGCGGAAACCCTGCTGCTCGTCCCAGACGCGAATCGCCCCTCGCTCAATGACCGCCTCCACGGGAGTAGGAGCCGCCTTCGCTCCCTCGGCAACACCGTAGGCCTCAGACGCCTGGCGCAACCGCTCGCCGGCGGTCGAGATGAAGTCGTTGCGGGCAGACCAGCGGTAGGCCATCTCGCAGGTGCGGAGGAAACTGTCGGCCGTGCGGGTCGACTCGTCGGGGGTGAGAGGGGAGAGGAAAAGGGGCGAGAAGATGTGGGAGAAGGAGGTCTCGGTCTTGACGTCGGAGGAGGTCGAGGCATTGAAGGGGGCGAGGTAGGCGAGTTCGGGGCGGGTGGACGGGAGGTCGGAAAGGGATGCGGCCGGAGAAGAAGGCTCGGTATGAGGGGGACGGGTCGCGAGGTACCGCGCCACGTTGGGCTCGAGGCGCTCGTGCTGACCCAGCAGCCACGCATCGTACGGCTCGGCCGCCTGCTGCTCAACCTGGTGCTGCACCTCCTCCTTGTACGCAAGGATGGCGTCCTCCTCAGCCTCCGCCGCAAGCTCCTCCTCGACCGACTTGAGCGGCTCAACCTGCTTCAGCCGTGCGAGGTACGGCTTGCCCACAAGCGAGCCGTCGTCTGCCCGGTCCTGCACAACCGCCAACTCGCTCTCGCCCTTGCGGCTCATCCGCACCTCGTCCACCTCCTCCTGCAATGGCACATAATCGCTGTCCGTCTCCTGTGTCGCGGTCGAACGGCGTGTTCCCGGCCGCAACGGCAGCTCGAGAAGCGGGCGATGGAGCGCGAAGAACGAGTCGAGTCCGACGAGACCCCGGCCGACATGCGGCAGCTCGAACGCGTGCTTAAGCGAGGACGCCGGAGGCTGCTTCTCCGGCTGTGCGAGCGCGATCTTGGTCTGCTTGAGGGGCGCAGGCGAGGGCGACGGCGTGCGAGGGGTTGTTGCAGGAGCCTGCTTGACGCGAGGGGTGCCGTCGCGGCTGCTCGAGCGGCCGGCGGACGAGCTCGAGCTGTAGGCGCACCGGTGTGATGGTCCTGCTGCAGTCGTCTGTACGCCTACCCGTCCTGCGGTGAACGAGGGGCGAGGGAGAGTGCGGTACGAGGGCTGGGTGAAGGACGCCTTGGCTGGCCGCGACGGCGCCGCGAGGCGTGGGACGCGGACTGACATCGATGCTAGAGTCCTAGTGAGAAAGTCTAGCCACTCGCAGAAGCCGTCTAGCGGTGAGGGCGTTGACTGTCGAAGGCGACCCGCAAGCTTGCGCGAGATGAGTGTCTATCTCCCGCCAACAACTCGCTCGGCGCTGTGCGACGTGAGTGCTGCTCTGCCTGCTTGGTTCTGATGCTACAGGGTTGGCGCTTGATCCGCTGGGTGCGCCTTTTGAGGGAAACTCCTCCTCGCTGTCCTCAGTCTCTGAGGACTCCCCCCGGTCCAGCAGCGCTTGAAGCGACTTTGGGAAGGGTCTGAGACACAATGGAGACTGGCGCGGACCGGACGCCATGCTGCACTCCCCAGCAGCCGGTGGGACGATGGTCTGCACGCTCTCTCGTCGTCGACGGTTCACATCGTGGGCAGTCTCGCTTGGATCGATCAGCTTCTTGCCTAAAGCCTCCTCTACGGTGTCAGCCTGCCGCCGGAGGTGCTTCACCCCGCCCTGGGTGTTCACGCCGACTGGTCCGCTTCACTCGCGCTCGCCGTCTTCTCTCTTCCCTCCGCCGTCTCAACTGCTCATCTAGCACTTCCGCATGCACTGCGTGGCACTCCAACGCATCCAGCCCAGTTGACGCGGCACAGCTTCAGCTCACGGGGACCGCAGCGACTTTGGTCCGTATCGACTTGCCGGCTGCGACATCCAGGGACGCAGTACACGCGTGCCCGGGTCCAGGCAGCCTCCTTGCATGTACTTCGGCATCAAAGAAGATACTTTGAAGGTATGGGAGCGTCCGGAACTGTGATGTAGCCTTAAAGACCTGAAATCGCAGAACTTGCGTTCGTCTCGCCGCAGCAACGCTCCGCCTTGGCTCGGCAGAACTCGCAAGAGCACGGCGAGTCTCTGCTGTTCACTTTCGGCCCTCAGAGAGACACAACGACGGCAAGCGACAGCAGTTCCTTCCCCCTGCTCTTCGGGCGACCCTCTCTTCCTCCCGCCGCTCACGGATATCTGCTGGACGAGCGCAATCGCGGTGCGCCTTTGCTGTTAGCTACTCGTAGCTCCTCCTCTGTGCACCACAGCGCGAACGGACGTATGCCCTCCTCGCCCGATCCTCATCGCTTCTTGACGCAACCTTTCTCGTTTCCGGGCGAACAACACCGCTTGAACCCAGCAGCGACGAAGGCGGCGACGACAAGCGTCGATGGGCAGTGTATGCGGGATCGACAGAACACCGCAGCCGCTTGATCTCGAGAAGCGCTCGTCCTGAATGACGAAGCTGGACTCGCGTCTGTCCCCGGGCGTTTTCAACCGCTCAATGGCCTTGCTGCGCATGCGCGATGAGAAAAAGCTTTCAATCTGATGGACGGGACGGATCAAGCGGGTTTCGCGGATCAGAACACGGCAGGAAGACGTCTCTCGATCCCCCCTCGGGCCTCTTGACGTCTGAAGCGATATCATCGCCTCGCTTTAGTGCGGACGTGACGACAAAGTACCGCTTGCGAATCGTCATCCGTCCCTACAAGAACCCGCCCGCTCGACGTTTCTCTCCTTCCCTTCCTTCACCTCGCTTCTCGCGCACAACTCTCGCACACACAACCAACACCCACCCACTCAACCAGCACTACCTACAACATGTCTGACGGTGACGCCCGCAAGTCTTCCCAGCACGGTTTCGGCGGCGACCGCGAGTTTGCTTCGGAGAGTGCGTTCTTCCCCGCTCGCTTCGCGACGTTCCCTCCTTTCGCGACGTCTCTTCTGTTCCCTCGCTGACGATGGCTCCCCTATCCACAGTGGGCAAGATCGGCGGCAAGAACCAGCCCGACGAGATCTACAAGCCTTCGGAGCACGACGGCCTTCGCGAGGACGTGAGTTCCGCCCTGTACCCTTTCTCATCGCCTTGCTCTCGCGCTGACTCTTGCTCTTCCTTCCTCCAGGGCGAGCCCGACCAGCGCCTCAACTCCGAGCACGGCTTTGGCGGCGACCGCGAGCGTGCTGCTGAGGCTGGCCGCAAGGGCGGAAAGACCCAGCCCGACGAGGTCTACAAGCGTGCGTTGCGCATATTCTGTCGGTCACATGCACGGCGATTCGATGCTGACCTCCCCTCTCCCCTCGTTGACAGCCTCGGAGCACGGCGGCTTGACCAAGTCGGTGTGTTGCCGTTCCTCCTCCCTTCTCGCCATCTACTCCACTTGCTCACCTCCCCGTCTTCGTCTCCAGGGCGAGCCCGACAAGCGCATGAACTCGGAGCACGGCTTTGGCGGCGACCGCGAGTTCGCTTCGGAGAGTGAGTCTTTCCTTCCCTCCCCTTCGCCCGCCCTCTCTCCCGCATCGTCGCCGCTCGTCCGTGGACGTCCCGACACTGACCTTGCTTCCTCTCGCTCACAGTGGGCAAGCGCGGTGGTTCGCGCAACGCGGACGACGACGAGTAAATCACCCTCGCCGACCTCCAGTACCCTCTTCCCTCCTGTGTCCACTTGTACCACCTTGTGTCGAAACAAAGTGCAGTTTCTCTCCACACCTGATGAGGTTAGCGAGGATTCTGTGCGTTTACGGCGGTCGATAGTGTGGTCACCGCTCTCTTGCTAGTTAGCCTTCTCGCTCTCTGGCTCCCCGTTCGTGCGTTACCATACCTTCCCCTACCCCTCCCGCCTTCCCCATTGCACGCCTGCTCACTTCGCCATTCAGCAACATTACCGAAACTCGCTTGCTTGCTCGCTCCTGCGTCTCCTATCACCCTCCAGGCTTTTCCCTGTATGTGTATGCTTGGTTGGGTCCGGCTTTCAAGCAAGGCTGCATGGTGTAGTTGGTCATCACGTATCCTTAACACGCAGTGATTCGGATAAGGTCCTCAGTTCAAACCTGGGTGCGGTCAAGCTTTTTTCTCTGCTGGGGGGAGGGGAAGCTGTGCTGGATGGCTTTCCTTTTGCTGCGCTCCTGCGCAACGCTCGAGAGCCAGCCGAGGTCAGTTGGCGATACAGCGGCGCTCGAGCGTGCGAGAGCAGATTCTCGAGAAAACGAGGACCGGAGAGCAAGTCAAACTTCAGCTAACGACGTCGCCCTATCCTTCGACTGCCAACGCCTGACGTCCAGAGCGACACTGCAAGGAGAACCCAGCCAAGCGCGAAGCCTCGTGTCACGTTGTAGGCGAGACGAGGGATTGCGGAATGCGAACGATCGAGGAGGCGAGTTTCGCGGCGACTGGGGTGGTCAAAGGAGCTTTGGCCAGAATGAAAGAGTCGCAGCGTCCATGGGACCATAGCGCGAGCCGTCCGGCAAAAGGCGAAAGCAATCGAGAGTGCGAGCGCGAGCGGGAGGAATAGAGGGCTGCTGCGCGGGAGACGCAGAGCTAGCAAAGCCAGGGTCGCAACGCTGTGCACAACAGCAATGACGAGCCGCGCGGAGGAGCGGATCAGGCGAGCAGCTCGAGCGGAGCGGCGCGGAAAGAAAAGAAGCTCTCCTGCTCGACGACCGCGGCGTACCATCAACTCTTAGTTTGCATTTCGTTTCTTTTGCGCGGGAGACAGACAAGAGAGATAGCTGAAGGACACGGGAGGATAGATTAGATCCATCCGTCTGGCCACTCAAGCCATCTCCTCTCCTCCCTCGATTCGTTTCCCGCCTCACACCGTCATCGTCAAGCTAGAGGCGGACCTCTCGCTTAGGCTGTCCACATCCATCGTCAGTAAGAGCTCGCGAGGGGAAAGGGCGAGACCGCTACGCACCGACGACGCCCGAGTCGGCGATGGTGATGGTCGACTTGGGGCGGCCAGTCTGCGATCCCTCGGCCTCGATCTTCTTGACGATGTCCATACCGTCAACGACCTCGCCGAAGACGACTGCACTCACACTCCCAGTCAGTCGGAGTAGGAGAAAGGAGGGAAGGGAGGACGAGACAAACCGTGCTTGCCATCGAGCCACGAGGTGACGACGGTGGTGATGAAGAACTGCGAGCCGTTGGTGTTGGGGCCGGCGTTGGCCATCGAGAGGAGTCCGGGCTTGGTGTGGCGGAGCTTGAAGCTGCGAGCGAGGGGTGTCAGTCTCCGTTGTGGATGAAGGCGTGCGTGCAGGGCGAGCGTACTTCTCGTCGGCGAACTTCTCTGTGGATGGAGAGCAGTGTCAGTGTGGTCGAAAGCGAGACGGAGAGGAAATGGAACGAACCGCCGTAGATCGACTTGCCGCCGGTGCCGTTGCCGCCTGAGCAGCGCGAGAGCGGGGAAAGTCAGCACGATGCCGCATCGAGAGAAGTCGAGCGCATGAGACGTACGGGTGAAGTCACCACCCTGGAGCATGACTGCGCGGAGTGAAGGACGAGGTCAGCAAGAGCGACGAAGTCTACACAAGATCCGGCTGCACGCACAGTCGGGGATGACACGGTGGAACGACGAGCCCTTGTAGCCGAAGCCGTTCGAGCCAGTGCAGAGCTCGCGGAAGTTGCGCTGCGGGGCGGGAAGGAAGAACGACCTCATCAGTCTCGCACTCCGGGATCGGGATGGAAAGCGAGGCGTAAACTCACAGTCGTCTTGGGGACGACGTCGTCGTCTGCGAGGGAGTCCGTGGTCAGCAGGAGAAGCTGGTAGTGTCCGTCGAACAGCGCGGCACGCACAGAGCTTGAAGGTGATGCGGCCAAGAGGCGCGCCGTTCTTGGTAATGTCAAAGTAGACGTTCTGCGCGAGTGAGGCGACGCTGGTCAGCCTGGATGCCCCAGCAGCACCCTGCACTCTTTTTACGGAGTCTGCGGCCCTCCAGGCGGGTGCGGTCTGTAGTTCTTGCGCAACGTGGAGGAAAGACTTGCGCTCATGCTGGCGGCGGTCGAGAGTCCGCGGCGGATCGTGTTGGCCATGAAGGGAGCGAGTGAGTGTCGTAGAGTGTTTGTGGGGGTTTGGATCGGTCGCACGAGGGAGTGCACGAGGCGTGGAGCGAGGGGAGGTGGGACAAGAGAGGGTCTCGTCAGCGATGAAGGGTGTGCGAACGTCGCACAGGCTGCGAGAGTGCGGGTGGCGTGGCAGGGCTGTGTGGGTGTGCTCGAGCTCGTCTCGACTCACGTTGCTGTTGATCTGGCTGGTGAAGCGATGGGGAGGAAGCGAACCCGCTCAGCAAGGAGAGAGTCCTCCTTCAAGTCGCCCCCGACACCCTCTGTTGGACTAGCGGACAGCTACTTAGGAAGGAGAGTATCTTCATCGACCAGCACAAGCCATCAGCAGCCTTCAGCCGTGTTGACGAGGTCACCTCCTTCCCTCTCGCCTCCCTCTTCCTCCTCCTCGTGCGCTCCTCCATTGCCCCCGTCTGCCTGGCTGGATGACGTCGCCTGCTGACTGTACCGATGCGACGGAGATCTACACGACCCCCAGCCAAGCTCTCGCCCGCGCTCACTTGCTCGCTGCACTCTTCCGAGCCGAGGATCCGCGCGCGAGGGAAGTCGCCCTTTCTCGACTGACTGGCTGCTGACGAGCACGTCCGATCGAAAGAACTCCGCGACGACTCTCCCGAGTGTGCCGCGCTTTACTCAGCGCGGAACGGGTAAGCGAGAACAGGTCCTCCTCGCTCACATCCCCGGCCCGCCTGCTGCTCGCTACAAAAGGCTGTCGTCTCCCTGCTTTGCTCTTCCTCTTCCTTCTTTAACCCAGTCTCGAACCGCTCCCGCTACCGAGGTCTACCGAACTCCAAGCTTTCCAGCCTATCTTCTCGAATCTCGCTCGACATGGTTGCCGACATCATCCGCGATTCGACCTTCGGCCAGCTCGTCAACTGGGCCTCGAAAGGTCGCTTCTTCCCCTACGCCGACCAGCGACCAGACTACATCGTTCCGGCACGCTACCTGCCTCACGCCTCTCCTCTCGACTCGTCCTCGACGCTGGAAGCTCGCTCCCCGACACCCAAGAGCCGCGAAGAGACCCTCGTCAATGCGCCCGGTACTTGCGCCGAGATCAAGACTTCCAAGACGGACGTTGATGTCGAGAAGCAGGTTCTCGAGTCGGTTGGCGCGCAGACGCCTACTCCTCCGGCATACGAGTACCTCGTCGAGTTCGAGGAGAACGATCCCGACAAGCCCATGTGCGTGCTCTCCTTTCGTTGTGCTCCCCACGGTACTGACCTCCTTCTGTCGGTTCGCAGGAACTGGTCCTCGCGGAAGCGCATCTTCATCGGCTTTCTCATCTCCCTCCTCACCTTCGGCATCTACATCGGCTCGGCCATCTACACGGCGTCCATCCCGGGTCTCATGCAAGAGTTCGGGATCAACCAGGTTGGAGCAACGTCCGGCTTGACGCTCTTTGTCGCTGCGTACGGTATCGGTCCCAGTGCGTCCGCCTCTGCCTCCCTACGCACCGCTTGAGCTGACGACTCTCGCGCCGCAGTGATCCTCTCGCCCATGCAAGAACTGCCCCGCTGGGGCCGCAACCCAGTCTACATCCTCGGCCTCTTCGCCTTCGTCATCTTCCAGATCCCCGAGATCCTCGCCAAGAACGTCGCGACTGTCCTCGTCTTCCGATTCCTCTCGGGATTCGTTGGGTCGCCTGCGCTTGCGACGGGAGGCGCAACGATGGGCGATATCTTCCCCCTCCAGCATATCGCGATCGCTATCGGCGCCTGGTGTGAGTCGCGCTCGTCCTCGCTTCTCCTCTGGCTCTCGCTGACATACTTCGCCGCCCTCGCAGCCGTCGGTGCCATCTCAGGCCCCATCTTCGGACCCGTCATCGGCGGCTTCGCAGCCGAGCAAATGAACTGGCGCTGGCCGTTCCTCGAACTCCTCTGGATCTCCGGCACGGTCTTGCTCGTCGTCTTCCTCGTCCTTCCGGAGACGATGGAGTCGACGATCCTCATCCGGCGCGCCGAGCGCCTGCGCAAGTTGACGGGCAACCCGCTCTTGCGTGCGCCGGCGGAGTTGGGACACGCGGGCGAACTCAAGCTGGCGCCGTTGCTTACAGAGACGATTGGGAGGGCGTTCAGGCTCATGCTTGAACCTGCGCTTGCCGTTGCACACTCGTACCTTGCGCTCGTCTATGCCATTTTCTACCTCTGGTGCGCGCACTCCTTCTACTCTCTCTACCGAGCAGCTCGCTAACTTCCTCTATTTGCGCAGGTTCGAGGCGTTCCCCCTCACCTTCAACGAGATGCACCACTTCTCGCTCAGCCTCGGCGGCCTGCCTTTCCTCGCCTTCGTCGTCGCAGCCGTCCCAACCGTTCGTTCTTCCTGCCCCTTCTCCCTCTCCGTCACTGACGACCCTTCTGCGCAGTTCATCGGCTACTACTTCTACCAAACCCGCTACATGGCCTCGCGGATGGCAAAGAACCCGAACCTCGCGCCCGAAGCACGGCTCGAGCTAGCCATGATCGGAGCCGTCTTCGTCCCCGTCTCGCTGTTCATCTTTGGCTGGACTGCGCGCGCGGACGTGCACTGGTGCGTTCGACGAGCATCCTTCGCGGCGCGGATGGAGAGCTGACTTTGCAAACCGCGACCTTGACAGGATCTGGCCGACTATCGGAGCGGGAATCTACCTCCCCGGCGTCTACTACAGCTTCCAAAGTATCCTCATGTATGTATCCATGAGGTGAGCCCGCTTCCCTCCCTCTCTTCTCCTCCTCCGCCTGACCGCTCGCCCTTGCAGCTATCCCAACTACGCCGCCTCCAACCTCGCAGGGAACGACTTCCTCCGATCCGTCTTTGCGTCCGTATTCCCGCTCTTCGGCGCGAGGTACTACAAAGTCCTCGGAATCGGCGGGGGATGCTCGCTCCTTGCGGGTGTCTCGATCCTCATGATTCCCCTTCTTTACGTGCGTTTTCTGTCCCTCCTTTCCGCTACTCTAGGCAGTCAAGCTGACACTCGTACGTTCTTGCAGGCCATCATCCGCTTCGGCGACCGCCTCCGCGCCCGCTCGCACTTTACAGAGTGAACGGACTTTCTCCTCCTCCTGCCGTTGTCCACAGCCTCCCCTCTTGTACATAGCATAGACTTGCGACTCATCCCGTCGCAGCATCCTCTGTAGCCTGCATTTAGACGTCAACGAAGACCTTTCTCTCCCTTCGCTCCTTTGCTTCCTCGTTGGCTGAAGAGGCTTCGACCAGGCTTCACTCGTAGGGGGGGATCGACAGCGACACGGGATAGTAGCGCGCGAGCGACACACACGAACGCAGAGTGCGGCAGAGACGTGGAACGGACTTGACTTTTTCCGGGGAGGACGGGCATTGCGCGAACGTGGAGATCGAGCTAGTTGGTACAACGAGAATGGAACTGAGCAGAGGCACGGATGGGAGGTATAACGAGGCGGGAACGTCAGAAGGGAATGCGGGTGATGGAAGGGCGAGAATAGGCGCGGTGGTGAGGCTCAAAGAGGTACATGGACGGACAACAACGGATGAAACGACCTTGCGAACAGATTTGCGGTGGCGAGACAGGGCGAGAGACGGTTCCGAGTGTCTAAGGCGGTCGATAAGGCGGCGAGCGAGAGAATGACGAGGTCATCGCTGGGCGGCGGGCGCCCTCGCTTGTTGTGCCTGCGCCTGCTGTTCTCGGTACGCCGGGTTGCCCTCGTCCATGATGTCGGAGATCTTGAAGAACGGATGTGCGAGCGCCTGCTTGACGTTCAGCCGATCGCGGACGTCCCACTTGAGCAGGCCGGTACACAGCTCGAGGAAGCGCTGACTCGCGACGTCCTGCGGCTTGATGATGTCCTGCAGTCGTACGAGTGTCAGCGGACCGGGACAAGGATGCACAAAGAAGCGCGCCACGCACCTTGAGCTCCCGCATGCCGCGGACGAACTTGGTCGACTGCTTTGGCGTCGTCGCCTGCGGGAAGTTCAGGAGGACCTCCTTGCTCGTTCGGGCCCTTCCTGTCGGCGGTGCTTGCTTGAACCAGTCGGGATGCGTGCGCAAGATGCTCCTGCGAATGAGCACAGCATTAGCGGATTCACTCGGACGTCTCACTCGACGGGTTCACGCACTTGTAGCCAGTTTTAGCGACGGAGGACGGCATCTGACCAAACACGCGCTCCATCATGGCGAGATGCTCGAGGTTGTCGTGCGTCTGGAAGAGCGCCTCGCCGGTGATGAACTCGACGAGGATGCAGCCGATCGACCACATGTCGCACGGGAAGCTCCAGCCCATGTCTGCGTAGGAGTCGTTAGAGCGAGTCGGCGTTACTAGAAAGCGCTGTACGCACTCAGGATGATCTCGGGCGCCCGGTAATGCCGTGTCGAGACGATCTGGGCGTGGTACTCCTTGTCGAACGTTGCGCTGCCAAAGTCGATGAGCTGGATGTTCGTGTTCCGCAGGATCTTGCGATTCATGTTTCTCTGCGAGATGGGAGGAGTCAGTCGAGATTCGAGCAATCGAAGGACCAGACTGACTCGGTTCGGCACGATGACGGAGTCGGTATCCTCCAGGAGGATGTTCTCGGGCTTCAGGTCGGTGTGCACGAGACCGTTGTCGTGTACGACTGCAGGGAGCGGGGAAAGTCAGCAGACGTCGCGCAGAGGACGAGGAAACGGCTGGACGCACACTCGATGCTGGTCAAGAGCTGCTTCGCAAACTTCTGCACGTGACTCAGCGGGAAGGGCTCGTATCGGTTCTCCTTGAGGAAGTCGAAGACGGAAGCCGACAGTAAGGGCGTCACGAGGCAGGTGTGGCCGTAGAAATCGAAGTGCGCGACGAGCGGGATGCATTTCCTGCGGGCGATGAATGAGAGTCAGCGGTTCGATCGACTGGAGCAGGAGGGGCTCGCCACGCACTTGAGGTTGTGCTGATCCGCTCGTACTAGTCGCTCGAGGACGCGAATCTCGGTCTTCGCTGCTTCCTGATACTTGTGCACAGCGCGACTGCGCGACGAAGACGAGGTCAGTCAGACGAAGCAGTGGTGAAAGTACCAGACGCACATGATCTTGACCGCGTAGCGCTTGTTGTCCTGTTTACACCTCGCACTGACGACTTTGCCGAACGTTCCTTGCCCGAGCAGTCGCTCGATGTGGTCTGCCGCGGTGCATGGTAAGGTCAGTACGGCGGATCTGGAGGCGAGGGAGTCTGCGCCACTCACACTCTTGCCTTCGCGAAGCATCCGTGACGACGGCGCCGACGGTCACGATGAAGTGGCCTTCGCTGTCGGCATAACTTGCCGGCGCGGACTGCTTCGCCTTCTGTCGCTTCGAGCAAAACAAGGATTAATGTCAGCCTCGTTTGAGCAAGATTGCCGCGAACGGATCTCGAGACGCACGTTGTCGCGGTCGTAGTCGTCGTGCTTGCGCTTCGTTCCCGTCGTCGGTCCCGGCTGGTAGGCGTTGCGGTACTGCTGTTGCGGCGGCTGATAGGGGTAGTTCTGCGCGACGGTCGTGTAGTTGCTGGCATAGCCGACCCCCTGAGCATCAGAACCAGCCTGTCCCGCGCCCACGTCGCTCTTCCGCTTCTTAGCTGGAGGCTGCTGGTAGCCACTGTAGGGGTCGTTCCGCGCCCTGCTCGATGAACCAGCCGAAGATGAAGCCTCTGCAGGAGCGGCTCGACTCGTTGACGCGGCGGCGGCAGCGGGTTCTGGCGTGTCGGCGAGGGTCAAGACCTCCTCCGTCTGGCCGGCTGAGTTCGTGACATAGTTGACGCTGTACTCGACGCCTTCTCGCCGCGCAGGAGGGGCTGCGTTGCCGTTGGCGAACCGCCCACCGTATTCGCGGGTTCGCGGCATCGTAGCTGTCCTTGTCGCCATACAGGCGGGTTCTGCGCGCACCGAGAGACTGTCAGTACACTGTATGCTACCATTTGCACTGCTCGAGCGCGCGTGCGGACCGCAGGGAGCTCAGGACGCACCGTCTGATGTAGTGAGGGGGGAGGTCGAGAGAGGGCAAGGGTTCAAGGAGAGGGCTGTTTGGCGGGTCGTTCGTGTGCGCAGGGTGCTGCTGATTGTACTCGAGCGTGAGCTGCACCGTCAGCGGGTGCGAAGAGCTGTAGGAGAGCAAGAATGGCGAGGTCAGTCAGGTCACCCTACGGGCGACCTCGTGCGCCGCTCACACGGCTTCCTGGCGGACTTGCGAGACGTGAACGCACTCCAGCTGCTACCAAAGCTCGTGAGCTCCAGCAGAAAGTCCAACGGTCGAGCAAGTGTGGAGCAGTCACGGTTCGACGCCACGAAGACTCAAGGACCAGGCAGACCACGTCGTGGCGGGGTTTGCGATCGTCTAGTGCATGCGAGGTGTCTATACAGGCTGTACAATGCGCGGGTGAGGCGGCGCTTGGATGAGACGCCGGCCAAACCCGTTCTAAGCAGGGGAGAGGGAAGTTTCGTCGGGCAGCGTCGAGGGCAAGCAGCTTCCCGCCTTCTACTCCGGGCGTCTGTCAGAAAGACCCTTGCGCCACGCCTCAAGGCCCGACTCGAATAGCTGCCGTGTCACGCCGCCGTTGACGAGGGTGAACGTCACGCCTAGCTTGGCGACTTCTCGGTTGCGAGACTCGTCTGGGGGGCGGGCAACGTGTGGAGTGAGTAAGAGAGCGATAGCGGGTATGAGAACTGTGTGGACCCACCATCAAAGAAAAGCTGCAGAAGGAATGCAAGGTCAGGGACGAGAAGACAAGGCGTGGAAAGCAAGAGTGCGCACCATCTCCTCGAAGGGGATGCCCGTCTTGGTGTTGAGCTGTTGGAAATGTTCCATCTTCGACCCAGGGTAGATCTCCATCGAATCGAATAGTCGGATAGCTGGGACGACTTTCTCGCCGTCCTTTGCCTTCAAGGGGTCCTTGGCGTCGTCTCGATGCGATCCCGGCACGAGGAGCTCGCTCAGGATTTGTCGCGCGACCTTTGGCGCATGTGTTCGCGAGGCGGCAGCGACGTGAACGCCGGAATGGTGCAGTTTGTGGAGGATGTCGGGAACGTCGCGGTAAAAGCTGAGGAGTTCGCCGTGCTTGTCGTACACCTTGTTGATGTCCTGACCTCGTCGCTTGAGTGGCGGCGTCACATGGGTCTGCAAGGCGGTATTTGACAAAGGGTCAGCTCGGCGAGGAGGTTGGACGAGACGCAGCGACGCACATCGCACCAGCAGTCCCACAGGGTGAAGTCCAAGTCAAACACGATCGCCTTTGGCAGTCTGCCCTCCAGCTTTGGCCCGTCGGAGCGTCCCATCTGGCGTTGTTCGTTCAGGAGTGATGAGGATGGAGGCGTCGGATGACACGAGCAGGCGGCCTGTAGGGTACTCCGAAAGTACGAGACAATCTCTATGAGCTCAGAAGCGATCCTCGAACAGCAGTTGAGCGAAGTTGGCGGAGTACAACCGTCCTCGAACCTCGTCCCCACTCCCTTGACGAGTTCCACCGCTTCCCCTCGCTCTCACCGCTCGTGCTTGGCTTATAATTGCGCTGCTCACTGTCCGCCAGCTCTCATACGCGCCTGGGCAAGCTCGCGCGGCGCCGCTAAGCCCTCGAGAATGGCGGAAGCTCTCCCGTCCTACACTCTCCTCAGCGTGCGTTGCCGCCCCTTCCGCACCCGTTCCTTCGGTCACTGACTGGGTTCTCTTGCTCCGAGACAGTACCAGGAGCGGAAGGCGTTCCAGCGACAGTGTCGACAAGTCTTCCACGCCGCAGCCGCCCGCTCAGGCGAGGATGTCGGATCCGCCAGATATGTCGCGAACGGGATCGAGGGTCTCGCCGAGTTCTACGTGAACGATATTGAAGCGAGGAGGTCGGGCCTGCGGGGCGCGCCCTTTGATGCCGACTTCGCCAGGTTCGAGCAGGTGCGTTTCTTCGCCTCGCCTAAGATACAACGCGCACCTGACGGCCCTCCGAGCTTCTGTAGAAACACAACTTCCTGCAGAACATCATCACGGATCTTCGGAACGAGGGCACTCTCCTCTTCGAGCGCGTGGCGCCGTACTGGCCGGAACCGACGACGACCTTCGCGGCTCCCGACCTCTACACGCTCATTCAACCGCCCACAAAGGAGGTCGACCTGCTGAGCGTCGACCCGGACGCAGAAGAAGGCAGCGCGGCGTACTTCCTCGCCCCGCCTTCGAGTGCGCCCGCCAACGTCCTCGAACTCTCTTCCGACTCTGACGAGATCTCGGTGCGTTCCGCATCCTCTCGTCTGCGCAACAGCTGGGATTGACCGGGATGTGTTTACAGAACGGCCAGGCCGACCCATACGCCAAGGACTTGGGCGGTTTCGAGCACGGCGACCAGGATATGGACGACTTCTTCGCGCGGCCGCCGGTCGTCGACGATGTACCTCCTGCAGCCCCACCGGCGACCAACGCCTTCGACATCGACATTGACGAAGGACTGGATGCAGACACCGAGGACGGCGGAACGGAGACGAGCGACTTAGGAATCGGTACCTCCAAGAGCGGCGCGCGGCGCAAGGTTCGCAAGATGCCGAAGACGTCCTTCGACACGCAAGTTCCCGTCGGTGCGCCGAAGGGCAAGGGGAAGGAGAGGGTGCGTCTCGATAATCTCGCACTCTTGTGCAGCCACTGACTGCTGCGTTTCGTTCGTTACAGGCCAGGGAGCGCGACCTCAAGCCTATCGACATCGTCGAGGACACGCCCGACGAGAGCTGCATGCTCACGCTTAGCGGATCGGGATCGAAGAAGCGCAAGCGCACGGGCAAGCAGCGCTTGTTCCGCACACGCACCGCGTACAACCCTCGCCGCGCACCTCCGCCTAAGCGTGCGTCACGCTTCCCCGCCGCATCTCGACACATACTGAGACTTTTTGACTCCCGCAGCGCCGAACGCTTTCGACGAGGAACGACTGGCCGCGCTCTGGCCGTCGAAGAAGAAGGTCAAGCGGCCTCTGTACCGGCTCGACAACTTCGCCGTCGTCGCTTCCGCGAGCCTTCAGAAAGGGGCCATCAAGCCGTGCTCCACCGTCAACCTCCTCAAGCATATGAAGAGCGTGGTTATCGTCGGCATGGCGTCACCTTTCGAGCCCCCACCCAGAGGCGGCGAGTCGGACAGGGAGGACGGTAATCCGTCGCCGCGAGAAACAAGTGCGGAGGTTCACCTTTGGGGTCGTTACGACGTTCGACGCCTCGACTTCACCGCATCCGGACTCGTCTTGCACACTCGACTTGGCCAGTTCGTCCTTCAAGAATGGTGGACTACTCCACCAGCTCCACAAACTTGCCGCCGACGACTCTGGGGTCCATCCGACGGGCCGAAAGCCGCCATGTCGAGAGCGCAGTCACTGGTCGGCAAGGTCCCTTTCGGCGAGCAGGACGTCGCGCGATTACGACGACTGATCAACGTTTTTGCCTTCGCACGCTCGCGCTCTATCCGCGGCGATTATGTCGAGCAAGACGACGAGCGCGAGGAGAATCTTGCACGAAGGGTCGGCGATCAGGTTCGCGACGAGCTTGCACGATTGAAGGAGTCGATTGTTAAGGAGAAGGATCTCGACTGGCAGCAAACTCTGCCGTTCGCATGGCGACTGCCCGTCCAGTCACTCGAGCTCCTGCAGAACGAGGCGGTCTTCCTCTTTCGCAAGCTGCCCGACATCCCTTTGTGCGTTCAACTTCGCTCCCATCCTGCGGTCGCCTGTTTGCTGAGGGTTCATGACCACGCCAGCATCTCGCCAGACATCTTCCGGATCATCGTGGACATGTTCTTCCCGAACGCATTCCGGACGGAGAATGAGCAGGCTGTTCGCCGATCCGTCGCCAAGGAGAAGAAGCAGGACGCGCGTCTCCTTAAGCAGTATCGCTACATCGTCCAGCACGACCACGACAATGTTCCCGACGACGTTGCCGAACCTGCCGGGGAGTGCGTGCTTGCGAAGCGAAACGGGAGGGAAGTCGAGGTGTTCAAGCGAGCGATCGTGAATGGCAGAGCGTTCCAGTGCGTCGCGTCCCAGGTTTGCCCCTCCCGTCTCGGTGGCTGATCTCCAGTGCAGAGCTGGCGACGTTGTCCTCATTCGACCCGAAAAAGGTCCTCAAGACCCCTTTCATCGACCACCATCACCTGAAGAACTCGACATCGATGACTTCGAGGAGTCCGACACGGAGTCGTCGTCGACCGACGACACGCCGTCAAGCCACGAGACGTCGTCAAGCCACGAGACGTCGACCACCGACGATGAAGACGAGGAACGGCGCTCTGCAAGCGGGACGGAAGACGTCAAGCTGTGGTTCGGCCTGATCGTCTATTTCCACCGCAAGCGAGCGAAGCCGCACGCGCTGGGTCCCTCGCCGCTCCAAGCCCATATCCTCTGGTGCGCATGCGCTCGTCGCTTTCTTTGTCGTACGCGCCATTCAACCGCTCTATCCCCCCAGGTTCGCCACTGCCTCGACCGTGCCAAGTCTCGGACCGTACCTGCCGCCTCGTCAACTCCTTACCTTGGACAGATGCGACGACGTCGAGGCTGTCACTCTGCTCACCAAGGTCCCCTTTCAATTCGTCAAGCCAGCGGCGGCTACGCGCAGTTCCTCGTCGATTTGGCCCAAGACCGGATTCTTCAGCTGGTGCGCACATTCACCACTTTTTCATACTCTCTCCGCTGACATTCTCGGCGGCAGGGCGCTCTACAACGACGAAGACGGCTCGTTCCGCGACATCGACCCTACGTTCCTGGCGGTCAGCGGCGACGGAGCTCACCTCGACAAGTCGGCTATCGACCGTTCGAAGCTCTTTCCCCAGTGCGATCAGCATGGACGCCCGCCATGTCCCTCGTGCGAAACGACGTTCGAGTCGAACTACCGGACAAATCCGGAAGGATCACGTCGCGCGCTCCGTGCGATTCGCATCGACGGCGGCTTCGAGATCGACCGCGTCCCTTACCACCCAGGCGACTTCATCTACGTGGTGCCGGTCGAGGATTCCGCCAGCGATGAGGACGGCGAGGGTGACAAGCGTGGGCCAGCTGCGGAGGACCCTCGCCCATATCGCCTCGCTCAAATTGTCACGATCGTCGACAACGCCGAGGAGCCCGACGAGGTTCACGAGATCAAAGTCACATGGCTCACGAGGGCGAGCGATGTGCCCGAGCGCCTTCGCCCGTCGGGAAGCTTCCTTTCGGAGCGCGAGGTATTCTTCACGGATGCACCGTCATATTCGCTCGCCACTGCCGACATCTCGAAGAAGTTCAGTCTCGTCCAGCTGGATATCGCAGACGACGGCGACGCGACGCTCGAGATCGCGCGGCTCGAAAGTTCGAGCCCTGACGCATTCTACACCCGCTTTCGCCTCAACCGCAAACCCGGCGAGCCAGGACGCGACAAGGGCTACGGCGAGGACGGCGAGGTCTGGCCGATCGTTGACTCGCACGGCTTCTTCTACGGCGAATTCGGCTTCGAGGCCGTCAAACTCGAGAACGGCGCCCTGCAGACCTGCGAGACGTGCCAGACTACGTCCGACCGCAAGGCTGCCGAACGACACGCGGTTCTCCAGGCGGCGTCGCGGGCGACCCTCAATCACCTTGCGCTGTACGCGGGCGGCGGCCTACTCGATCGTGGCCTGGAAGAAGGCTGCCCGCTCCTTACCGTCAAGCACGCCGTCGAGAAGCACGCTCCAGCAGCCTCGTGCATGCGCAGCAACGCGCTTCATTCCCTTGAGACGCTCGAGACCACGGTTTCGAACGTCGCGGAGGCCGCCTTCTACGGCATCGGCGTTGAGGGCGGCGACATCCCGCCCATCGGCCAAGTATACTCGATAGCAGGTGGCGCGCCCTGTCAGGGCTTCTCACAGGCGAATCACCACAAGCGGGTGTGTCTCGCTCTTTTGCCGTCCGTGACTCGTGCTGACTGGTCGATCTCACAGATTGACGACTTGCGCACGCTCGAGCCGTTCGTGTTCCTTTCGGAGCTCGCCATCTATCGTCCTCTCACGGCCATCTTCGAGAACGTCGCGGCCTTCAGGCGTCACGCCTTGCCTCTGCCGGGCAGCCGGACCGGCTCCTACTTCCAGCTCTTCGTAGCCGGATGCCTTTCGCTCGGCTACCAAGTTCGGTGGACTCTGGTCGACTCCGCCGGGTAAGCACATCGCCACTCGCGCTCGCATCCATTTGCACTGACGCGTTCCCCTCTGCAGCTTCGGCGTTCCTCAGCATCGTCGACGTCTCATTGTGCAGCTCGCTGCATCCGGCTTTCCGCTCCCCGACGCGCCAAACCCCACGCACGCCGTCTCGAATTCGGTCGTCAACTTCAATCACCGCTTGACCGAATACGAAGCGCAGGACTTCTGGCCCGTCTTCGCCCCGCACAAGCCGGTTACGATCGCGGCAGCCATCGATGACCTGCCGTCGTTCGAGACAGAGATCCCCACCAGCGATTACGTTCAGAGGACGGTGAGCGGCACCGTCGTGGCACTTTCGTTGCTTCCCACGGCGCTGACCTGAGCCTTCGCAGTATGGGGTCGCGTGGGGCGACAGCAAGCGTCCTGGCAGGTACAGGTCGGCACCAAAAACCTCGGCTCAGCTTCGCTTGCGCACGATGATCTCGCCGGACGGCGATACCGTCACCTTCACGCGCGAGCCGACGCACCATGTTTGCCGCTCGGTCAACAAGGTCGTGGCGGAGAGGCTCCTCGCGCTCAAGGTCATCAAGGCTGATGGCTCTGGTGGCAACCACCTCGACATGAAGGGCAAAACTTGCTATCCCTATCCGTCGCCTTGGGTCATCAAGCTGGGCAAGCTCGACCTTTGGTGGCGACGGCTGCTGCGCGACGCGATCCTCTCGCCGCTTCGAACGACGTTGAACCTCGACGGGGCGTCCCATGGCGAGCGGATCCATTACAACCAGGCGCGAGGCCTTTCGCTGCGCGAGCTTTTGAGGGCGCAAGGTGTGCTGTCTGCTCCTAGCTAATCTCTGGATTGTTCCGCTCACCGGCTCTTTCTTCCACGACTCACAGGGTGCCCGGACTTCTACGAGCTCAACTTCTCGCACGCGACGGGCGACGAGTCGTTTGAGGAGGCCTTGAGGGTCATCGGCAATGGCGTCCCCGTTCCTCTCGCCGCCGCCTACGGCCGCGCCCTCCTCGACAAGCTGACCCCGATCGTTCTTGAGTGGCTCGACAAGGGAGCCCAGGGCGACCTCTGGCACTCGATCTGGCTGGACCTGGGAGGCGAGCGGTTGCGGGCGACGGCGGCGCAGAAGGGAGGTCTATCGGCTCACTCTGACGCCGGGCAGTTTGACAAGACGTCCGTCGAGGCGGCTGGCGACAAGAAGGTCGCCGATGACGACTGGATGGACGTGCAGGAGGACGGCAGCGACGATGACCTCTATGCGGACCCGGAGCCTTCGACACCGCCGCCGTCAACGCCCAAGCCTGCCTCCAAACCCAGCTCTCAGCGTCACAATTTCGCTCGCAAGTCCGCCGCACGAGCGTCGCCCGTTCGCGCGCTCCAGCGCACCTCGACCTCGCAGTCGTCCGGCTCGTCCTCCTCGAATGGATCGGGCTGGCAGTTCGCGCGCGAGGATACGGACGAGACAAGGCTCACGTCGCTCGAGGTGGGACAGGCGGCGCAGGCACATCAGGCGAAGCGGACGCGGACGCAGTCCCGCGAGGAGATGAAAGACGAGCCGAAGAAGAAGGAGCCGCAGGTCATGGACATCGACTCGGACGACGGCCAGCATGACGACGACGTCGTCATCGTCTCCGACACTGACGACGAGTCGATCGTCAGGGAGAAGGGACCGCCTGCGGTGATCACGATTGAGGACTCGTCGGACGAGGACGACTGAGCGCTTATCTCCTCCCGCATCTTGCATACGTTATCTCAGCTGTGTCTCTGCTTGTTGTAGCTCGTACGGAACGTGTTGTCTTGATCACTCATCTGCGAGCGCATCGAGCGAGACTGAAAGTGTCTTTGCGAGGAGCCGTCTACCTCGTCCAGCCTCCGTCATCCATCTCTACACTTCCCCGCTCGTCTACCCTCGCAATCCTGATCCGCTGTAGCTCAGCCTCCATCTCGGTGATCACATTCCTCAGCTGTCCGGCCTCCCAGCTCCCTCCCAAGAAGCCCGTGTACAGGAACGTCGCTCCTCCTGCGCCCGCAATGACGCCGAGCAGCGTGAACAGCCAGTTGAGCGCTCGGAGCGGCTCGAACGACGAGGCGACCGTCAGACCGAGGGCGGCGGCGATGCAGCCGAGGAAGATGCGGAGTTGGAAGCGGGACGATGCGAGTGAGGCACGGTACGCGCCGTGGAGGTTCGAGAGAGCGGGCGAGAGGAGGTCAGGCGTGAGAGGATCGGGAAGTCGTTGCTGTTGTTGCGTAAAAGCGAAGGTCGTGCTGAGGGCGAAGTGGTCCGAGTAGCTCACGCCAAGCGAGGGGATCGGTTCTGTCAACTCGAGCGACGTTGACTCGGCACGTAGCTGCCAGGGCGAATCGGCGGGAGAGCGGTAGAGGATATAGTCGAGTCGCTTGCCGCCTCGGAGGAGCACCTCGTCGCCCGACCGTTTCTTGCGGAGTTTCGGCGCAGAGTAGGTATTGAGCGGCGAGTCGCAAGTGATGCCGTGTGCGTGCATGGCCTCAATGGGAGAGAGCGCGCGGTGCGCAGCTGAGGTGATCGAGGGAGGCGGCGGGTGCGTCTCGGCGAAAGAGTCGAGGAGCGAGCCGTTCGTGGTGATGAGGCGCATGATGAGGCTGTGAGGCTGCGAGTTGAAGTCACCCATCTGCAACGGTACACGTTTCAGTACTGTGTTGCGACCTGGCAATCGGATCGGGACGCACCACGAGGACATGCCTGCCTCGCTCCGCCTTCTCCGTCGCGATCCGCGCCAATTCCCACGCCTGTGCGACCCTGTGCGCCCCAGTAATCGTGTCGCCTTCTCCTCCAGGCGCATACATGTGCGTGTTCAGCACGTCGACCTTGCCGACGCCCTCGACATCGACGCAGACCCCGCAGACGGCCTTTCCTGCGAAGAAGTCGCCCTCGATAAAGTGGAGTGGGAAGCCGTTCAGAGGGTAAGGAGAGACGAAGGCGGACACAATGGGATGCCGGGAGAGGATGGCGAGACCGGATCCGATTGCGCCGCTACAGGGACGAGGCAGGGAGGTCAGGTCTGTTGAGGAGGAGGAGAAGGAAGGAGACGCACCTGTAGAAGAACCTGCTGTGGACGAGTCCCGCCTCCTTTGCTCGCTCAGCGACATGCTCGTAGTCGCTCCTGACCCACAGCTCCTGCAGCGCGACGACGTCGTACCCTTCGCCGACCTCGCCCTGCTCCTCGATGCCGCCCGCGTGTCGTTCGGTGCTGTATGACGAGGCAGCCAGTGGCGAGCTGGAGTGTGCGATCCAGTCTGCGATGGCCTCGATGCGCTGCCTGCGCTTGTCTGCGACGAGCCACAGTCCCCTTTCATCAGGGCGAGGAGAGGGAGAGTGAGCAGGCGAGAGCGTGTGGGAGGACCGCCAACGTGTCGAGCTGGACTGTGTGACTCACCAGCAGTTCAGCGAGAGCACCTTGAGCCTCTTCTGCGACTGTCCTTGCATCGTCTGCTGCCGACCCTCTCGAAGCACCACCTCGGGAAAGGACCTCTACGCTCGCTCGCTCGAGACTGGCTGCTAGAGGTGACAGAGCATGTCAGGAGACGCTACAGTGCACGACACAGCTGCTGGACTGCACGAAGTCGCGCTCGACGACGCTCCACCCGTCCGCTCGCTCGCAACTCCCAGCTTCGACTCGCCGGTACCGCTTCAGGGGCGGGAAGTGGTTGCCGACGGGCGAGGTGGAGACATTGGGATCGATGCGGACGCGACCGAAGCTGGACAGGCGGGCAAGAAGGCAGATGGCGGCCGTTTCTCACGAGCGGACGCGACACGGACTGATGAGGGAATGAACGGCGACGGAGGCTTCGAGGCGGTCTCTCTGGGCGACGAACAGCCCGGAAACCCCTCCACAACGATCCAGGAGAACGGCGACACCCCCCATCGCTCGTCTACACCACCATCTCCCGCCTCTCCCGCACACACCCCTCCCTCGACACCTCCGCCTCACAGCCCGAGCGTCGTCTCGACCGCGCCAACCACGACCATAGACCCTTCGTCATCTCAGAATGTCTCGACACCGCCCGAGACTGCCGAGACGGATGCGAATGGCGCTGGAGAAGCGGGGGTGAAGGCTGCGACGCCCGCTCCCACGCCGCAGAAGAAGCCGGTCAGCACGCGCAAGCAGACGGTGATGCAGAAGGTTGTGTCGATGACGAGGCAGCGGACACTGCCGCCGAAGAGCAAGGAGGAAGAGGTGCGTCCGCTTCGCTGCGTGTGTCCGACATACTTCGGAGTAGTCTGGTCCAGCCAAACGCTCGCCAAGGTGCATGTCCAGACTGTAGCTGACCTGTTTCGCAATTGCAGGAGAAACACCTCGAGCAGCTCGCCGAGATGTTCGCCGCGAGTCGAGAAGTCGGTAGGTCCTGCTTTCCTGTTCTCTCTCTCCTCGCGCTCACAATGCTCATCCACAGAGAAGCGCCGCCGCTCAGAAGCAGAAGCTCGCTCCGCGCTGCGCGCAACCGCACTCGCGACCGCCTTCCCCGTATGGGAGAAGTCGATCCTCCCGAACTGGCGAGTCGTCCTGCATGACGATGCGCAAGGGCGACGACTACGCGACTTGTGGTGGGACGGCACGATGCCTGTCCGATGGCGCGGCAGGCTGTGGGCCATGTGTATCGGGAATGGGCTGGCTGTCGGCAAGAACGAGCTGAGCAAGGCGAGCGAGCGGGTTAGGGCGTTGCGAGAAGCGGGCAAGTTCGAGGAGGTGGAGAGAGCGGCGAAGGAGGATGTCGAGCGGGTCTTGCCGGCGCTGAAGTTGTTCCAGGAAGGACGGGTGATGCACGAGGACTTGATGGAGGTGTTGCTGGCGTGGTCGGTTCACGAAAAGGTGACGCCTCGATATGTACGTTCCGCTTCTCTCGATTCTCCTGAAGTCAATCCACTGATGCTCGCGAATCACAGGCCCCAGGACTCGCTTTCCCCGCCGCCCTCCTCATCCTCAACATGTCTCCCGCCGAAGCCTTCGTCTGCCTCGTCAACCTCGTCCAGAAATCCTTCCTCCGATCCTTCTACAGCGCCGATCCCGACGAAGTCGAAGCCTATTACCGCGTCTTCGACACCCTCCTCGCCGACTACATGCCACGCGTCTACGCCAACTTCTCCGCCCAAGTCGTTCGACCCTCGCTCTACCTCTTCCCCTGGCTCTCGACTCTCTACACCGCCTTCCTCCCGCTCGACCTTGCGACGCGGATATTCGACGTCTTCCTCCTCGAAGGCGACTCGTTCGTCTTTCGCGTCGCCATCGTTCTCCTCGAAATCCTCGAGCCGCGACTGTTCAACCCGAATCTGGACGAGCTGTCCGCCGTCTTTGAGGGAACCGACAAAGGCGCTGTCGGCGTCGTGCGCCGGGAGAAGGGGCTTCTCACGGCGGACGGAGGGTCTATCGAGGAGCGGGACGGCGGGATCAGGGTCGAAGTCGAAGACGTGTACAGTGAGATGGGCGCGACAGAGGAAAGGGTGTTCGAGTTGTTGCGGCAGCTCGACTGGAAGGAGGAGACTTTCGCGAGGTTGGTGGAGCGGGAGTTGCCCGAGGTTGGAGTCTGAAACGATGAAGGCTGGTCCTTCGCGCATTCGTGTACAACTAGATTGCGGTGTAGAGACTCGTTTTGCAAGACGATATTGTCGACAACAGCACTACTTCTGAGCCTGAGCGTCCTTTGCGAGCTGACGAATCGTGACCTCGAACGGCTCCGGCTCCCTTCCCAGGATCTCGCGCAAAGTGGGCGTCACGACCGCCGTCTCTCCCCTCCTGATACCCTCCCACGCCGTCGCCCACTTCTTCGCATAGTCCTGCCCGCCGTACACCAGTGCCCCCTTGACCTGCTCGGCGTACTCGTCGACGCTGACCTCCTCGATGCGCAAGTCGGTACGGCCGGTTACCGAGCCGAGCAGCTCGACCGTCTCCTTCAGAGTCCACTCCTTCTCGCCTGTGAGGAGCAAGAGGCGGTTCTTGTACTCGTCGGTGCGGCGGAAGAAGATCGACTGAAGGACGAGCGCGGTCGCCTCGCCCAGCTCGTCGCGCTTGACCCAGGTGACGCCGGGTCCTGAGCCGTCGTGAGGGATCCTGATGGGTGTGGAGGGATTGGATAAGGTGAAGAAGGCGGTGTAAATGGGGGTCGACTCCGAGTAGATGCCTTCACGAACGATCTGCCGCACACAGTTTCAGTCAGCTTGGAACGGCGAGAAAGTAGAGGAAGCAACCAACGGTGTAGCTGAAGCTCGAGTCCTGGGCCTGCACCTCGCGCAGGTACTGTTCGGTCCGCAGGTGCGCCGCCATTACTTGCGTCACACTCTCCGTCGACTCCGGCCTCCCCGCGAAGCCGAGCGAAGAGTAGACGATGTGCTTGACGCCTTGACGCCGTGCAGCTTCGATGGCGCGCTTGTGCGAATTGAAGCGGTGGTCGTTCTGGATGCTGGCGTACGAGATCAGGCAGAGGACCTCGACGCCCTCAAACGCCGTCTCCAAGGATGCATGGTCGTCGTAGTCTGCCTGGCGGACCACGGCACCCTGTTTCCGCGCGTCATCGAGCCGGTCGGGGTGTCGAGAGATGAAGGCGAGTCGAGAGCGCTGGTCGGCGGGGACGATGCGGAGGAGGTGCGAGACGATGGAGCCGCCGAGTCCGCCGGAAGCAGGGAAGACGCCGAGCATTGTGCCACGCCTGCAAGGTGCAGAGAAAGATGCAAGGGAGAGGAAAGATTGGAAGTCCGAGGGGGAGCTCATGAGGCCGAAGATGAGCTCATCAAGCGAATCACCACGTCCTGCTGGCTGGTCGAGCTGCAGGCGCAAATCTGTGGACTCTTTGAGCAGCCCTGGATGCTCCGTCAACGCCTCATCCTGCGTGAGCAGAGGTCGCGGAGATTCCGAGCGCTTTGCTGATGAGAGAACGAGCCAACGTCGAATCCGGGCGTCAATCCGACGTGCTGGCAGCCCTCCGGAGTCCCTCTCCAGCCTGTTTGCGCAGCTGCAACCTTGACCGAGCGAGGTGAAGGCGTTGAGGGGCGCGTTGCCCGTCGAGGAGGGGTGTCGAGGAAGGCGGCATCGCGATGGCGGGCCTTGCGGCTGGTTGTCGATGCCCCGTAGCAGTTCTCGCAGAGCTAGCACGAGCAAGTCGGGCTCTTCAGCGAGATGAGCGCGGTTGCGGTCGAGGAGAACCGTTCGCTCGTTCCCTCGTTCCCTTTGACCTCGTCAGACGCGCACAACCTGCTGAACTCGCGCCGAACGGCCCCTGCTTGGGCTTGACTGGCTGCTTGCATGTCGCTTGACGACAACCAGCGACAAGAGCGGCCTCAACAGCCGTCCTCGTCGCATCACCCCCACTCGACATCTCCGTCAACCCTCCTCGACGCCCAAACGGCCCAGGACGGCTCGCCACGCACGCAGAGGGAGCGACAACTCTCTCTCGAGGCGCCCCTCGCTGTCACAACCGCTGTCGACCGACCTGTCTCTCCCTCGAGTCCGCTTCACAGCCCAGAGGACGGCAGCGAACAGCCGTTCGGCTCGCTCAGGCGCGGCTCGCTGAGACTGAGGAGAGGCAGCGAGGGCGGAAGTGGCGGTCTCGTATCGGCGGGCTCAGCAGGACAAGCGGGAGGAGCATTTTCGACTGCGGATGCGACTGCGCGAACTCGTACGGCGAGCGAAGGAGGGTGGATCTCGTTCAGATCAGACTCTCCAGCTCCTACGATAGAGCGAGGAGCCCGGAGACATGCAGGGACAGTCAACTTGGCGGACGGTTCGGTCGTCAGGCAACTCCCCTCGCCTCCAGCCCGCCATACTCCCGCTGCCGACGACCCATTCCAAGCTTCGACGGAGGCCGGGCCGTCGACTGGCTTCTTCGACGCCGAATACAGCGCTGCGAGCCACGCTCATGGACGCAGTGAGTCGCAAGCCTACAGTCTCGCCTCCGAAACCGACTACGATCCGTCGCTTTCGACTGCGCATTCCTTTCGACACCCTCTCGCCCACGACATCGACGAAGAAGAGCTTGAAGTGCGATCTCCCCTCCAACCCTCCCTCTCGACTCCCCCAACTCGCAGCAACCACCGCCTCGGTCCCTTCTCCTCGTCTTCCGGCCCCTCTCGTCGGCCGTACCTCTCGCCGCTCAGTACCTCGCCCAGCCTAGCGCGCACACCGAGTCCTCGACGACCCAGTCCGTCGGGCGAAGGCGGCTGGCACGAGCTCTCTGCATCGCGCTCGAACGGCGACTCGCAAGAACACGGCCAATCTGCGGGCCTCATGCGCCGAGGAACGCTGGCTGCCGCTGCCGAGCGGCTGCGACGAGTCTCTGTGCGAGTCGTCAATTTGACCGGAATCGACGGCGAGATGTTGGCTGAAGCTGAGGTCGAGGCGGAGGAGGCGGAGCGAGCGCGAGAGGAAGGCAGGTCTCCTGTCGATCTGACGGGCCGAAGACGAAGCTCGGTCGGCATTGGGGTGACTGGTGTCGAGGACGACGGCCGAAGCGGCGAGTCTATGGGACGACGAGATGCGGATGCGCCGGAGGACTCGGCAGATTCAGGCGTCGAGTGGGAGAAGGAAGTGCAGCGGAGCGAGAAGGCTTTCAGGATGTTGCGGGGGAAGACGTTGGGCGTGTTCGGCCCGGACAACGTGTTCAGGCAGGCGTGCGCGCGGGTGTTGACGGCGCGGTGGACTGAGCCAGTGATCCTGCTGCTCATCATCCTCCAAGTCGTTGTGCAGACGATGCAGTCGTCTTACAACGTCTACGAGCATCCGCGACCGACGAAGGGCTTCTTCCATTCGTGGGAAGACTACGTCCTCTTCGTCGTGTTCTGCGCATTCACGGTCGAAATCGCCGCACGCATCGTCGTCACCGGCCTCGTCATCAATCCGCCTCGTCCTCCTACGCCACCCGAAATCAAGCCCGACATCTACGGCACGCCCCACCGCTCGCCGTCTCTCGTCACCAAGATCCAGTCTCGCCTCTCGCCCATGCCGTCGCCTACACCTTCACGCCGTCGCTCTCCTTCACCTTCAGACTCTCGTCTCTCCCCCTTACCGTCACCTTCTCGACTGTCTCCCTTGCCTCCGTCGCCGACGAAGGCGACGTACCCACCAGCCGCCCTCACCTCTGCCGACATTACCTCACTCGACTACGCCCGCTTTCCCGCCTCGAACATGTCGTCTGTGGCTCTTATGCGCGAAGACACGCCAGCGCCGCCGATCATCGACCCTGGACCGGCGGGAGTCGGGCTCGGCTTCACCTCTGCGCCGTCGACCTCACTCTCTCAACCGTTCTCAATCAAGTCAGGTCTGGCCGCCGCCTTTCCCGCTGCGACGGCCGCTGCTGCAGCGAACTCGCATTCTGCCGCTTCGTCCACGACCTCGCACGACCCTTACGGTGCCCATCACCAGCCCAGCATCTTCGCCAGCGCTCACACGCCTTACGCCCTCTCGATCAAGCGCCAGCGGCAGACGTACCAGCAAGCGTTCCTTCGACACTCGTGGAACCGCATCGACGCGCTTGCCGTACTTTGCTTCTGGATCTCGTTCGGTCTGGCGTCGACGGGACTCGAGGCGAGCAAGAACCTATGGTTCTTCCGGTCGCTCAGCGTGCTGCGCGCGGCTCGGCTCTTGGCCATCAGTCCCGGTACCCAGGTGCGCAAGTCCTGCTCGTCAACAGCCCGTGCAAACCACTCATCTTCCGTCCGCAGATCATTCTTCAATCACTCAAGAAGGCTTCGCCGCTACTCGTCAACGTCGGCCTCTTCGTCGCGTTCGCCATGTTGCTCTTCTCCATAATCGGCGTGCAAGCCTTCCGAGGATCCTACTTGCGGCACTGCGTCTGGATCGGTGCGTACAGTCGAGGTTGTCCGAGTCGATGGTTTCGCTCATTTCCCTGTACTTCGCAGACCCCCAAGGCGTCCTCGCGAACGTTACGGCCGATCAACCATGCGGCGGTTACATGGATGCAGCCGGTGTGACGCGGACCTACTTCACGCTCGAAGGCCTCCCCTCTGGCGAGCCACCGAAAGGCTTCATCTGCGGTCCGCCAAGCATTTGCGCAGAAACGGAGAATCCGGTCAACGGTCGCTGGAGTTTCGACAACATCCTCGCGGCTCTCATGCAGGTCACCGTCACCGCCTCTTCGAATACCTGGACAGACGGCATGTACGCAATGATGAGCGCCGACTACTTCGCGTCTTTCCTCTTCTACGTCGCGGGCGTCCTCATCATCAACTACTGGATGCTGAACCTCTTCGTCGCCGTTATTACGAGCACCTTCGGCGACATCCGCGACGAGACGAAGCATTCGGCTTTCGCGGCCACCTCGTGCGTCAGATTCTCTTAGCGAGTACACGCGTCACTTGCTCATGCTGTTCTCTTGCACAGCGCCCTGCCCGTCAAGGTCAGGTTCGACGACGATCGGAAACCTCGTCGCGGCCTCAGCAAGAGCGCCGACCTCATTGCCAAGGTCTACAGGAAGACGCGATTCTTCTGGATCGCACTCGTCGTGGTCTCGATCTCGTTGCAGGCGAGCCGCTCGTACAAGATGGATCAGGCCAAGTCGGACGCGTACGACTGGGTGGAGCTCGGCTTGACGATTGCGTTCGACGTCGAGATCGCCACCCGCATGTTTGCGAGCCTACCCGACTGGCGACGCTTCTTCGACAGCCCGGCAAATCGGGTCGACCTCTTCCTCGCCGTCACAACGAGCATCATCCAGCTCCCCGGCATCTTCGGCACTCGCGCCTACGTCTGGTTGACGTGCCTCCAGATCGCACGGTTCTACCGCGTCATCCTCGCCATCCCCCGCATGAAGCGCCTCCTCGTCCGCCTCGTCAGAACCGTCTACCCGCTCATGAACATGATCCTGTTCCTGTTCCTGCTCACCTACCTCGCCTCGCTCGTCGCGGTCGAGTTCTTCCGCGGCATCCCCGACCCCGCAAACGACGATACCGGTTACCTCACCTTCTACCAGTTCTTCGACTCCTTCCTCGCCATGTACCAGATCCTGTCCAGCGAGAACTGGACAGACGTCCTCAAGACGGTCCTCGCGAACGAGAAGGGCGCCCTGCAGATCGTCCTTGCCGGCGTCTTCGTCTGCGGCTGGATGTTCGTGGGCTACTTTGTCATCGGCAACCTGTTCATCGCCGTGCTCAATGAGGGCTTCCAGCTCGCCGAGGAGGAGAAGCGTCTCCGGCAACTCGAGGCATTCGCCGTCGGGCAGAAACGCGCGGTGACGGCAGGTTGGTTCAGGAGGTTCGATCCGTACACCTACGCGACAATGCGCCAAAGACGACGTACCGAGCGCCGTCAAGCGTCCACGCATGAGGACGTTCTCGACCGTCGCATGACGAGCTCGCCGGAACCGCTCGAGTCGCCGCCCGAAGACGAAAAGGTTGCTACCGCTTTTCTTCTTACCACGTCTTCGTACTAACGAGACGACTGCTGCAGAGTCTCTCGCCACCTCCGACGGCAGCATCGTCCGTCAGATTCGTCGACCAGGCCAAGAAGGCGTTCAAGTTTCGCTCAGGTCTCGACACGCTCACCAGAATCGTCCAGCCGCCGCCTTCGCCGCTGGAGCCGCCGTCTCGCGGTATTCATCATGTCCGCGAGGCGACGATCGAGGAGCGCGAGCGATTACAGGAGCAGACGCAGCGGCAGCGCAAGGACACGGTCGCCGAGTTCATCGAGGAGCATCCTTCGTATGACAGGTCGCTCTTCCTCTTCTCGCAAAATTCGCACATCCGCAGGCTCTGTCAATCGGTCGTTGACCCCGCTTACGGCGACGAACGCATCAACGGTCAACCGCCGAAGAAGGGCCGCCGACTCGCCTTCCAAGCCGTCATTTTCGCCGCCATCGTCGCGTCCATCGCCATTGCTGGCATTGCAACGCCTCTCTATCGACGCGACTACTTCCTCCAGCAAGGCCAAGTCCGCATCGCCTGGTACTCGCTTGTCGAAGTCGCTCTCGGCGTCGTCTTCCTCGCCGAGTTTCTCGTTCGAATCACCGCCGACGGGTTCATCTACTCGCCGAACGCCTACATGCTCTCGCTGTGGCGCAACATCGACGGCTTCGTAAGTTTCATTCGTCTCATCCTTCCGAGGCTTCCGCTCACCGCTCTTGACTACGCCGCCAGGTCCTGCTGACGGTCATCGTCAACGTCTCCACGTCGCTGATCGAGGGTCCTGCCAACAACCGATTCACTCGCGCCTTCAAGGCGTTCCGAGCGCTGCGCCTGATCAACCTCTGGCCCCGCATGCGAGAAGCCTTCTACAACGTACGTTTCTCGTGCCCCCGCATCGTCAAACAGGTCGATGAAATGCCGCTTTGCAGGTCCTCGTCCTCGGCATCGGCCGAATCGTCGACGCCAGCATCCTCGCCGTCCTCTACATCATCCCTTTTGCGGTCTGGGCGCAGAACATCTTCTCCGGCCTCCTCTACTCGTGCAACGACTCGTCGGTCACGACGAAGGCGGAATGCGTCGGCGAATACCTGGCCTCGCCGACGAGCGACTGGACCTTCTTGGCGCCGCGCGTCTGGTCGAATCCCTACGTCTGGTCGTTCGATTCCTTCAGGTCGTCGCTCCTGATCCTCTTCGAGATCATCTCGCTCGAGGGATGGATCGACGTGATGGAAAGCGTCATGCAGATCAAGGGTCCCGACCTTCAGCCGCAACAGAACGCATCCCAGTTCAACGCCCTCTTCTTCGTGATCTACAACGCCATCGGGGCGTCCTTCATCCTCACCGTCTTTGTCTCGGTCATCATCGCTGCATTCGTTCGACGTTCGGGCAACTCCCTCTTAACCACCGAGCAGCGACAATGGCAAGACTTGCGCCAGCTCATGAATCGGCAGCGTCCAGCGAAACGACCCAAGCGCCGACCCGACAACGCCTTTCGAGCTTGGTGCTACGACCGTGCAGTGCACAAGAACGGCTGGTGGTCACGCGGCGTCACGGTGCTCTACCTCGTCAACATCGTCGTGCTCATGTCGCAGGCAAGGTCGACCGATGGGGCCATTATCGCGTACAGTGCGTTGCCGTTGAATGATTGTTCGCGTCCCCGGAATAGTTATCTGACCCGCCAGCCGTGCAGACTTCGTCTTCCTCGGTTTCACAGTCGCCTACCTCGTCGACGTGGTTGTCCGTGCTTTTGGCCTCGGTCGCAGCTTCTATGAGAACGGCTGGAACATCTACGATGTCGTCGTCATCTCGGGAACTGTCGCAACCACCATCCCCGTCCTGCTGGACGTTAGCGAAGGCGCCCTCCAGCTTCAGAAAGTCTTCCTCGTCTCGCTCACGGTCAAGCTCGTTCAGCGCAGCGACAGCCTCAACCGGCTCTTCAAGACGGCCATGTGAGTCAACTTCGCCTGCTCGCTTCGATCCTTGCCGGACTGCGGCTGACTGTCCTCTTGCCCAGCGCGTCGGTGCCAGCCATCGTCAGCATCTTCGCGCTCTGGCTCGTCTTCTTCCTCGTCTACGTCATCTTCTACAACGAAATCTTCGGCTTGACGAGATGGGAAAGGAAAGAGACGAATAACGCCAACTACTACACGTTTTGGTCCGCCCTCGTCCTCCTCATCCTCCAATCGACTGGGTCAGAACGCTCCTCTCGCTTTTCTCGACAACTTGTGCTGACATGTTCTCACCGTTCGCAGCGAGGGCTGGAACGAGTTCATGCACGACTACACGGTTGACTGGCCGAGGTGTACCTAGTGGGTTCTGCTTGGCGCTTCCCTGCGCAACCTCGCTGACATCTTCCGATACAGCTCGTCGAGCTACCTGCTCACCGACTGCGGGTCGCCCGGCTGGGCCTACGTGCTCTTCATCACTTGGAACGTCCTCTCGATGTGTGCGTTCCTGCCGCTTGCCTCTCGCCGCGTCGTCTCGGACTTGACGCCCGCTCCTCCCCGCAGACCTCTTCGTCAACCTGATTCTCGCCGCTGTCGTCGACGGCTTCTCCTTCATCTGGCAAGACTACGGCAAGGTGGCTCGCATCACACGCGAGGACATGCGGTCCTTCAAGAAGGTGTGGGCCGAGTTCGATCCCGAGCGAACGGGTTTCATCCAGCCTGCGGTCATCCCGCGCTTTCTCCACGTAAGTCTATCACCCTAAAACCCACCTGCAACGCGCCGCTGACCTCCAGCGTCGACAGCGCTTACACGGCGTCTTCGAGATCAAGATCTACCGCGACGCTTGGTCGGTCCCGAGCCTCCAGGCAGCGGCGTACCGTGACCCGCTTGACCAGCACAGCTCGCCTGCTTTCCATCACTACCTTGGCGACCGCGATGCCCTCTCCCTCCGGCGCGTCGATATCGACAAGCTTCGACAGCTCGTCGACGGCATCGACACCGGCGAAGTGGCAGCTCGGCGCCGCAACTACGTTCGACTTTACCACGAGGCAATGCACGATGCCGAAGAGTCGCTCAAGGGTATCTCGCTCAACAAGATGCTCATCCTGCTCGCCCACTACCGGCTCGTCGAGGATGAGAGCGCCCTGCAGTACGCTGCCACAGCTCGCCCTTCGGCGCTAGACTTACGCTCTCTTTCACAGACTCGACGAGCTCGCGAAGCGCCGCCGCAAGCAGGAGCTCGTCACTGACTGGGTCGACTTGGACCGCGTCAACTCGTTCCTCCGCATGGTCGTCCTACGCCGCCGCTTCCTCGCACACCTCGAAGCCAAACGCCAAAACCGTTTCAGCAATCTCCCAGCCATCAGCGTCACCGACGAAGGGCACGATGAGCCCGAACGAGACGGCGGCAGGACGCCCTCGACCGACAACTCCCCCGCCCGCCCTTCCGTCGCCTTCGCCGACTAGCCCTTCACTCTTGGGTTCTCACGATGTCATAGAGTAGCGTGTCGTACATTAGATCGCCCGTGCAAACAGACACTTTCAGGCCTTCTTTTCTCGCATCTTTTGCCCTCCTCGTTCCTCGTCTTCGTCGCCCAGAGTTCTCGTACGACGAGGGCGAGTAAGACAAGTCCTGCGAATTGCAGCCAGTAGCCTTTCGCCGGCTTGACCGTCCTCCCGCGCCTCGGAACCGCACTCACCTCTCCTCTCTGCCCTCTGCTGTTCAAATACAACGACCTCGCCGGCCATGGTGGAGCTCGAAGGGTGGCTACCGGCGCTACTGGCCGCGGTCGCGACGCTCGCTGTTGCGCAACTGTTGCTTCGCCGCTCCTCCTTCTCCTCAACCCTCCCCACCTACGGCCCGTTCTTCCTCCCTCCTTTCGTCCGTGGGCTGCTAGCGGTGTACAGCCTCGGCGCAGACGAGGATGCGTTTCTTCAGGGCCTCAAGCGGGACTACGGGGCAGCTGTCTACATCCCTTGGCCGATGAAGACGACGTTCGTGCTGTCCATCGAGGGCATTCGAAGCGTATACGCAGCCCCGAGGCGAATTCTGAACTTTGTGCGTCGAGCTGATCAGTCAGACTAGCTTGTCGGGGCGAGGTCGCTGACTCCTGAACCCGCAGTACCCGATTCGCCGGGAGATGCAGCATACGGTATTCGGTGCCGCCCCCTACTGGAAGGACGAGTACATCATGGACGGCCACCTGTTCCCCATCCACGCGCGCGGCATGTCCAAGGCAAACTTGGCCGAGTCTCTCATTCGGATCGTCGATATTCTTCGAGTCTGTCTCGACGAGCTCGCTTCCAAAGTCGACAAGGCGCCGCAGGGCGAAGTCACGGTCGACTTGATCAAGTGGACGGTCGAGACCTTCTACGACGCCACGCTTGCCGGTTTCTTCGGCAAGGAGTTCCTTCGGCAAGACCACGTCAACAAGCAGGAGCTGTACGACGCCTTCAACGCCTTCGACAAATCCTTCCCAATCGTTGCGAGCGGTATGGTGCCGCCCGCCTTGCTCGAGAAGATTCCCGACGTCAAGAAAGGTCGCGAAGGTTTCGAGGTGCTTACCTCGACGTTCCAGAGATGGATCCGTGACGGCTTCCATGGACTCGATGCGGGCATCGTGCGCGATATGGCAGAGTTCGCCACGGATCACAACCTTGGCGAGCGAGAAGCAGCAAAGGTGAGTCCACTTCTCCGTCTCTACGCTGGAATTTTGCTAATCGCCATCTGCGCAGATCATGGTTGCCGACATGTGGGCGAGCATGGCCAACGCACCCTTCATGGGCGTCCAGCTCCTTCTCTTCCTTCTCCAAGCGCCAAGCGACATCAGGCGCGACCTCCTCGACGAGATCGACTCTTCCCTGCAAGCCCCAACAACCGAACAGTCTACCTTTTCCCATCTCGGCCAATCGTTCCCTCTCCTCACCTCTTGCATCACCGAGACGCTCCGAGTCGGCACCTCGATCTTCAGTGCCCGCATCGTCGAGGAAGACTTCGTTATCCCGGCGCATGGCAAGTACGGCCAGACGGTCGTGCCCGCTGGCACTCGCGTCCTGAGCGCGCCGCGACCGCACCATCTTGATGACTCGTTCTGGAACGGGACTGCGAAGGCATGGAATGGGCGACGCTTCCTTGGCGGGAGCGCGAACTTGGCACGAAGCGTGTACGGCTTTGGCGGCGGCGTTTCGCGGGTGCGTCTCCCCACTCGCAGTCCGTACCGTTCAGGCTGACATGCATGCGACCGTGCAGTGCGAAGGCGAGCATATCGCTGGTGCCGAACTGAAGGCGTTCATCTCGCTCCTCTTTTCGACTTTCGAGGTTGAGCTCGTCACGCCTTCGAATGACGGCGACTCGGTCCGCCGCGTCGAAGTAGTGGGCAATGAAGCGCCGGCGCTTCTACCAAGGCGGGCGGATGGGCGAGGTGCGTTCGATTGGTCCTCCGTCGCGCGTCACGACTGACTCGAAGGAATCCCTTCGCAGTTGGCATGGGCGCCTTCCAGCCGGCTGAGGGCGCAAGATTCGACATGCGGGTGAGGCGCAGGCAGCCTCTGTCGTCGTGATGCGCTAGAGGACTACCATTAGACCGATTAGATGACCGTGCTATTCCTAACTTCCGTCCGAGTGTCTGTGATGGTATAAAGAGAGAAAGGGAATCTACAGCTGGAGTCCGAGGGTATAAGTCGCCGTCTACCGCCGTGTGATTATGGTCTGCCGCTTCTTCGCCCGCTCCTCCCGCTCGCTCGCCGTTCCAGCCTTCTGCGGACGCCTTCGAACCGCGTGCGCCTCGCAGAAAGGACGTCGATCGACGACAAAGTGGTGTTCCAGTAACGGGCTGTGACAGGTCGAGCAGTTGAAGCAGTGGGGGTGGTCTGCGCGAGCGAATGTCAACAGATCGTTGGTAGCGAGTCGAGCAGGAGCTGAACGCACAACGACCGCCGCCTCCGTTCTCTTCGCCGACGAGGCTGACGCAGGAGCCCTCGATAGGCTTGCCGCAGCCGGCATTGGCGCACAAGGATCCGTTCAGGGCGTGATAGTGGAGCTGGCAGTAAGGCTTGCCGTCGCTTTAGGAGCAGACAAGTGTCAGCATAACGCGTAGGAGCAAGGCGGACATCGACTTACTAGACGTAGAATTCGCCGTCGGGGAATGGGGCCGCGCAGTCGAAGCAATTAAAGCAGTCGCGGTGGTACTTGCCGACAATCTTGCCGTCCGAGCTGGTCACCGCGCCGCCCTCGATCGGGTTCTCGCATTTGCGGCACTTTGGTAGGAAGCGCTCGACGTAGCAGGCGCGGCAGAGAGGTTGCCTGTTGCTGGTGCGGCGGACATCGACGTCGGAATGCGAAAGATGGCGCGTACAAAGCGTGCATTGCTCCTTCGCCGTCCTTTCGATAGGCACAGAAGCAGTTTGTGCACCGCGCTCATCCGAGTAGCCGATGCTGTCCGTCTTGCGACCGTTGATGAAGTCGTCGAGCATTTCCTGCGCTCCGCCGTCGTCGTCCTCGCCCTTCGCCATGATCCGCAGGTCCTCGAGACATGCATCAAGGTCGGCGACGGGATCGTTGAGACGCGGCGACGGGCGAGTCGGTGGTTGCGAGGTGTAGGTGGAAAGGTCTGCCGGAGTCGAGCGTGACGGCTTGAGGCTGGGCGAGCGATCCCCCAGACGCGGCGTGGGGAAGACATTGCGAGATTGCGGAGGACTCGCTGAGAGATATGAGGGCTCGAGAGACCGCGAAGGTTCGGGAGGTCGCTGCCGCAAGGAGGGCGCCGGAAAGCTGTTCTGCCGGTCGAGGGTTGGTACGCTGAGGTTCGGTGCTGAGGTCGAAGTCGGAAGCGGAGAGGTAGGAGATCGCAGAGGAGCGTGTGGGAGGGACGGAGCGCCCAGACGAGGCGAGAGATTCGGAGAGCGAGAGTAAGCGCCGACGCCCGCCATGCCGGGCGACGAAGAGTCGACGAGTTTCTGGTACTTCTCGAAGAAGGGAAGACGAGTGCCGCTTGGGGAGGGGATGGAAGAGGCGGCAGTCGAAGCGGGCGAAGAGATGGGTTGCGAGCTGGGTGTGCCGGGCGTGTCGGGCGGGGACCGGTCCAGGTAGCCTGCACGGAAGTTGCGTTAGTTTGGACTTCTGTGCTGTCAACCAGCGACAGTTTGACCTGGTAAAGGCCGTCCGTAGGCGGCAGACGAAGATGCCGAACCGTCTTTCCCGCGGGCCTCGTTCACCTCGATCCGCAAGTCCCCCTGCGCCCGTCGCGTCTGGCAGACATGTCCTCCCAGCTCGTCGAGAGAGACCCACGACTTGCAGGACGAGCAAGTGATGCCCTGCGGATCTCTTTCCTCAGAAGGGCGATGTGGGGGCGAGGAAGAGAAGTCGGTTCTCTGCGCTCGTGGAGGCTGGTAGTGCGTGTAGTGCGCGTCGTCGGAAGGGTAGTGCTGGAAGTAAGGTTGGGAAGGGGAGGCGAGGTGTTGGCGGTGGCCTTGGGACGGGGGAAGATAGCGAAGCGGCTCGAGGGAGGGAGGGTTCGGCGCACGGTGCGCGGAGGGTACGCCTGGCAGTGGGTCGCGGAAGTAGGACGACATGTTGCCTTGACTCTGGACAAGCGAGAAGTCAGCTCAGGACAAGTCGCGTGCGGACGGGCCCAGGACAGGAAGGAGGTGGGGCGGGCGAGAGAACGGGGAGAAGCGCACCGTAGGCTAGCTGCGCGCGCTCTGCCCCTTCCGGATAACGTAAAACGTCCTCCCACGCGGCGTGTCTGTCCTGAGTCGCGTCGAGGTTGTGAGGAAGAGGGCAAAGCGCCGGAGAATTGATGAAGTCGGAGGGCGAGGAGAAGACCGCTGCTAAGACCAAGAACGTTGCGAGTGTCAAGCAGAGGAGCACTCGCGTCCGTCGAAGGCAGCACGGGGCGAAGCGAGCGGGTGAGGCGGACAGCGGAAGCGGAACGAGCGACGTCGCGGCGAACAATGGCAGACGTCGTGCATATCGCTTGAACGACTGCCTCTGAACAGCATGCACTGCAGGTATACTCTAGAGTCGAACGACCACCGAAGAACCGAGATGCTAGCACAGCCTTTCCCCCCTCCCGAACTTCCGCTAAACCAAGTCTCCGTTCCTCCCGTTCGCCCCACGCGTTCCAGGCATCGCCAACTTCGCCTCCTCATCCTCGTCGTCCTCGTCATCCTCCAACAAGCTTCCACCGCCCGCGAGGGGGTTGTGAGCCTGAGGAGGGGGACTCTTCGCAGGCGGAGCGGGCGGGTTCGGTCCCGAACGAGCGGGAGCCTGCCATGCCGACGAGGAGTAGTCAGGCTGGCCGGAGGACTGCTGGCGGTGCTGCGGGGAGGCGGGAGCGGGCTGGTAGTTGTAGTTGTAGTCGGTCGAGGCGCGCGAACGGCGGGACCGGACGGCGTTGAAGACGTTCTGGGCGGCGTCGATGAGCCACTGCCAACGTTAAGCGTCAGTATGAGCACTCAAGAACGTCAATGGGCGACACGGGGCAAACTTACGACACCACCGATGATGATCATGTCCTTGACGAACGAGACAGCCTCGCCTGCTCCTCCGCCGCTCGAGCCGCCGAGCGTCTGCCCGCCGCGCTTAGCGAAGAAGCGAGTGTAGACGAAGAAGGCGCCTCCGACAACGACGCCGATCCAGAACAGGCTGCGCGAGGAACATCAGTTCGAGAGAACCTGGATAGGTAAGCATGAGGCGGTACTCACAAGACGATCGCACCCCAGATAGCGCTGAAGAAACCGCCGGACTGCGAGCACGCGTAAGGCGTCTTCATCGTGAAGCTGCGCGCATTAAGTCGTCAACTTCGAACTCGTGTACGCTGGACAAGCTGCGGGGACGCACAAGTACACGCAATCATCGACCGAGTCGATCAGGTCGAGCTTGTTGCCAGAAGTCCACGACTGGTCGCACTGGAGATAGATGAGCGACGAGCGGCGAGCATTCGAGTTGGGGCATGCGGCGCCGTTCTTGTACGTGAGCGAGAGCTGGCCGTTGTGGTACGCGGGGGTCGTCGAGTACTCGCTGTGGACGTTTTGGTGAGCTTGCTGTGATTTTGTGGGACGGACTGTACTCACCCAAGGGAGATACCGCCGCGAGTGTCCTCGATGTACGCTCCGTAACCTTGCGCAGCTGTGGGCGCGGTGCATCAGCCTTCCGAGCACAAGTCCACTGCATTCATTCGTACCCTCTGCAGGTGAAGCCTGATCCGACACTGTAGAGTAAGCTGTCAGTTGGGAGGAGCCGCGAACAGTCGGAGACAAGGTAGACGAACCTGCGCCGCAGAAGTTCAGGCTGATTGCGCCGCCATCCGGGTTCGTCGCGACATAGTCCTCTGCACGAGTACACCGGTTTAGCTACCAGAATGGCAGGCGGAAGCACGCAAGACTCACGCTTCTTCGTCCTTAACCCGCGCAGGTCAAACTTGCCGATGCTCGCGCCCTGAAGGACGCAGGGAGTCGACGATGCTGCGAGTGCACCAGTTGCGGCGACCGCAAGCGCGCAGGCGAGCGAGAGAGAGCGCATCTCGCGTGCTGGCGATGTGGGGAGTGGAAGGCGACGAGACGGGGCAGGGGAAGTTGCGCGGCGGTGAGGGTAGCTCGACGGTAGTTCAGCGGGCTATTTGCGGCAGAATAGCTGTGCAAACGAGCGGGAGCGGGTGCGGGATAAGGGAGAGAGGCGGAAAGCGAACGGGACGGACGCGAAGAGCACGCGAAGGAAGCTCTCCACATGCTCAAGCAGGCTCGCTTTCATGGCAGTGCACTCCTCGTGCCACGGTAGGCCAACCAAGCCAGTCAGACCGCCCAACAGGTGCGGTGGAAGCGAGAGCGAGGTTGTAATGGCCAAGTTGTAATCCAGGTCTAATGCGGACCCTCCCATCTACGCAACATCTTCCAACGGGCTCGCTCCAGCGTGCAATGCCATCTTCCCGTCCCCTAATCAACTTGTAGCCTGGCCGCAGCTTGCCCAGGTCGTTGTGTGGCGGAGGAAATGAGTGACAGGTCGAGGAGGGCGAGGCGAGGGAGTCGGCGTCTGGCGGGCGTTGCAGTCAGGCGCTGTCGAGACAGTCGCGTCCTTGAGAGTCCTGTCTCTTGGAAGCGAGCCCTTCAGACCATCCAGAGCGATGGCGAGTGCAATGGCAGGAGGAGAGCCGTCCCCGATCCTCCTCCTCCTCTCGCCGTCCGCACTCGCCTCGACACAGACAGGCTTGACCATGCTGAGGAGTGCTTTGCCTCGCTTGCGCACCTTTGCGCAGCCCAGCGCGCGCATCGCCAGCCGCACTCTCGCGACGGAGGCGACCCCCTCCCCCCGGCGCCACCAGACCTTCGTCGAGGACGTCCACAACCAGACTGCGGCCGAGATTTTGAAGGAGCGTGATGACAAGAGTGGTAGCTGTGCGTTTGGATCTCCTTGAGACGGGCTCTGGGTGGTTTCGCGGATCTCTATCGTCGACCCCGATGAGGAGGGTCAACGAGTATCGCAGCGCTAACCTGGCTGCTGTGCGTCTCCAGTCCGAGCCTTCACTCTCAACTTCGTGAGTCTTCCATTCTTCGAGCTTCGCGGCGTGTCGGAGCGGGACTGACGGAAATCGCATCTCGCTCGTAGGGCCCGCAACACCCGGCAGCGCACGGCGTCTTGCGTCTCATTCTCGAACTCAATGGCGAAGAGGTCCTCCGCGCCGATCCGCACATCGGCCTTCTCCACCGCGGTACCGAGAAGCTCATCGAGTTCAAAAACTACACCCAAGCCCTCCCCTACTTTGACCGCCTCGACTACGTTTCGATGATGACGAACGAGCTCTGCTACTCGCGTGCCGTCGAGACCCTTCTCAACATCGGTTCGCGCTGCCCTTCCCTCGCGATCTTGCGGAACCCGTACTGACTGACTTCTGACCTTGCAGAGGTTCCCGAGCGCGCCAAGTGGATCCGCACCCTCTTCGGCGAGATCACCCGCATCCTCAACCACTTGATGGCCGTCCTCACGCACGCCATGGGTGCGTTCAGCGTCTTTCGCGGTTAGCGCGCGTTTGGGAGCTGACTCTCTCCTGTGCGCTTTCCCTGGGCTTCTCCCGCTTTTCGAATACCCTCAGACGTCGGTGCCCTCACACCGTTCCTCTGGGGCTTCGAAGAGCGGGAGAAGCTCATGGAATTCTATGAGCGGGTCTCCGGAGCTCGACTTCACGCCGCCTACGTTCGCCCCGGCGGTGTCGCGTACGATCTCCCCCACGGCCTCCTCGAGGACATCTACAAGTGGGCGACGGCGTTCTCCCAGCGCGTCGACGAGGTCGAGGAGGTCCTCACCGGCAACCGCATCTGGAAGCAGCGCACGATCGGCGTCGGTCCCGTCACGGCGCAGCAGGCCCTCGACTACTCGTTCTCCGGCGTCATGCTCCGCGGCTCGGGCATCCCGTGGGACATCCGCAAGGTCCAGCCGTACGACGCGTACGACAAGGTCGAGTTTGACGTCCCCGTCGGCAAGAACGGCGACTGCTACGACCGCTACCTCTGCCGCATCGAGGAATTCCGCCAGTCGCTCCGCATCATCAACCAGTGCCTCGACAAGATGCCGCCTGGCCAGATCAAGGTCGACGACCACAAGATCGTGCCGCCGCCGCGCGCGTCGATGAAGGAGTCGATGGAGTCGTGCGTGTCCCGGCGTCTCCTCGTCTCTCGGCCTCTCCGGCGTGGCTGACGTTCTTTGTTACGCTTTTGTCTCTCTTTCAACGTTCGTCTGCCCCCCGTCGTTCCCCCCGCACCGCCCCATTCGACGACTTTCCCTCACCTCCTCCTCCTCCCCTTTTCTCGCCCAACTCGCGTTTGCGCCTTCGTCCACCCTTCTCCGGCCATCAATATACCTCTACGCATCTCCCGAACGCAGCCTCATCCACCACTTCAAGCTGTTCTCGGAGGGATACTCGGTTCCCCCCGGCGAGACCTACGCTCCCATCGAGGCGCCCAAGGGCGAGATGGGGGTGTACCTGGTATCCGACGGGACCAACAGGCCGTACAGGTGCAAGATCCGGGCACCAGGATTCGCTCATTTGGCCGGTAAGACCTCGTTTTGGGCGTTTTTCGCCTCGAAACCGCTTTTCCTTCCTCCCGAAACCTCTCCTGACCTCCTGGGATCGCCCTGCAGGTGCCGACTTCATGTCTAGGGGTCATTTCTTGCCCGACGTCGTTGGTGAGGCCCTATTCCACGTCAGAGAGTTGCAAGAGCCCTCTCGAGACGTCAGTGCGAGTTTTGGCCTCCGCTGACCACTCTTCTCGCCTGGGAACAGCAATCATCGGCACGATGGACCTTGTGTTCGGTAAGTTGCGCCTCAGGTTGTTCACAGCGATGCGGACGGCCTGTTCCGCTGTTTGTGGCGCAATCCGTCGCTTCCCCTGCCCCTTCTTCGCTCGTCGTCCTGTACATTCGCTGACGCTCTGCATGTTCGCAACAGGCGAGGTTGACCGCTAAGATGGCGCTGAGCAGGCGGCGGAGCGCTTGCGACGAGAGGGCGGAAGTTTGGGGAGAGGGAAGGGAGGAGGAGGTGAAGGTGCAGATTCATTCCGCTTTGCCATGTACACTAGTTGAGCCGTCTGCGGGTCGTGAACGACGTTTGAGTGAGGTTGCTGAGCGGAGACTCGCGCGAGTCAGAGAAAGCGAGAAAAGGATTGCAGAGCAAGGGAAGCAGGAGTGAGTGAGGAGGCGAAGCTGGATCTTTCCCAACCCTGCCGCCTCGCCGAGCGACGAAAGAGAATGTACAGTTCCGACTGCACTCGAAACCCGAGCTGAAGCGAAAGCCGAGAAGCAACGAGGCGGAGCGACGACGAGCAGGAGGAAAAAGTTGGGTACAGCGCCTCGCTACCGTCGTTCTCGTGAACGCAACACTGTGTTTGATGCTGCACAGGGTGTATTGCATGGGATGGCCGCGCGTGGCGGGGCGGAAGGGGATCCGGACGAACCGGTGGAGACCGTGAACCTCCCGACAACGACGGCGGCCGCTTACGCGCCACATTTCCAGTAACATATGTCACCGTCGCAGATTTCGTATCCTTTGCCCTTCTGCTGCTGCTTGCCGGCCTAGAGGTCGCCAGAAGTCGGAGGGAGTCAGCGGGAGGACGGGAAGGGGAAAGAGGCGAGGAAAACGCACCGCCTTGACTGCCGACTCTGATCCAAGCTCCTTGAGGTCGTTGTAGTTCATAATCTCACCGCAAACGAATGTCTTCTCGAAGTCGGTGCTGCGGAGTGAGAGGAAGGAGAGGGCAAGGTGGAGGAGGCGAAGGAGAAGGGAAAGGTCAGCCTCCGCCGTATCAAGTCTCACCACAAATAAAGTATAATCAGACGCACTGAATGACACCAGCGGCCTTCGGCGCAGGCGTGTCCTTGCGGATCGTCCACGCGCGAACCTCGTCGGGACCGCAGGTGAAGTAGTGGATGAGCTGCGGCGACATGAAGGTCAGTTTCGCCGCTTCCCACCGCGAAAGGGACAGGAAAGGACCCACCGACAGACTCTGGTACCCGGTCTTCATGATCTTGCCGATCTGGCTCTGCGTGCCGAGCTTCTCGAGCTCCGCCTTGAGGCCCGCCTCGTCGTCGGCAAACTCGATCGCGAGGCGCTCCTCGAGGGCGACCGAGAAGGGGATGAGGATGTCGCCGGGCGCGTTCTCGTCGATCCAGGCCTTGATCTTCGGGAGCCACTTGTTCTTCTTGCGGATGTAGTCGCGCTCGGAGAGGTTGACGAGGTAGGTAACGGGCTTGGCGGTGAGGAGCAGGAGGTCGTTGATGACGTCAATCTGCGTGCTCAAGCGTCAGCGGGGCGAACACATCGCAGCGAAAGCGGGAACTCGCCTCCTTGTTCGACCAGGTGCCCTTGCGGACGTCGCGGCCAGACTGCAACAGCTCGAGAACCTTGGTGACGGTGTCCTGCAGAACAAGGAGCGTTGGTTAAATCCCAGAGAGAGAGGAAGGTCGAACGCGGCGCACAAGCTCCTCCTTCATCGCCTTGTCGCGGAGGTTGGCCGTACCAGTCGCGCCGCGGAGCGACTTTTTCAGCGCGTCCTGCTTCTTCTCGACCCACTCGGCGTCCTTGAGCCTGCAGTCGACCGGTCAGCCACTGCGAACGACTCGAGCCGCATCTCCTGACGAACCTGAGCTCCTGCGAAATGATCTCCATGTCACGGATGGGGTCGACGTCTCCCTCAACGTGGATAACGTCGGCGTCGTCAAATGCACCTGTCGCGCAAGCAGAATCGGTACGAGCTCAACATGACGAGCAGGAACCCACGCAGACTCACGGACAACCTGGAAGATACCGTCAACCGCCCGGACGTTCGCCAAGAAGTTGTTTCCGAGACCAGCACCGGTCGACGCGCCCTTGGTGAGACCGGCGATGTCGACACAGGTGAGGAAAGCGGGGACCTTGGACGCAGGCTTGTACAGCTCGCACAGCCAGTCGAAGCGCTCTGTGGGAGGGCGAGGTCAATCCTGCGGGATCCGGTGACAATTGGTGCCATCTCCAGCTGCTACTCACCGTCGGGAACCGAAACACGAGCCTCTTCAGGCTCAATGGTGGCGCTGGAGAGGGAGAAAGAAAGATGAGCGGTGTCGAAGGACGAGTCAAGCGACCGGGGCGCACTAGGGGAAGTTGGCAACCTTTCCGAGGTCTGTGGAGCGATAAGACGGGTTAGCTGTGCACTCTCAAGCGAACGAACGCTGGTTGAACGCACCGCATCGGGACATGATGTTGAAGAGCGAACTCTTGCCGACATTGGGCATGCCAACGACGCCGACAGCCAGGTTGTTACTGGGCCTGCCGAGCAAGGCCTTCTTCTCGACGACAGCCTCTGCACATGGCGGACGACGGCGAACGAAAGCGGTGCACCCAGGGAAGCGAAGTAGGTCAGCTCGCTGTCCCTCACAAGCCCTCCCTGGGCCGCCTGTTGCCCGGAAAATCCTCCTGGAGAGCTATCGAGACTACACGCACTCTTGGGAGCCATTGCTGCTAAGCGACGACGGGATGCTTGCGGACCGAGTGAGGAGGAGAAGGGGCGGACGAAAGAGCGGGTGACGGCGGGTCCTTTGCGCTGGACGGCGAGAAAGAGGAACGTCGTGGTTGCTTGAGCTGACAAGGAGCTCCTGCAGCAAGGACCGGAGCGAACGGGTGCAGGTGGACGAAGCGAGCGTGCGCTCGAATCTCGCAAAGCTTTCGAAGCAGCTCTCGCAACTCGCTCTGGGGACAGCCCGGACAGTTCGATCGATAGCAGAGACAGTGTACATTGCATGGGCGCTGCGAGCGGGCCGAACAGACATGTGTAGCCTGCGGGAGACGAGCTAGAAGAGCGTCAGCACGACGTCCTCGGAGTCTGCACCGCGAGCAACTGCTGGGACTGCGTGTGCACGCGCGACAAGCACTGCCTCCTTCTCCTGGGCCGTCAGAGAACCTCGTTTCCATCTTTGCCAGAGAGACGGGCGGAGCACTTCGAGGGTGTCCGCCCTGGATGTCCTCCAGCAGATCAGACGGCACTTCCTAAAGCTTATGAGTGTTATTCTGCATCTTCCGACTCCTGTCTGTCCCGTCGCGCACGCCCCTGATCCGTCACGAGAGAGGGGAAACGCACACAAAGTTGCAGGCGATTCTTGCAAGGGCGATGGCGCTCGGATGGGCGGTTTGGCGGGTCGCAAGCGTGCTGTAGCTCGTGCGTCGGCGTGTAAAGTCGCTCAACGTCCAGCAAAGCGGAAGTTGTGCAAAGCGAGGTTGGTGCAGGAGGCAAGGAGAGGAAACGCTCCTTCCACGCAGGCCACTCACCCCAAAGTCGCTGGATACGCTGCTGACTGGCTGAACAAGCTTCTATCGCTGCTACGAGCCCGGCCCAAGTGCTTCTCGTTTGCTCCACCGTCTCCTTGGCCCCCTCACCCATCGCTCAACCACCCCTTCTCACATGTCTCCGACGCCGCTATGGGGCGATTCCGTACGGGCAGACACGCTGCGCGACAAGGTCGGCCGTGTCGTCCGCTTCGACGTCCCTCCAAACCAGGACAGGCTCAGCCCGATCCGCCGTGCGCTCAAACAGAAACCGCCGCAGAGTGTTACAGGCGTGCTCGCGTCCTTCTGGCTCGACGGTCCAGCGAGACCGATCGTTACTATTTATCCCCTCCACCGCCTGCAACCCTTTCCCTCGGAAGACTCGGTCATCGAAGATTGGAGCGGACCTTTCGCTCCCGGAACTCGTCTCTCTACTGTCCTCCTTCCTCTCGCTCGAGACGACGACTTGATCCCCGGCACTGGAAGGGAGAGGGCGTGCGACTGGTACTACGGGGGACAGCCATGCTTTGATCTTGTCGGCCTTCTCGACGCGAGCGGGCGCAAGGCTCGCTTGCGAGAGCGGACATACGTCGCGCTGATGGCCGAGAGCTACGCCCTCCGCAGCGAAAGCATGGTGCGTGGATTCTAGGCTTTGCAGCTCTTGTTCGACGCCGGTTGACACCGAGTACCCGCAGGTCGTTTGCCTCAACTCTGCCATCACTTTTCACGACCTGGGCTTCCTCTCGTCCGCTGCATACCTTGTCCGGCAGGGGCAGTGGCTGAATCAGCAAGGACACGCTGCTGCTGTGCGCAAGGCTGGCTATGTAGTCGGTTCACTCAAGGCTTCCCGCCAAACGCAGGCCGTGCAGCGCCAGCCGACAGCGACCTCGACTATCAGCCATCAAAACCCTACTGCATTCTCCTCCGTCAGCCGGCGCGGCACAAAGCAGCAAGGCAGCCGGACCGCCAGCGGCACTCTTCGCAAGAGCCCCGTCTTCATGCCGCCTCTCGCCAAGAGCACGCTGGCCAAAAAGCTTGACTGCAGCGCAACGCATACGCAATCAACAGCGCCCGCAACCTCTGCCAAGGTAGCACCTGCGAAGACGTGTCCTCCTGACTGTCAAGGGCACTGGTTCGAAGGTGCACAATTTCGATGCGAGCCGCCTCCGATGAGACTGACATGAACGACTCGCAGTGTCTGGCTGTCTTGTGACCAATGGCGATGACCCTGCCGCACCACATGAACCCGCAAACGAACCGGCGAGCTCTCCTGCCGCGGGTGCGACAGACCCGTCCGTGCGTGTACCTCCGCCAGGCTTGCGATCGTCCTTTCCCGCTGACATTGAAGGCAAGCAGCACTCGTTCGCCCAGCAGGAAGCGTGCCTGTGTGCGTTAGCCGGCGACAGACGGCTTGCAACCCGCCTTGGCGACCTCGACAAGTCTATCCATCTGGCCGACGTGCTCTTTGCGAACGGAATGAGTTTCGACTCGCTGAAGACTCTGCTGGCTTCGATAGTACGCCGTTGTGACCTTCTCCAACCGCGAGCGCTGACTTGATCCTCTTTCGCAGCCCCTATCTCCACCGGGCTCGCCTCCCCTGCCTCCTCTCCCGCCGATAGTCTACATGTCGATGTACCCGGCTACAGAGGTCCCGCTCCAAGACGTGGCGGGCGTCTTCGGGTCGCTCGCCTGCAAGGACCGTCAAAGGACGGCAAAGATACAGCGGTGGAGACAAGAGGTCGTGCACTCCGACGGCACGACGCAGAAGTAGGAGTCTGACGGATGCTCGCACTCCAGTCCGCCAAATGCGCGCCCTTGTACCGTACATCCTGGGGGTCGGCTTCGTAGACTCCTCCTCTGCCATCCAAGAAATGCGATACCATCTTTCCTCTGAGCTGCACACCGGGGAATGAGAGGAGTTGCGCGGGTTACAACAAGCATGTACAGGCAGAGTGAGACCCGCAACGACATCACCAATCCCCGTCTCCTCCCCAATCTCCTCCTCCTCCACCACCACCTGCACCGCCGCCATTTTCGTCTCCCCAGAGATCTCCCCAAGTCCATGTCCCCTCTTCCTGCGGTGCCTCGGTCGCCCACGGATCCCGCATCACCTCTTCCTCCTGACCCCATCCCTGTCCCGCTCCACCGCCCGATACGACTCCATCTTCGCCTCTTGGCACACCCTCTGGCCTATTTCGCACAGCAAACTCGTCCTCCTCAAATTCAGTAGAGGGAAGCGGTCCCTCCCCGTCCGCACCAGGTATCCGTCCAGCCTGAGGGACAGCCGCTCCGCTCGCTTCTTCCGCTCCAGCGGCGACTTCGCCCGCTTCGCCTGCTGCGGCGCCGCCCATACCGCCCATTGGGATCGGGATCGGCATGAACATGCCGCCGCCGCCCATCAGGCCGCCGCGCTGTCGGCTGAAGTAGTCGATGTCGGCGGCTGCGAGCGCACGAAGCGTCAGCGAGGTCGGAGGGAGTATGTGGAGAGTCGTGACGCACTAACTGCGGTTGCAAGGAGGACTGCGCGATGATCGAGCGGAAGAGAGGGAGGAGCCTCGGCGGAAGAGGTGGAGCGGTCGGCGGAAGAAGGAGTGAGGGCTGTCGAAGGAGCGGAGGATCCGGGCGAAGGAAGCATGCCGGACGGCGCAGGAGGTTCAAGGCGCGGGTTGAGTTCATCGATGACGCCCTCGAAACGGATCACGTAGTGGCCGGTGTCGGTGAAGAGCTCGCGAGCGAAGCCGGCAAAGTTTCTGAGCGTGAACAAGAGATCAGCTGAAGTGCAGTAGCTTGTAGAGATGGCTTACGCACCGGTTGATCGATCCCACCACCTTTCCCTCCTCGTCCCGCACCGAAAAGTCCCATGCAAGAAAGCCCGCGTCCGTCTTGGCAAACTGGACCATCTCGTCGCCGCGCTGGACGAAGTGGTTATACCGTCGGCGGTAGATGTGCCACTCTTGCTGCGTCTCGCCGATGATCTCGCCGTCGTCCTGGTACTCCTGCTCGTTCGGGCGAGTTGTGAGCGCTGTCGAAGCCGGAGAGGACGAGGTGCCAGGCGCTTCGAGCCGCTGCATCTCCTCTTTGGCATCTTGCGCAGTCGTCGCGCCAGACGTCGGGGTGGAGACATAGATGCGAGAGTTGATCCAGGCAAAGGGACGGTGGATGCGAAGGAGGACTTGTCCGTCTGGCGAGATGACGACCGCCTTGAACGGCCGGTGATTCCGCAAGAGCTGTCGGCTCATCGTCCCGGCGATCGACGTCTCCTCCTCTAAGAGGTAGCCAAGGAGGTGTCCCTCTGGCGAGAGGAGCTGGTATCGGTTCGCCTGCTCGAAGCCGACGAAGACATTCAGCAGCTCGATTTGCCGGACGACGACGATGGCGGGCTGGGACAGGAGAGTGCGCGTGTGCTCTGCCCATGAGCCTGTCGCCCGGTCGAGGACGCCGTCGGAGTCGTGAGGAACATGGACGGGGATCTGGGCGATAGAGGAGGCGGCTTCGAGCGGGACTGGCGCAGTCGTCTGCGTCCCTTCGCTTGCAGCTTCGAATGCATGGCTGGCAGTCGGCGCGAGTTGCGAGGGCGGTTGTGCCGAACGATGATGAGGAACGGCGGGAGTTCGTCGAGAGCGAGCGAAGCGTGAGGCAGCCCGCACGGCCAGCCCAGGCGGTGCTATAAGAGCCTTCTGAGCCACAGCGGGTCTCAGCAGCGCGGTAGCTCGTGTTCGTAGCATGCTGTTGCGGTAGAAGGAGAGATTCGTCGGTTCGTCTCCGCCCGCTCACTTTGCCCCGCTCAACCTGCTCAAAGGATGGCGCGATCCCGCCTGTTCGACTTGAAGGAGCAGTTTGTCTTCTACGTGAGCTCAGCCTGCCCTCCCATCTGCTGCCACCGCGTATTGCGACCTCATCGCTTTTCCGGCACCACCTCGCCATCCGAAGGGCGACGACGGCTTGGGAAGGGCTCGACGGGGCTGCAGAGAGACGGGAACAGGCACAGAGTGCGGTAGAGGAAGTCGAGGCGACCGCTGACCGGCGCAAACTCTCCTGCGACAGGCATCCTACCACACCAACCTCACGAACGTCCTCATCCACGTCGCCTGCGTCCCAACCATCCTCTTCACGGCGCTCATCCTCACCCATGGCATCCCAGGAGCGAGCAAGAGCTTCGCGACCGTGCCGCTCGACATCCTCGGCCACCACTTCCACCTCGACTTGACCTTCCCGTTCCTCTGGGTCGCCGGAAACGCTGTTTACTTCATCTCGCTCGAGCCGGTGGCAGGGGTGCGCTCTTCTCCACGTGCAGACGGCCGAAGCAGGCCGGAAGCTGACGGCGTCTCCCCTTCCCGCAGCTCCTCTACGCGCCCATCTTGCTCACAATGGGCCATCTCTCCAACGTTCTCTACTCGACGCACCACGACGAAGCGATGAAGTTGGCTGGCTACGCATTTGTCGGAAGCTGGATCGCGCAGTTCGTCGGGCATGGCAAGGTGCGTCTCCTCCCGACTCTCCCATTCCCGCACGAGCTCTCCGCTGACTCCGTCTCGCGCCACCCAGTTTGAAGGCCGCGCCCCCGCACTGCTCGACTCGCTCCTCCAGTCGCTCGTCCTCGCCGTCTTCTTCGTCTGGCTCGAAGTCCTCTTCTTCCTCGGCTACCGCCCGGCGCTGTACAAGGACCTCCAGCGCAGGACGGGCGTCGCGGTCGCCGAGTACAGGAAGCAGCGGGCGCAGCAGGAGAGGGATCAGGGGAAGAAGAAGGCGTGAGGGGCGTGGACTGGCGTGGAAGAGTGCGCGATACGGTCATTGCGAGGGTTCAACTTGACGACTGTCAGCCCGAGGAGCCGCCCCCCTCTTCTCTCTTGTTTGTACACGTCTAATCTGTCGTAAGGAAGTCGTCTCTGTTCAGCCGAGCGACTTGGTCGAGTGCCGCCGTCCGTCGGCCCGCGCACGATGACGCTCTCGCCGCGAAGTCCGAGCCTCACTCGCCTCGACTTCTTTCGCTCGCTTGTTGACTTGCTACTGCTCGCTGTTACCCTCAAAAGCTATCATGTCGCACATCGCAGAGATCCCGACGCTCACAGGCCTCGAGTACGCCTTGCCCTCACACCTCCCCACATCCTCCTCGTCCTCGGCCTGATAACGTCGCCTGCTCGCTTCGCACAGCTACGCCAAGTTCTTCGCTTCCGGAGCAGCATGTTGTCTGCTCAGTCACGGTGGCATGGTCCCCATAGGTGCGTCGTTCGTTGGGTTGTGAGGATGCCGAGGACGGGCGCGTGAGAAAGGGTTGAGCCGCTCGAGGCTGACTGCGTCCCTCTTTCGCTGTGCAGATGTCGTCAAGACAAGGATGCAGGTACGTAGAAGCGCTACCAGCCTGGTGGTCTCGATATTGAACGGTCAAAGCGAAGAAGGCTGACCTTGCGCCTCGTCAAACAGCTCGAACCGCAGCTCAAGAAGCTGGGAATGGTTGGCACGGCTCAGCACATTGCAGCAGAGTACGTTGCGGCGCCTTCCATGGACTACCACCGTGTCGGCGAGCTGAATCTTTCACCCATTCCTTCTTCCCTTCCTCGCTCTCCATCTCGCCGAAACAGAGAAGGCGTCCGCGGCTTCGCAACAGGTTTCGGCTCGACGGCTGTCGGATACTTCTTCCAGGGAGGCGCCAAGTTTGCCCTGTACGACTTTTTCAAGAAGGAGTTGGCCGAGGCGAGCGGGAGCTACGAGAACGCGGTGCGGAATCGCACGGCTATCTATCTTGGAGGAGCTGCGTGCGTTCGCCCTCTTACCTTCAGATTGCAAAGAGAAACTGACGCAGGAGCTGGCAAAACAGGATCGCCGAGTTCTTCGCCGACATCCTCCTCACCCCGCTCGAAGCAGTTCGTATCCGCCTCGTCTCTGACCGCAAGTACGCGACAAACCTTGCGACGGGCTTCAAGCGGATGGCGAGTGAGGGAGGAGTCAGGGAATTGTACGCGGGTTTCGTGCCGATTTTGGCGAAGCAGATCCCTTGTGAGCCGGCTCTTACTTGTAAGCACCGCCCGGGATTGACCAGTACTGTCTGCAGACGCCGTCGGTCAGTTCCTCGTCAACGAGCTCGCGCACGAGGCGGTCTACCGCCGACTCTCGCCCGAGAAGCGCGCGAGCTTGACGACCGGCGAACAGACGACCATCACGCTCGGTTGCGGTATCACTGCGGTGTGTTCCCTCTCCTCTAGCTCTCTGGAAACCGAAGAGACTGATCGAGGTGCTCGTTGCGTTTGTTTGACAGGGTTTCGCCGCTGCTATCCTCTCTCAACCTGCCGACACGCTTCTCAGGTGCGCTCACCTTGCCTGTCTTCCGTGACCTTGGCTGACTGTTCGTCACTGCGCGCAGCCAAATCAACAAGGGGCACGGCGGCAAAGGCTCCGCCGCCTCAAAGCTTATCGTCCTCGCCAAGGAGGCAGGACCGATCGGCTTGTTCGCTGGACTCGGTCCGAGGATGGTGCGTTCCCTCTCCTTGCGAAGACGAGTTGCATAAGGAAGCAGAGGAGGACGATGCTGACCTCGCCCTTGACCTTCGCAGCTTATGACGGCCGGTCTCGTCTCGTCCCAGTTCTACCTCTACTCCCTCATCAAGAACGCCCTGTGCGTCTTTTCCTCTCTCTTATTGACCTGGGCAGGACTCGACATTGGCTCAACAGGCTCGTCTGAACGGATGAAACTGACCTCGCCTCTTTCTCCCTCGCTCGCAGTGGCGCTGGCAAGGGTGTCGAGATCCACAAAGACTAGACGTCGCTCCGTTGTTCCCTCATAGATGCTGTAGCTTATTTGCTGTGCCTAATAGACTTTGTATTCAGTTCGTTACATCGACTTTGTATTCGAGTCACCCCACCTCCTGCAAGCCGCTCTCTTCGCTTGCTTGCCACGCCTCGCTCACAGGGGTCGTCCCAGTGCTCGCACCAGGTCTTACTGAGCCTCTTCGTGTCGCCGCCACCCCTCCCGACTAGCGCCAGTCCCTCTGCACGCCCTCCGAACCCGCTTACGCCTCCCCTCCCGATTCTCATCAGTTGCACCGTCCCTGCTCGCCCAGCCACTCGAGGCCGCTTGAGACTGCTTGCACAGACACTACAAAGTGCGTTCCGTCGTCCGAGCGAGCCGCCCACCCTAGCGTGCTGTTGCCACGCCCGCTGACTCCCTCTCGCCTCGATTGACAGAGTCGTCTGACTACCCACTCGCGACCAGACCACCATGCCCGACCGCTCCTACGTCTTCAAGCTCCTCTACGACGGTGGTCCGACCCCCACGTCCCGCCGCTACGGCTACTCGGGCGAGATCGCGCTCCTTCAGGTCTATAACGTGGGTTGCGGTCACGTCCAGCCGCGTCAATCTCGTCGTGCTGATTTGCTCTCGCTCACACAGGGCCTGTACGACCGCGCGAGCCAGAGCTTCGGTCTCCGCAAGGAAGACGTCAACCTCTACGTCCGCGACCGCGTCGGCAACCCCTCTGTCGCACTCGACACCTTCTCCTCTTTCGTCAAGCACGTCTGCGAGCCGCTCGACACGCACGCCGACGACTTCATGATCGACGAGAAGAAGCGCATCGTGCTCGTCTTCAACGTCGTGAGCGCTCAGCAACTCGAGGCCGAGAGGCTCGCTGAGAAGGCGGCCGTAAGGGAGGCCAAGCACAAGGCCAAGGCGCTCGCCAAGGCTTTGAAGACGCAGAAGAAGGCCGCTGTCGAGAAGGAGGTGCAGGCCAAGGCGGAGCAGGTCGAGGTCGAGGAGAAGTCCGGCTACGCTCCTGCGTACAAGGTCGCAGAACCTGTCGCCGCTGCATCATCGCAGACGACGACCGAGACTGTCAACTCGCCGATTTCGACGAAGGCCGACGAGACTCAGTCGTGGGCCGGCGTCAAGACGCTGCTCGACAAGTTCGTCCACGACTTGAACGCTCACCTCGCCGACACCTTCGGCGACCAAGTGACGCCTTTCGAGCTTCGTCCGCCGTCGACCGACACCATCGAGGAGCCGGAGAATGATGCCGCAGTCGAATCTGAGGTGCAGCCTATCACCGAGCAGCCTGCCGAGCCCGCCGCGCAGGAACAACGTCCCGTTCATACGCACGTCTTCTGCGATCGCTGCATGTATGCCCTTTCTCCTACTCAGTCTTGAATACCGAGCTCATCCAATCCCCCTCGCAGGCGCACGGTCATCGGGTCTCGCTTCAAATGCACGTCGTGCTCGAACTACGACCTCTGCACCGACTGCATCGACTCGCGCTTCTCGTTCCACCCCTCGCTTCACGCCTTCGCCGAAATCGCTCGCCCCGGAGATGCTGCCGTCGAGTCGACTCGCGGTGCTGCAGCTCGCCCCGAAGCTTCGATCGTCGAGGAGAAGAAGCCGGCGAAGCACCCTGCCAACTGCGACTCGTGCCAGTTCCCGATTGTCGGCGTCCGTTACAAGTGTGAGCTGGGCAGTCTCCCTGATCTGGCCACTCGTCGATACTGATCCTCCCGCGAATCGCAGGCCTCGAGTGCCCCGACTACGACCTCGACGCCGACTGCCACAACAACGCTGCCGAGATCCACCCTCAGCACAATTTTGTCCGCATCAACGACCCGTCCGACTGCAAAATTGTCCGCTCGAAGGAGTCGTTCGTCCGCCACCACAACATCGTCTGCGACGGCTGCCAGAGGAACCCGGTCGTCGGCATTCGCTACAAATGCATGCACCCGTCGTGCCCGGACTACGACCTCTGCTCGGTGTGCGAGGCGCTCCCAAACCCCCTTCACCCGCGCGACCACCCGCTCCTCAAGATCCGCTCGCCTCTTCCACGCACGACCAGCAGTGCCCAGCTCCTCGCCGACGCGAAGAAGCGCGTGCAGGAGAGGCTCGGAGACGCAGAGCAGCTCGCGCAGGCTGCCGCTGCCGCGACGCTCTCGTCCGGTCCCGTCGCCGCCCTCCTCAAGTCGCTCGGCGTCCAGCTGCCTCAGGCATCTTCGTCGCCGGACACCGCCTCGACGAGCTCGAACGCCCCTTCGCTGAGCAACGCGACGCTCGTCGACGGACCTGGCGGCGACAAGACGCTCGTCGTTGATGTCGACGTTTCGACTCTCCCCGTCGAGCAGCAGCGCCACCTTCCCTCCGAGATCCGCCTGCCGGTCAAGCTTGCGGACGAGCCTCCGAAGGACAGCAAGTCACAGGGCCCGTACGAGGTCGAGCACCTTGTCCGTGCCGCGGAGCAGGAAGTCGACGAGGCTGAGCAGATTCCCGACGATGTCGAGGAGCACGAGGAGGAGGAAGATTCGAACGTAGAGGAGGAGCTGCAAGTCGAGAAGAAGACGGAAGAGGCCGTGCCTCGCGCCACCTTCGTCAGCGACATTACGCTTCTCGACGGCTCGGTTGTCCCCGCCGGATCCGAGTTCCACAAGGTTTGGGCCGTCCGCGCTGGCAGCCAAGGCTGGCCCGCCGGCTGCCACCTCGTTCACGTCGGCGGCTTCTCGGGCAAGTACTTCTCGGGCAACGGCGACAAGCCGTCGTCCTTCGAGATTCCCGCCGCTCAGCCGGGCGAGATCGTCGAGCTCCAGGTCGAGTGCAAGGCGCCCGAGGAGAACGGCCGCTTCATGGACTTCTGGCGCGTCGCCTTGCCCGGTGGCACGCCCTTCTCGGACCGCCTCTGGATCGACATCACCGTCGAGTCGGAGGGCGATGTCGTCAAGGATGGCACGGCGACCGGGTCTTCGCTTACCTCGTCCTTCGTCGCCCCCTCGCTCAATGCGCACGGCAAGGCTGCGTCGTTCCCGCCTAGCGAGGCTGCCGTCACCACGCCCTCGGTCACCGCCCCTCCCTCCTCGTCCGGCTTCTCGGTCCCCTCCCACCTCGCACCCTCGTCTCGCAGCGGCCTCGACGATGGCAGCGACTTTGAGTCCGTTCGCCCCACGAGGACCGTCTCGCGTGCGGGTAGCGAGGCTGTCTACGTCTCGGACGACGACGGCTCGAGCGATGAGGACAGCAGCGACGAGACCGAGACCGACTCGAGCGACTCGGACGACTCGTCTGACCACAGTGAAGACGACTTTGTTATGCTCAGCGGTGACGAGGCCTAGCTGGGAAGCTTTTCCATTCTTTTGTACTCCCTCGGCTCCCCTGTGACCTGTTTGTTGCGACTTTCATCCTGCGCCTGGATCTTGGTTCTCAGCTCTGTAGTCTTCCTTGTAGCTTCGCAATCCATCCAGCTTTGCCATTCGCCGTCGAGAGAGCGTTACGAGAATGTCAACTTGGGGAGGTTGCCCTCCTGCCTTTCTCCCTCACTCTTCTCCCTCGCTCACGACTGCTTGCTCTGCTCGTCCGCTAGGATGCCTCTCCGTACCTACAAGAGGGCGCGCACCGAGTCCGACCCGCCATCCACGCCGGCAACGTCGCCCGCCGTCTCTTCGAAGTCGTCCTCCTTGTCGCGTCGCTCACTCGCCGACTTGCCGAAAGAAGTGCTCGCGAGGGTCGCAGCCAACGTTATAAGAGGGCATAAGGGCGCTCCAAATGGTACGCAGCAGGACACGCTCGAAGGAGGACGACTCGCTGACTCCTTTCGTTTCCTGCGCAGAGGACGCTCGCTCCCACTTGCTCGCCCTTGCGTCGACCTGCAACGCGCTTCGCCAGGCCTCCATCCCATGCTTCGACTTCGCCATCCGGCTCGACGGGCCGAAGGCGGTCGTCGAGCTCGCGAAGGTGTTCGGGCAGAAGATTCGCTCGTCGTCGGCGCTTCCGACGCTCGCGCATGGCATTCAAATCCTCGCCGTCGGGTCGGTAGAGCCGTTCCTCTAGCTCTGCGACGTGGGCTCAAATACTTTGGTCGCAATGCAGGCTCGAGTCGCTCTACTCGCCGAGACCTCCGACTTTCTCTACCCTCTCCTCATCCCTCGCCAGCGTGTTCCCCTCCCTCACCGGCCTGACCACGCTTGAGCTATCACTGCCCCGTCATGAGTCTCTCGCCAACCTCTGCGCAACAGACGGCGACCGCTTCATCCTTGGCGGCCTCTCCACCCGCTCCTTCACCTTGCGCGGCGGCTTCGTCTGGTTCCACCACCTCCTGGAGCTCCTCGCCACATGGACGAAGCTCGAAAGTCTCGACCTCGCCGTTGTCCGCGGCGACTGCAACAGCTTCTCGCCGTGCACCCCAAGCCCTCCGCCGGCTTGCAATTTGCGCGACCTTACCATCCACTCGTCGACCTTGACGGACGCGATGATTGTCCACATCCTCGGCGGTCAGAAGGGGCTGCAAATGCTTCAGATCTCGCTGCCTGGCACGGCTGGCAAGGCGTGGACGGCGATTGAGAAGGTCGTGCCGAGAATCGAAGTTCTTCGCCTCCGTGACAGCTGGGCGTCGAAGACGAGGCAGAAGGCGACGAAGAAACAGGAAGCGGAGACGCCAGACGTCGACGATTCGCAAGAGCAAGCGGCCTCGCCCACTTCTCCCCTTCTCCCGCTCCTCAAGGCAGCCAAGTCGCTCGAGACTCTCCTCCTCACACCTACCATGCTCCCCTCTCTGCCGTCGACGGCCAGCTTTTTCAATGAGCTCCTTCCCTATATCGCCGTCGTCGATGTCCTCGAACTCGACGGCTTCTCGCTCGTCTCGCCTCTCTTTGTCGCCCTCGAAACCGCGCTCGACAAGCACAAGTTGCCGTCGCTCGAGCGCATCGTGACGAGGAACATCGCCAAGGGCAAGAAGGGACCGGCAGCGAAGGCGGAAAAGTCTTTCGAGCAGGCGTGCCGGAAGCATGGAGTCCAATGGGTAACGGGAACGGACGAGTAGTCCGCGAGGTCGCACCTGCATCTCGCTTGAGTCGCTTCGTTGATGCTCCGAGAGCTACCAGCGAGACTCCTGCTGTCGGGAAAGCACGCGCAAGGAGCTCCGAAGTCGTCAGCAACCTTCATCTCGCTACGCAGCGTTCAATTGACAGCCTAACACAACACGAGAGGAGAAGATCGAATAAGTATACGACAGGAAGCGATGGGCAGGTCAGGGTCGAGGGGCGAATCCAGCGAATCGAGGGAATCAGAAGTCGGGCTCGACGGCGTTGAGCTCGTTGATCGAGTCGAGCGCTTGGTTGAGGCGGATCGAATACTTGGCTATGGAGCGAAGCGAGGGCATTAGTCGAGGAGGAACATCGCAGCAGATGCATCCGGACTGACTGATTTGCTGCTTGATGCGCTTGAACGCCTTCTCGCCCTTGTCGAGCTCGAGCTGCAGAGCGGCATGCATGTCGCGGATCTGAACGTGCACGGGAAAGCCTAACGAGTTAGCTTCGGAAGCGAAAGACGATTCTGACGATACCAGAATTTACGAACGTACCTGCTGCTCGACCTGCTGCGCCTCGGCGTTCTTCTTCGCCGCCTGGTCGTCGTACTCGCGCTTCTTCAAGACGCACTCGGCATGCTGGTCCTCGAGAGCCTGCTTGCGCGCGATGTGTTCCGCCTTCTTGCGGTCCATCCTGTCCTTCGCTCGGAGCAGCTCGGCTTGAGCCATCGCGATGCGGCGCTCGCCAACCTGGGCGATCAAGAGATTTAGCAGCGGTTGCGGGAAGAGCCGTTGGATAGACAGCGCACCCGAATGTTCTCGCGCAAGTCCGACTGCTCCACCTCGAGTTGCTGCAGGTCGTCCTGATGCTGCTGCAGCCTCGACTCCATCTCGCGCAGCCTGTCCACATCCGTCTGCCAGTCCTCGAGTAACCGCACGCATGACGTGAGTTCCTGCGTGTTCGCGTCTGTCAGTGTCGATGCGTGGGAGCGGAGCAGTCGACAAGCGCACCTGCGAGTACTGCGTCAAGGCGCTGATCTTGCCCGTCGTCTGCCGCTCCTTGGCCTCGGTCTCCTTGAACATCTCGGTCTGGCGCCTCAGCTGGTCGTGCAAGTCCTGTATCCTGCCTTGCAACTTGTCGGGGCTGCTGACGATCTGCGTCTGGAGATCCGAGACGACGAGCTTGAGCTTGTCGAGTTCGCGATTGAGCTCGCGCATTCGCCCTTCGGTGCGCATGTTGTCCTCCTTGCGAGCCTTGGCCTCGTCGTGGTATTTCTTCGCTTCGTCATATATCGCCTGCACATGGAGGACATCGCGCTCCACCTTCTCCCGCTGCGCATTAATCTTTGCCTTGTTCTCGGCGCGAGTTTCCCTGTACAAGGCAATGTGAGCCGCTGCGCGGGAGTTGCTGGGACGGAACGGACGTACTTTTCCGCGTCAATCGTCTTTCGCAGCTGCTCCGACTCCTGCATCATCGTTTGTTCCTGCTCCTCGAGCTCCTGGATACCCTTGTCGAGCTCCTCGAGGATCCGCTGCTCATGCTCGAGTTCGAAGAGGGCGAAGTTGATCAAGGCAGAGAGGACGACGGAGAAGCGCTGGGCTGTCGGGGCTGACAGGTCCTTGAAGCTGAAGTCGGAGATGCCGGCGGGGAAGAGAAGCTGGTTGCTGGATGCGCAGAAACGAATGGTCAACTCGAGAGCAGGACGAGGTTAGGCGAGCGAGCGGGGCGCACAATGTGAGCTGGAACACGCCGAACTTGAGTGCCTCAATGTACATGTCCTGGAAGCGAACGTACAACCGGTCAGCAAGCCTCTGCGACGAGTCGGCGACACCGCGCCTCATCGCGAGGGGGTCCTTCAACTTCGAGGACGAGAGGACGCACAGGGTGCTCCATGACGGCAAGCTGCTCGTCGACGGCGTTCTTGATGGCCTCCGAGTTCAGCCCGAGCAATCTCCACATGAACCATTCGTAGATGGCTTGGACGCGGGCGGGTGTCGGGTGTGTGAGGTCGTCGCGGTTGAGCGGGCACTGGAGCTCGGCTGCGTCGCGCAGCATCTCGTCGACGCTGAGGATGGGGAAAGCCTGCTGCGCCATGTTGGCGGGCGCTCAAAGCGAGAGAGCGAGAACAGCGAGTTGTGGTCGAGGGAGAAGAAGAGGACGAGGACTACTTCCCTCTCAGATCGCTGTTCTGATGCAGAGTGAAAAGGAAAGCATTACAGCAAGACAAGAAAGCCAATAGAAAGGAGGGGACCGGTCACGCCTTCATCTCGACGTCCTCCGCCTTCTTCTCCTCCTCGCCAGCCTCCTTCTTCTTCGCCTGGTCCGCCTCAACGTCCATCTTCTCCTCAACAGAAGTAGCGCCCTTCACTTCAGTCTCCGTCGCTGCAGCCGGAGCTTCCGCCTTCTCTGCGGCCGCCGCATCCTTGCCCTCGTCCGCCTTCGCGTCCGGAGCGTCCGCCGCTTTGCTTGCCTCGACCTCCTTCGTCCGCTTCTCGAGCCACTGCTTAATGCGCTTGGCCTTCTTCGCCTTGACTTCCTCGCTCGGCCAGTCGGCGTCGCGCACCCGGCGGAACAAGACGTCCTCCGTCTCGGCGCAGAAGAACATCTTGTAGCTCCGCAGGCAGATGCGGCTCTGAAGCGCAGAGACGACCGTCAAGCCCTTCGGCAAGGTGGGGCGGACGTCGGCGGCCTGAGACGGCGGAGGCGGGGGGATACCGACTTGGCGGAGGTTGCGTGGGAGGTAGGGGATCCTGGGCTCGATGACGAGGCCGGGCGTCCGCTCGAGCTTGACGTAGCCCTCGACATACTTGGCCCAGGCCCGCTCGGCAGCCGGCAGGTCTTCGGGGGCCGCGACGTCCCGACCCATCAGCTGGAAGCGCAAAGTGCCAAGCAGCAGCGGGTCCGAGGCGCTTCCAGACGAGACGGGCGTCCACTCGACGCGATAGAGATTCTCGTCGTTGGCGAGCGTCGACTCGGCGTTGGAGCGGTACTCGATCTGCTGCGAGTGCGTCGACCGGTCGGGGTGCGAGCGGTCTTCTCGGAGCAGCGCGAGAATCTCCTTCGTCTTGGCATCCGTGACGGCGGTGAGGGACTTCGGATATAAGGAACGTCAGCGGGCGAGTATGGATAAGAGGGCCGGATCACAAGCGCACCAACTTGAGAATGCTCGCGAGGATCTTGTCGACTGTGAAGAGGACATAGCCCTGCGTCGCCATGATCCGCCTGACACCGTCCTCGAACGTTTGTTGGTCGAGGTCGCCGTCGAACAGCTTGTCGCACAACGCGAGCGCACGGTAGTAATAGTAGTCGGACGTCTCGGTCCACCCTGAGCCGGACGGCGGGGCGTAGGTGAGCGACATTGAGAGCGACGGGACATGCGACGGCGTGATAGGCTGGACGGGAGGCGGGACAGCGAGGACGGCTGCCGAGTTGCGGAGCTGGCTGAGGCGTTGTTGCAGGACCTGAGCACCAGGACGAGGTGAGCAAACTCGTCTTCCGAGTAGAGGAGGCTTGACAGCGCACCTGGAAGAGACGTAGCATGCAGTACAAGGTCGAGTTGGCGAAGACGTTCCAGGACCGCCGCTTGTCGGTCTGAGCAGGCTTCGCGTCGACCGGATGAATGACCTCGGGCAAGCCGTCGATCTCGACCGCGGCCGGCTCAGCTGGAGTAGCAGACGCCTCGGCGACGAGCGCTGCGGGTGTTCCTTCGCGACTTGTCGTGCCGTTCGAAGCTGCGTCGCCTTCACCAGCCGAAGTCGCAGCGGCATCCTCGAAACCAGTCCCGGCATCCACCATGACGCTGTCGCCGTCAGCACCGAAGCCGCTCGCACCTGCAGCGCTAGTCGAGGCGACAGGTGACGTCGCCCGCGAGCTGGGCGCCGAGTTGGCCGTCGGAACGGGTACGGCAGCCGTGCGCTTCCTGCCACGTCCGGGCCCGGGTGCGCCGTCTCCGGGCACGACCGTCTTGCGCAAGGCCTTCTTGCGCAGGTCGCCGCCCTTCTTGCCCTTGCCGCGGCCACTCGTCGGTGTAGACGCTCCGCTCAAAGCAGCCTCGACGGCTTCCTCGAGACCAGACGCAGCCCCGCCGACTGTCCCGGCGTCCGACGCGCCATCCGCGTTCGAGACCGTGTCGTCCTCTTCCACCAATGCGTTGGCCTCAATAGCGAACTCCGCAGGCGGGATGGCGAAGACCATGGCGAAGAACTCGTGCAGGAACGCGTCGACCTTGGGCTTGTCGGCGAATGAAACGACGTAGGTGCGGTCGAGGAAGGAGAGGATGAGCTTGACGGCGTCGAAGAGGGCCTGACGGTCCGAGACCGGGTACGAGAGCTGGTAACGCGACGGAAGCGGGTGGGTCGGGGTGCCGTACTCGCGCTGCTGCTGCTCGCGCTTCAGCGACTCGATCTCGGAGACGAGCGCTTTGGTGTTGAGGTAGCGCTTGTCGTTCGCCTTGATCGCGACCGCCTGATGGTCGAGCGCCTTGAGGAAGTTCTTCGCGTCCTGCGAGCGTACGAATTGACGTCAGTAGCCGTCAACAGCCATGCACGGCCAGAAGGGAACGCACCGCCTCGCGCCAGACGCGGTTCCACTCCCGCAATGCCCGCTTCCACTCCTCGTCCTTCTGCTTGAGCCGGGCGAGGACGATCGGCACAGCAACGCAAGGGTTCTCGTGCAAGGCCTGAATGACCTCGAGGCCCTGCTCCTTGCCGTACACCTTTTTGAGAACGCGCTGGTAGATGCTCTTGCTCTGGTTGCCAAGTCCCGGCTTGAGGCGGAATGTCGCGCGCTCGTCGGGCTCCATGAGAGCGATGCGGCTCGCGATGGGCTCGAGGAGGGCGATGGTGCGCATGTTGGCTTCGATGTAGTAGTCGTACTCGTGCCGCTCCTCCTCGGACCGGTGGAACGCCTCCTCGTACGGATTCTGGCGCTTGGCAACGAAACCCTCGTCCGACTGCCACGACGGCTGGGAAACTGTGAAGACGCGCTCGGGCTCGATCAGCGCTTCTTTCCCAGAGGACCAGTTCGACTGAAGGCAGCGACCGCCGACTCACCCCACTCGTCATTGAGGACCTCCCAGCAGAGCGCGTCGCGTCCCGAGCAGTTCAAGCTGATCTCCTCCGCCGGCAACCGCCTGTAGCTCGGACCATACGTCTCCCAGCCCTTGCCCGCATCGCCAGCCGCCTTCCTCCACCTTTCGCCGTCCAAGCGCGGGACATTCTCGATGACCCGCTTGCCCGTTTGCTTATCGAGCTCGACGCGCCTGCCAGGGTCGCCCAGCACGCCATCGACGACAGGGTCGGGATGACCGTCGCCAACCCAGCCAACCATCTCCTTGAAGTCGCGCCAGAGCGCCTCGTCCTGGTGCAGGAAGAGCCAGGCGCGCGCGACGAGTGCAGTGAGGTCGATCAAGTCCTGCGTGTAGAGGTTGACGAGCTTGAGGAACTCGTGGTAGGTCGGCTGATCTTTCGCGTGCGCCTTGACGCGCGAGAAGAAGGCGAGGTCGGGCTGCGACGGGACTGGCTTGGGCGCGAGAAGGGGCTGAGGAGGCGGAGGCGGCGCAGGAGGCTCGTAAGCGTATGCGACGGAGCCGGGCTGCTGGCCTGGGGCGCTCGAGATGGCAGCCGTGGCGGCAGGCGGAGGCGGGACTCCGCCGTAGTAGTAGGCCGCCGCAGCAGCCTGCGCTTGGGCGTGGTGAGCGAGGTGAGGGTGGGCATAGTCGCCGGCAACCGAGGGCGACTCGGAGCGGTACGTGAGGCCGTGCATGTCGGCGGGACTTGCGGCGCCCTTGGCCCGTCCTGCAGGACCGCCAACGAGCGGCGAGACGTCCGCTGCAACCGCCTTGCGCTTCCCCTTCCCCTTTCCAACTCCAGTCTCCTTCGCTCCTGCCGCGCCGGCACCCGTCTTTGCCCGTTTCGCGCCCGCTCCGTCCTTTCCGGCACCAGGCGCAGCGCGCTTCCCCGTACCCGGTCCAGCACGTCCAGCGAGACCTTGCGCGGGAGAAGCGGCAGCGGCAGCGGCCTGGCCTTCGGGCGAAGTGTCGGGGAGGAACTGCTTGAACTCTTCGAGGAGGTCGGGTGCCGAGTGGAAGAGAATCGTCACTTGGGCGTAGACCTGCAATGGAATGCGCTCGTTAGCATTGACATAGAGAGAACAAGGCAAGCGTCACGCACCTCCTGGATCGCCTTGCCCTCCTTTTGGTACGTCTGCAAGATCTCGAGGAACGCCTTGTACGTCTCTGGCTCGCGAATAAAGCGATTCTTGATCTTATTGACGTAGTTGATCGCGTGGTTGAACTCCATCGGCGGTCTCGCGGCGCCTTGCGCATCAGAGGAAGCGACCGAAGCGGGAGCAGCTGGGACGGCGGGAGGGGCGGCGCCGGGTGCTGACGGGGCAGGACCCATCTGATTCGACAGAACAGTCGCTGCGCCTGGCGTCGTGGCGATCGGTGTGCCGGGTCCGCCCGTTTGCGCAGCCTGCATCGCCGCCACGCCTGGTGCGGGCGGGAGGTTCTGAATGTGCATGGGCTGGCCTGCGGCGGGCGCAGCAGAAGGAGCCTGACCCTGCTCCTGCTTCACATCGCCCGGTGCCGCACCCGCCGTTGTCGTCGAGGTGACCCGATCGGCCTGCTCGCCCGTCAACTGCGTCCGGGTCGTCATGCCCATCGGCGTGGTGACCGTGATTGTTGTTCCGCCCTGTCCGCCTGCCGCGCCGCCTGCTCCTGCTGACCCGCCAGGACCGCCCGCAGCTCCGTCGGAGGTAACGGTACACTCGATGCGGTAGCCGGGAGGGAGGAAGGTGTTGAAGCCCTGGATGAGGGCAGGGTGGCCGCGGAAGAGTGTCGAGACCTGTGCGCGACACGGGTACTTCGAGTCAGCACATGTGCAGCGTGAAACGAACGAGAGAGGCAGTATCGAGGAGAAGCGCACCCGGTCAATGACGCCCGGCGTGTCGATCCCCTGCGACTTGAACTCCTTCATGATCCTGTGCGACCGCCAACCATCTGGTAAGCCCTGTGCTCGCGACACAGCACTGCAGGAGAGGCCGCTCGATTGAGTGTACGCACGTGAGGAAGCGGTCGTAGACTGGGGCGCGAAAGGTCTGTCAGCCCTCGGATCGCGCTCAGCAGAACGTGTACGCTGCACTCACCCTCTGTCTGGTCGGCAAAGGTCATCTTGACGCGGTCGAGGTAGCTGTGAGCCGGGATGGACGAGCGGGGGACGAGACGGTGTCAACTCGGCGTCGTCGCGACAGGAGAAGCGGGAAAGAACGCCGTGCGCACCTGAGCGCATCCCTGACATTCAAGTTGGTCTTTGCCTCCATCGCTGCTGCCATCGTTGCTGTGAGCGAGTTGCCCTCGGAGAGGGGCAGGCCGGTGAGCGGTGTCGGCGAGCTGGTTCGAAGCGGCGCGAGTCTAGCGTGGGCGAACAGAGCACGGCGAGTCCAGCAAGCACACTCTCGCAGCGCCCGGCCGCGAGCGAGCGAGTCGTCGAGAGCAACTCTTCCACCTCGTCGCTCTCCCTCGACCGCATCGTCAAAACTGGCGACCACGGCACTCAGGCGACTCAGCTCGACTGCTAGATACATCCACACGATGTCTTATTCCACTCGTGCGTCCATCCGCCTTCGAACGAGCGCGCGGCGTCGAGTAGCACGCCCGCACTCGCCCGCCCAACCCGCTCATCGCGCTGACCTCGCTCGCACGCCCCGGCGCAGGCCAGATCGGCGCGCAGAACACTCTCGGTAAGTACGATAGGACAGTCGATCGCTCGACCGTCGCAGGCGGAGCGAGTTGTTATCGAGATCTTTCTCCTCGCCGTTGACGTGCTCGACAAGGGGTCCTGTCGCGCTGACACGGCTCGTGTTACGCCCGCAGAGTTCCGCACCTTCCTCGAGAAGGACGGCAAGATCGTCTCGCCCTTCCACGATGTCCCCCTCTTCGCCAACGAGGACCGCACCGTCCTCAACATGATTGTCGAGATCCCCCGCTGGTCGAACGCCAAGCTCGAGATCTCCAAGGAGGAGAAGTTCAACCCCATCCTCCAAGACACCAAGAAGGGCAAGCTCCGCTACATCCGCAACTGCTTCCCCCACAAGGGCTACATCTGGAACTACGGGTGCGTTCCCCTTCGTTCGCGTTTACAGCCCATCAGTCACCTTCGAACCAGCTCTGACGGTGTCGACGACTCGCTCGCAGTGCCTTCCCCCAGACCTGGGAGGACCCCGCGGCCCAGCACCCCGAGACCAAGGCCAACGGCGACAACGACCCTCTCGACGTCTGCGAGATAGGCGAGACCATCGGCCACGTCGGCCAGGTCAAGCAGGTCAAGGTCCTCGGCATCATGGCCCTCCTTGACGAGGGCGAGACCGACTGGAAGGTCATCGTCATCGACGTCAACGACCCCCTCGCTGCCAAGCTCAACGACATTGAGGACGTCGAGCGCCACATGCCCGGCCTCATCCGCGCCACCAACGAGTGGTTCAGGTGCGTGCGAAATCGATATCGCAGTCGCTGGCTGAACGCGCGCTGACACGCTCGCCCCTCCTCGCCTCTACCTTGCCAATGTTCGCTCGCTGGTTCGCGTTACTACAGGATCTACAAAGTGCGAAGCCTACTTGAATACAGCTCACGCTCGAGAGACTGACCATCGCTCTCACTCGTGTCCCTTCCCTGATACCGCCCGCTTCGCTCCCCCTCCTCCCTCAACCCCATCCGCGCGCTCGCAGATCCCCGACGGCAAGCCCGAGAACACCTTCGCCTTCTCTGGCGAGGCCAAGAACCGCAAGTACGCGACCGAGATCGTCCACGAGTGCAACGAGGCGTGGAAGCGCCTCATCGCCGGCCAGGCTGACAAGGGCAAGATCGACATGTGCGTCCTGCATCCTCAGCTCCGGTCGAAGCGGTCAACTTCGCGAAGTAGCGTTGCTGACCGGTAGCGGGACGTCCGCAGCTCGAACACGACCAACCCGTCGTCGCCCGGCTACACCACCTCGACCGAGTCCGTCCCCGCCGACTCGCGCCAGCCCGCTGCGCCCATCGACGCCAGCATCGACAAGACCTTCTTCATCTCGGGACACGTACGTCCCTCTCGCATATCTTTCCTGCATCTTGGCGAACGAAAGCTGACGGACCTGCTCTTGTGTTCCTCCCTCGCGTCAGGCTGTTTAAGCGCGCTTCGCTATGAGCTCGTCACCGCTTCTTCGCCCGATGTCCCGTCTTGGGTAATTCCCGGATCTATCGATACAAAGCTTGCAAAAAGACAACCCCAAGTTTGAAGGAGACATTCGCTCTGTTGCGCTTCCTGTGCCTTCGTTTCCGGCTGGCGGCATGCGACGCACCCTTCAGACCATTGCGAGAGCGTTGATCTCTCGGCAGCCGCTTGTGGACTGGAGAAAAACCAGTGAGCGAGAGCCGCTGCGAACAGCCCGCGGTCGACAGCTTGGTGCTCATCTGGCAACCTCTTACAGCAACGACGGACGCGACGGCTCGAGAGAAAGGGAATATGTTGTTCCGAGCGAAAAAGAGGGAAAGGAAAGAGAACCGCTCGACCAAAACGACGACCTTCTACAGCGCACACCGCTCCGCCTCATCCCACTTCGCGCCAGTTGCATTTTGGTGATCACCGCATCCAGGGTCGGACGATCTACTTCTCGTACGACTTGAGGAGGGCCTCGAGGTCGAAGTTGGGCGCTTCGGGGTCGGTGACGACTGTAGAAGAGGCAAACGACATCAGTTACGCGTCTGATTGAGCAACTCCGCAAGCGCGTGATAGCTCAGACGGATCCGCCAACTCACCGCCGCTCTTGCCCTGCAACTTCTGCGCCTCCCACGCCTTCTTGGCCTCCTCGAGCCAGTGTGCCCGTTGCTGGACCTCCTTCTCGGCCGCGGTCTTGTCGAATCGCTCCTGGAGGGTCTTGCGGTGCACGATGCCGTAGACGATGCCCGAGGCAAGCGCGGTGTACCGGACGACCTGCGGAGTTGGCAAGGAAAGCGAGGGCAAGGAGGGGGGAGGTCGAGGAGAGAAGGGAGAGCCGGTAGTAAGAGTCGTCGTGGGAGAGCGATCCATAGTCAGCACCCATCCTCTGCGCAGCCTCTCTCCTCTGTTCAACCGAGCCCGTCCCCGCGAGCATGAACTCGTCTCCGGGTGATGGGCGAGCAACCGGTCCACCTCCGCATCCCGTGCATCGCCCGACTCCATGAGCAGTCCACGTTGTACCCTCCGCAGCCTCCTGCGCTACCGAGAATCGCGACAAGCCGTTGTTGCGCCGCCGAGCCGATGTGAAGTCCAAGAGTGCGGCGAGCTAGCGGCGAGAGCTCGTCCTGCGGGACTTGAGCGGGTCGTGGGGGACTCACGTTGACTGCGGGCGAGACCATGACTGCTAACGACGTCGCTGACCGGGAGAGAGAGGCAGAGGGAGCGGTGTCGAGCAGGGAGGCGACGGGCGAGGACGGGGACGAGGACGGTTCGCTGTCTCCCACTCGCTCTGGCTGCGTCGTGAGCGTCCTGCTGCACTTTGACAGACTGTACAGACTTGCCCACACACGCTCTTGCCTGACCCACCTTGTCGCGCTCTCCCTTGCTCTCCTCGTCGCTCGACTCGGCTACACACCCTTCCTTCGTACTCACACGACTTCAAGCATGGCTTCGAGCGGCACGTCAGACGGAGGACGCTTCCAGACCGTCATCAAGCTGCAGTCCCGGCCAAAGGGGTGCGTCCAGCCGCCACGAGACCATCATTTCCACCTTGACATCCCTGACAACCTCCTTCTCTGGTCGCAGCTGCCACCTGATCACCGACGAGATTGTCGCAGCCCTCGGCGACAAGCTGAAGAACACCAAGGTGCGGAGCGAAGGACTGGCCCTTGCGTGAACCTGCAAGCTGACCTCGTTCTCGCTCGTCAGATTGGCATCCTCCACCTCTTCATCCAGCACACCTCGGCCGCTCTCACCATCAACGAAAATTGCGACCCTGACGTCCGTACCGACATGGACCGCGTGCTCGACAAGATCGTTCCTGTCCGTCGAGTCTCGTTATTCGGCTCGGAGCACGACTGACTCTCTGTCTACTCGTCTCGCAGGAATCCTTCGACTGGGACCACGTCGACGAGGTGCGTCTTCCCTTCCCAAGCATCGACTTCTGCAGACGAAGCTGACTCTCCTGCTGCCCAGGGCCCCGACGACTCCGTCTCGCACACCAAAGCCAGCATCATCGGTCCGAGTATCCAGATCCCTATCGGCAACGGCAGGCTCATGACCGGTACTTGGCAAGGTGCGCTTGACAGCCTTTTCTCACGCTATGGCCGCATGACCCGCTGATCTCGCTTCGTCCGCCAGGCATCTACCTCACCGAGTTCCGCCACCACCCGCACGCTCGCCGTGTCGTCGCTACCATCCTCTGAACCGGTTGCGGCACCTGTACATAGCCTTGCAGTCTAGACTAGCCTCAGCTCGAAATGTACATATCGCCTCGACATTGTCCGCCAAGTGCTTGTTCTTCGCTGCGACTGCTTCACGAGCGACAGATGATGCAACCAGCGTTTCCAGACAAGACGGTACTCCAGGACAACAAGACTTTTCCAATACTCCCGCTCCTCTTCACTTCGTCACAAACAGCCTGTACACCTCCTCCCCGCCTTCTTCGCCTGCAATCGCCACAGCCGGTCGCGCAACGACCTCGACGACGTTCAGCCCCTTGCGCGGTACGAGCGCATATCGAGTCGCGGACGAGGCGGAAGGCTGGACGGAGAGATCGCCTGCGATGGGTGCGGCTGGGAGATCCACGACGGGCGAGACGGTCGCGCCGGATGGACGTGCGGTCACCGTCACTTGCGGTGTGGGCTCGTAGCCGTTGGCATCTAGTCCCGATCCGTTCTCGACAGCTTTGCCCTTGCCCTTGCTTTTTGGCGAAGCAGGCGCGCCAGGCGAGCGGCGGAAGACGGGCGCGAGCTCGACTCGCTCGGTCGAAAATGGCACAGCCAGCGAGTGTTGCCGGACGGAGGAGTTGTCGAGGGTGACGGTCTTGCGAGTAGATTGCTTCGACGGCGATGAGGAGACGAGGGTGACTTCGAAGCGGGAGACGAGGGGGACTTCGCCGGCGAGGGGGGCGCGCGCGACGAGGCGCGAGACGGGAGCAAGGGTGCTGTTTGAGGCGGCTGGCGAAGGATGACCGTTCGCGCCGTAGCTCGCTGGACTTGCCATCGCAACATCGTGTGCGCCGAAGATGCCGGACGAGGACGATGCGAAACCCATCAGCGAGTTGGCCGTCGCGTTGAAGCTGGGTAGGGCGGGAAGACCGGTTGGCAAGGTCGGGCTGCCTTGCGGCGGATAGGCGGGCGCTGAAGGCGCGTTGACGGGTATGCCGGGTAACGCGTACGGGTCCGCCAGCGGGGTATCCTCGACCTTTGGCCGAAGCGGATCGACGATACCGACGGGTGCCACCGAACCCTGACGACTCTCGTCGTCGTCCATCTCTTCGTCCTCGTCCTGCTCGTACGCCTGTTCGTTGCCAGTCTCGGGCGACATGGTCGCCGTCGGGATTGCCGAGCTCTGTCTCCGTCGGCGAGCAGGCGGCTGAGGCGGTTGAGGCGTCGTCGTTGGAATGTCCTGGTCGACCTGGCGCTTGCGCAAGAGGGTGAAGCTCGGCGGCTGCTCCGACATAACCTCAGCGAAGTGTTGCTGCACGGTCAAGACGTTAGTCGAGACGAAGGAGGTCCAGGTGGTCGCAGCGGCACGCACCTGGAGGAACAGCGCGTCCTTCCAAATCCGCGAGCCCTCCTCGTTGTAGAACATGGCGTTCGAGAAGATCATGTTGACGTCGTCGACAAAGTGCTGAACGCCGTGATACGAACGCTTGTTGAGGCGCGAGCGGACGACTTCGAACGAGACGGGCCGGGGGATGACTTGGTAGTAATCCGGCCAGGCGTCGCGGTCGGGAAGCGTCATGAAGTTGTCGGCGTACGGTCGGCCGCTACGACAACCCGTCAGCATCGTTCATAAGTCTCGTAAGCGGGCGAGCGAACGCACTTCATGTCGACTGGCGCCATCGTCTCGTCCAGCTTCTTGAGCAACCACGTCTTCATCGCAATGCCTTTCTGCTTGTCCCCGCCTCCTCCTCCGCCGCCTCCGCCTCCGCCGCGGCCTCCGTCTTCCCTCTTCCTGCCGCTTCTCCTCGAGCTCCCCTCACCGTACGTCGGGTCCGAGTTCGGCCCAACAGATCCAGCTCGTCCAGTCTCCTCGTCGTCCTTGTCCTCGCCCGTCATGACGGCGTACGTGTCCTTCAGCAGTTTCTGCGCCAAAAGAGCGATCAGCTGGAGTGCAGGAATGACGAGGGGCCAGGCTTACGTGTTGCCGCTTCGCGTCGAGGAAGAGCGGCGAGCCCGGCGCGTTGTACCGTTTGGCGTTGACGTACATCTGATTGAAGTCGTTTCGAATCTCGCTCAGGCAGGTGTATCCCACTGCTCGAGAGACTGTCAGTTCGTGCAAGCCGTGCCAGCGAGGGAGCGGAAACGCACTCTGGTCCAGCTTCTCCTTGATTTCGGCGTACGAGATCGGCTTCTTGATCATGCGGTAGTAGTCGGGGTAGTCCTGCGGACTTGGCAGTTCTGCAAAGGCGTAGTACAGCGGCCTCGACGAGCTGCAGCGAGCGAAGGAGCAGGAACGCGAGGTCAACTTGGGAAGGCCGCCCTTGAGCGGGACAGGGAAGCGAGAACGCACTCGTGCGGGTCCTTCTGCGCCATCATCCGGTCGTACAGCTCTATCCCTTGCTCCTGCACGCGCTTGAAGCCCTCTGCATCGGTTGCGGGCACATTGGCGGGATTGGGCGACCCTGACCTCCCTGAGCGGAACTGTGAGGGCGACGACGCGCCAAGCGGGTCAGCGCGGGGTGCCCACCTCGTCCAGCAGCACCTTTCCAGTCCGCAGAGACCCCGCAAGACACCCGGCGCGAGCGAGGCGAGCCAGTTCGCCCGCGTTCCCCTCCTCCCGCCCGGCCAGCAACCCTCTCTCCCCGTCTCCTCGCCGCGCAAACCGCTCCTCCTCACGCGCAAAAGCAGCGAACAAGCCCCCGAACTCACGTCCAACGCGTTGCTCGTGCGCCGCCGCGTCCGCTCTCCATCGACGATGTTGTTGAGGTCGACCGCTCCCCGCACCCGTTTCTGCCGCGCCGTCGCTGCGCCCGCACCGCCGGGCATGGGAGTCGAAGTGCCAGCGTCGGACATGGAGGCGCGCGTAGCAAGCGAAGCAGTGCTGCAAAGGCCGGAGGAGTCCAGTGATCGCGGAATACAAAGTTGGATTAGGTCAAGTTGTATTCGATGTGGGTAGTCCTGGAGAAACGACCGAATTACAGGCAGTGCTAGTGGCGGCGACGAGAGGGAGAGAGAGAGAAGCAAGAGACACGCGCGGTAAGGGGAAGAAGAGCGGGCGGATAATAGGGTATCTCGAAGAGAGGGAGGGAGGGAAGGGGGCGAGAGAACGGCACAGATGGGTTGGGCGGAGGGAGCGAGGGTCAGGAAGGGTATGTAGTGCGAGCGCGTAAAGGGGCGAGAGAAGGGGAGCCCGTCTAAAGAATGACGCAGGAGCAGCACCCTGCCGAAGAGTGCTCCTCCTCCTTGAACTGCGCAGGCGTCGCTCCCGCTGCTCCCGGGCGGCCCGCCGCTTGCTCCTGCAGACGTCCAAGTGCAATCGCATCAGCTCGGCGAGCGGAAGAGGCAGACACGGCGAGACGCACCTTGTTGTACTTCCGGATCTCCCTCACGAGGTCAAAGAACGCCTGGTCGACGTTGAGCCTCCGCTTGGCCGAAGTCTCGATGAAGCGGCACCCAAAGTGCTTGGCGAGCTCGCGGCCCTCGTGCGTGCCGACCTGCCGCTCATACTCGAGGTCGGCCTTATTTGCGACGACGATGCAGGGGAAGTAGTCCTTGTCCTTGACGCCTGCGATTTGGGGGACTATCAGCTGGCCGAGCACAGGCGTACAGGAGAAAGCGGCGGGACGCACGGAGGATCTGCTGATGGAACGTGCCGATTTCGTCGAACGAGTTGCGCGAAGTGATCGAGTAAACCAAGAGGAAGCCCTCGCCCGTCCGCATGTACTGCTCGCGCATCGCACTGTATGTACTTCGTCAATAAACGCAGGTCGGCCGAAACGAAGTGGAAGGAAACGCACGAGTACTCCTCCTGGCCCGCCGTGTCGAGAACATCCAGCAAAGCGACCTCCTCGTCGATCATGCATTGCTTCCGGTACGAGTCCCTGCAGGTTCGAGAAGATTAGGCACGTTCGAGGCGAGCTGCGAAGGGAGAAAGCGGAGGGCGAAGAGGGAGTGGAGTGGAAGAAAAGGCGGGCGACAAGCGTACTCCTGCGGGAACGAATGAGCCGTCAGCACGCTGTTCTCTGTGCGGGAGACCTGTCTCCTCTTCTGCCCCGACTTCGGTCATAGTCCGCCTCGAGAAGATCGCCTCGACAGCCTTCTTCTCCTCGCGGTCAAGGGATGCGTCCGCCTGGCCCATCGTCACCATCAACCGCATTCCGACGAGAGCACCCAGCACCCCGCCCAACCGAGTAGAAGCGCAAGCGAGAGAGTCGTGCGACTGACAATAGTGGGGTCATACCTGCGCCAGAGGAAGAGGCGTCAGCGCCAGTTTCGTCTCGGTACGCGCAGACAAGCGAGGAAAGCCAACTCACTCGTCGACAAAGTGGCTCTGGATGAACTGGATTGTGAGGGCACTCTTGCCGACTCCACCGCCGCCGACCACCACGAGCTTGTACTCGCGCAAGAACTGGGCCTGCGGGGGGTGCGATCGGGTCAGCAGCCAGTCCATGCATCTTGTGCGACCGCGTTGCACCCGTGCGAGTGCTCATCGCGCCGCACGAGCGGGTGCTGGAGGCTGTTCGGGCCGCATGAATGGGCGAACTGGGGGGTGGTGCGCGGGTGGCCTGGGCTGCTCACCTTGGACATGGCTGGTGTGGGTGTTAGCTGTCAGTCTGTGGGTATCTGAGCAGGTCGAGCAGGAGCAGCAGCAGCGCCGTGCGAGCGAGTCGGCGGAGGGCGAGACGGTCGACGGCGAACGGGTCTCGCCCTTGTCCTCGAACAAACGACCACGCTGCCGACAAACTCACAGCTGGATGGCTGGACAGCACTCTACATAGACTGCACAGGCTCACTCTGGCTATCCAGACTGACCTGCGGTCGAAGCACGCTCTGCCGTGGATCGCTCAACTCGCTCACTTCTTGCGGACAATGTTGGCTGCCGTCTGCCAGCGCAGACGATTTCGTTCGGACAGCGTACGTGGAAGGACTCTCTCGCAGCTGTGACAGCGAGCGAGTTGACCGAGCGCTGGAATGGCACTGCGAGCGACTACACCTTCTCCTTCTCCTTCTCCTGCTCCGCCCTCCCCCCCTCCTCCCGCGCCCGCCACTTCTCCAAATTCGCCCTCGCCTCCTCGTCACTCCGCACAAAGTGCCGCTGAAACAGATCCTGCTGAAACCACACGATCTTCCCAAACGCCCTCAAGATCCTCATCTTCCTCTTACTTGACAAGTCCTCCCTCGGCATCTGCATCACGATACTCGTCACCGTGTCGTTGATCCAGGCGAGTGTGAGGGTGAGTTGCTGAAGGTCGACGACGAGAGGGTCTTTGTTCAGACGGTGCTTGAACGCGGGACGGCCGGTGTGCATCAAGCCCACGGCGTCGAGGTATTCCCAGAAGGCAGGAGAGGAGAAGTCGGCGGTCATGATCTGCCGGCACTCGGGGCTGTTCAGCTACGCTCGAAGGAATCGAGGAGCAGCCTGCACACCTTGGCCAGCCACATCGTGAGGAACTTCTTCCGCAGCTTCATCTGCGGATGCTCGAGCGTCAAGTCCTCCATCCTGCTCGCGAGGTCGCCTCTGCGCAAGCCTGCCTGTCAGCTCAGGCGGTCTTAGGGATCAAGTGGGATCGGGACGCACTCGAACCCTTCTTCACGCGCGAGGAAGACGGATTTGGTGTTGGAGAAGAGGAAGAGGTGTTCGTAGACACCGTCAACGATCTGTGCGGACAGTCCACGGTCAGCGATACCCTAGGGATGAGCAGTAGGCGACTGAGGAACGCACATCCATCGTGACTGGCAGGATAAGTGGAGCCGCCGCATGCAGGACGTCCTCGTCGTCCTTCGTGAACTCGATGAACTGTCCGGACAAGCAGCGAGAGCTTCAGTTGGTGTCTCCGACGCAGAAGGAGTGACGAGGCCGCACGTCGCGGTCGTAGGCGACGCGGTAGAGCAAGTCCGTGTTGAGACGGTCGCGGTCAACAACCTTGGGGGCAGCCATGACTCGCTTCTCGTGTCGGTGTGAGAAGAAAGAGAGAATCAGAAGGACGTCCATCGTCTGTCAGCTCGTCGCTAGCACCTGTGCTGCCATCAGGAAGGACAGAGGGGAGTGCGGAAGTTGCGCTGGCCTGAACGCTCGAGCGGGGGTTTTCGGAGGTATTCTGTCATCTCCCGGCGTCGATCTTTGACCTTTGCAGGGCTGTACAGAGCGCACAAAGTCATACGAGCGCAGTGAGGGGATGTTCTCTGCTGCTTGCGAAGGTCGTCTCCTCGTCACTTGGTGTCGTCGGAGAGGCGGTGCGCCGCGGACTCGCTTCTTTCCTTCCGTCTCGCATCGTCTTCCTTTCTCTCACGGCTGCCGTTTACGCTGGTTGAGCGCGCGCACACCTCGAGGACAAGATGCATTGGTCCCGTCCGCAACAATGAGGTCATCGAACCAAACAATCCAAGCGCGCGCTCGCCGTTCTTCTCGCTCTCCTCCCTCAGCACTTCTCTCGAGCTCACAAACACACTCAAACAATGGCTACCAACGCACCCGCATCGCAACAGACCGGCCTCGCCGCCGCCGCCGCCCAGCGCGAAGCAGCGATCGCTCCTTCCGCTCCCGCTGCGGTTGCGCCTGAAACCCATACCACCTCTGCCCCGCCCGAGAACGGCGGCGTCCCAACTGGCGCTACGCACGCCCCAGGCACTGGAGTCGCGGTAACGCACGGAGGACCGGTGGCGAACGACACGGGCGCTGGCGCACCTGCTGCTGCTGCGGGAACGACGGGCGCACACCATGTCCCTCAGGCCGATCCTGCTGCGTTGAAGGCGCAGGAGAAGGAGCACAAGCAGTGCGTTCCAACTCCTCCGCTTCGCTCGAGGCCGAACGAAAGTTGACGATCTTTGGCGACGACAGGCTTGAGAAGCAGCTTCACAAGGAAGAGAAGAAGGAGGAGAAGGTCGTTCAGCATGCGATGAAGGATGCGCAGAAGCAGGCTAAGCAGGAGAAGGCGGCGCTCAAGGTGCGTTCCATCCCGCTTTCTAGTCCGCAAGTTGCAGCTGATCCTCATGCGGCTCGCAGGCCGAGGCCAAGGCCCGCAAGCAGGTTGACAAGTACACGGCGAAGGAGATCAAGTATGCCAAGGGTCTCGCGCGCCAGCAGGAGAAGCACAACAAGATGGTCCAGACGCTCGAGAAGGCCAAGCACGACCTCGCGACCAAGTCGCAGGAGCGCGAGCGCATCATTGCCCTCCGCCAGCCGAAGCAGCAGACGCTCGAGCAGCAGAAGCACATCAAGGCCGAGCACGACGTGCGTTCAGTCGTCTCCTTTCCCTTCGTCCTCCGCTCTTCCTCCGCTTCTCCTCCGTCGTCCATGTCAGCCACTCAACTTCATACTGACTCGCTCCTCCCCTGCAGGCCGCCCGCAAGGCCCAGCTCGAGGCTACCGCACCTCACCCGACTGCCGCCGCCCACTGAACCCTCGTCTCCTCCCCGCCCGACCATACCAGCGCCTCGTCCTAGTACCCTTAACATTCGTCTCACCTAATCCTTGTGCTGTATGGCGATGTATTCCCGCTGCAACACGCTCTCGTCGACATTTCCTCCTCGACCGGCGCGATGAGACAGATCTTGCTGCGTTCTCCCTTCCGCTTGCCTGCGCTCTCCTCGCTCTCCTTTGCTTCCTGCGCACTGCTGCACTCGTCTTGAAGGATCTGGCGAGTCAGGCGACATCCAGCCAGCGCGACCCGTCTCCGCTCCGTGATCTCGAACCCCGCCTCGTCGACCAGCCTCTCCGGATTCAGCGGCGAGCTCCTTCGCCTCGCTCGTCTCGCAGCGCTCTCTACGCCTGTTCGGCAGCTTGCACTTCCTCATCCACCTCAGCGACCCACTCAGCCAGGCTCGCAGCTAGCTGCCTCTGCGACCGCCCTCCTCGCCTGCACCGCCGCATCCCCTTTCGCGATTTCGCAGCCACCTTACGACTCCTCCTTTCGCCTGATTACTCGACCACGATGAGCAGCTACTTCAACTCGACCTGTCCGGTGGAGAACACGGCGGCGATAGACCAGTCGAGCTTCTGGGACGGACGGTTCGTTCTCACTCCTCCTCTTTCACGAGGACTCGCTGACCCCTCCTCTCGCAGCTGGGACGCCCACGAGATCGGATGGCTCATTGCAGGCGTCACTGCCGCCGTCTCGACCGTCATCACGTTCTACAACGTCTGGCTGCACGCACGCAACTACTACAAGCCAAAGGAACAGCGGCAGGTCATCCGCATCCTCTTCATGCCCGCCGTCTATGCGGGTGCGTTCCACTCGCTTCGGGCGTGATGAGCTGGCATGCTGACGGGCGTGCGTTTCTCAGTCGTCTCCTTCTTCTCCTACCGCTTCTTCCGCGCCTACACCTACTACAGCGTCTCGGTCGTGGCCTACGAGTCACTTGTCGTGCGTACTGTCCACCCTCCTAATTCCACTCGAGGCTGACCGGTCGTTCCCGCAGCTCGCCGCCTTCCTCATGCTCCTCCTTCAATACATCGGCCAATCCACCGAAGAGCAGAAGGCGATCCTGCGCGACAAGGAGAAGCGCAAGATTCCCATTCCGTTCTGCTGCATCCGCTTCCGCCCGAGCAAGCCTTGTACGTCTGCCTCGATCGATCGCTGCAGACGGAGCTGACAGCCGAGTTGCGCAGACTTCCTCCATGCCCTCAAGTGGTCCGTCTTGCAGTACTCGCTGCTTCGTCCGACGATCTCTATCATCTCCATCATCACCGAAGCATTCGACAAGCTCTGCCCCGTCCGTCTCGCTTCCACTCCCGCCCCGAATTGCGCTGACAGGAACCTGTCGCCCAGAACCAATATTCGGTCTACTTTGCGGCGGTCTACCTCGACGCCATTGACTTTGTCTCGATCTCGGTCGCGCTGTACGGCTTGATCGTCTTCTATGCGCTCGTCAAGGAACGCCTGGCTGGCAAGCGCCCGCTCGCCAAGTTCTTGTCCATCAAGATCGTCGTCATGCTGCTGTTCTACCAGTGCGTCGCGTCTCTGCATCTTCTCTGCAGCGTTGTCGCGCTAACTCGGATCTCTGCTCCCCAGGTCCTTCGTCTTCTCCATCCTGCAGAGTCACGGAGTCATCAAGGGAACCGACGTGCGTTTGCTGTCTATCCGCTCGCTCTATAGACGTTGCTGAACCTGCTGCTTGACGCAGTACTGGACGTCGACGAACGTCGCGGATGGCCTCGCCGCCCTTTGCGTCTGCTGCGAGGTGTGTCTCCGCCGCGCGGTCTGCGTGCCGTAGACTGGGCTCACTAACGCTTCTCGTCGTGTGCAGATGGTCATCATGTCGCTCGTCTTCGGCTGGGCCTTCACGTACAAGGAATACGCGCCCTTGCGCCCGAAAGGAGCGCCTCACACGAGCGTCTTCCGCTCCATCATGCACTCGTTCAACTACTGTGCGTCGCACGTCCTAGTCAACCTTACTGTGCTCATTTCGTTGACGCTCGAGTCGTTCCTGCTGCAGACGACTTCCTCGTCGAAGGCGGCCGCGGCATCGCCTTCGCCTGGGCCTTCATCCTGCGCAAGCCCGGCACACACGCCGGGAAGAACACCCGTGCAAAGCTCATCACCGCCGCACACGACAGCCCCAACGCGCAGTACGGGTTCGATGTCGGTGCGGCGTTTGCGGGAGTGGAGAGGGACGAGGTGATGCCGTTTGGGATGGCCGGGAAGGGCGCGCCGATGGGTGAGAAGGCGGAGTTGGCGGAGAGTCACGTGCCGCTATCGCCGAGGATCGGGCAGGAGCAGTATCACATGGCTACGTACGAGACGCGCGGAGGAGCGGCAGACGAGCGGGAACCGGCAGTCGTCCCGCCTGCATCGTTCGGTCGCCAAGCAGCGACGGACGACCAGCCGTATGCTTCGAGCCACCCTTACGCAGGCGAACGAGGCGCCGAGAACCGCGCGGATCGTCAAGGACCGGCGGTCGAGGGACGGGATTTCGTCGCGCATGAGATGCCGCTGCCGGGCTCGCCGCCCCAGCCGCACGAGCGGCAGTAGGCGTCGAGGAAGGAAGTGTAGGAAGAGTCGAGCGATAGAGGCGGAGGCGAGGGTTAGGAGAATCATTGCATCTGCGCGGCTGCTTCAATCTTGCGCCTATACCCCGCTCTGTTGTAGCGTCTTGAGCATGTATCATCGCTTCCATCATTCACTGTGTCTTGCGACGTGAGTGACGAGACGGGGAATCGGGAGGGAACGGAGAGATGCATGCGATTCGGAGGTTCTAGTCTACAAAAAACAGGCTTTAGGGTGTAAGGGGCCCAGCGTGTCAGGGTAAGCGCGGAGGAACAGACAGTGGAAGCATCTAGAGAAGAGGAAGAGGGAGAGAAACCGGACCGCCCTCCGGTAACTCGAAGTTCGGGAAATCAGCGACGCCCGAGGACTTCCTTAGGCCGACGGGTCCTCAGTCTTGGCCTTGAGGGTCGCCGCCGCAAGTTCCTCGTCGCTCTTGGCGTAGTACTTGACCCACAGGTCGTTTTGGCACCAGATGAGCTTGTTGAACGCGCAAATGATGTCCTGCTTTTTCTGCAAGTCGGCAACGTCGTTGTCGAGCGCCATGACAGCCTTGATCACGACGTCGATGACCCAGCCGAAGAGGAGAGCGGCTGCGAAGCGAGCAAAAAACTGTCAGCGACGCCAGGGGAGATGCAAGACGGCTCGACGGACCAGGCTGGAGGTCGACGACGAGCGGCGCCTTGTTTGCGCGGTGCTTGAACGCCGCCTGGCCAGTGTGCATGCGCGCGACCTTGTCGAAATACTCCCAGGTCGCAAACTTCTCAAAGTCCGAGGTGAAGCACTGCGCGCTCAAATCGTCAGTACACGCTTCCGAGACAAGCGAGGGAGAGTATGAGACGCACCTTGGTGACCCAGTTGACGAGGAAGGACTTGCGGAAGCTAGGAAGGGAGAGAGAACAAGGTCAGCGGATTCTTTCAGTCGGGCGATATGAGCTGCACGCACGCGATCTGGGGGTCGTCGAGCGTGAGCTTGTCAAGCGTCGTAGCGTGCTCGCCCTCGAAGCCGACGTTGCGCTTCAGGAAAAAGGATGCGGTGTAGTCGAAGCGGAAGAGCTGTTCGAGGAGGAGGGCGAAAGGTCGGCGCCGTCAACACAGTGATACCCTTCCGGTCGCGAGTCGTCGACAACGAGGCTGCAACGCACCTGCACGTAGACCTGGTCGACGACGGGCTTGACCAGGGGAGCAACGACGCTGGCGACAGAGTTGAGGGTCTTGCCGCTCTCCTCGTCGAATCGGAGGAAGTCGCGGCTGAAGGTGACGCGCTGCTCGAGGTCGTCGCGGATGAGGTCGCGGTCGTAGTGCTTGAAGGGGCAGGAGGCGCTTGCGGACATGGCTGAATGCGATAAAGGGCTGCGAGCGTCGGCGGTGGCTGGGGTCAACGGAGGGTCGGCGGAGGGTGGCTGAGTCTAGCGGTGGTCAATCGGTAGCAGTGGATGTGACTTGTCGAGCAAGAGTGCAGAAGGAGGGAGAGAAGCGAGAGAGAGAGCGCAGCAAGAAGACCAACCGCGAGTCGGCCGGGTTCGCCTCGCTCCCTCGCGCTCCCAAACCTGTCGGGCGCTTCCGTAGAACACGGTGCGAGCCAATGGCGCACACGCCGAACGAGCCTCGAAGACCCAGTCCTCTCGCCTGTCCGAGTCCGTCAACGGAGCGACATCGACAAAAAGTTTGCTCGTGTCGGCAACAGGCAGAAAGCGAGGTAGGAAGCGCGGATTGCGTCGACGACAGCAAACGACGGAGCTAGAATGACAGAGCAAGCGTCGCGGAGAGCAGAGGCGAGCTCGCGGAGAGCAGCGCCGGTGGCAGCGTCGCAGCGACTTCGCAGAAAGCGGGCGATCACCTTGTTGCGAAGTCCGAGCGAGCCGACCGCGGCCGGACAGGAGGAGGCTCAACGGGCGGGGGTAAATTGCTCCATGTACGGGTTATGCGGGGGTATGCAAGCGGACACAGGAAAGGAGGAGAAGGCCCGAGCGAGTCGGCGGTGGTGGCTACGCCTTGACGACCGCGCTTCCTCGGCTCGGTGGATACGCGCAGTACTTGTCCTGGATGAACGAGACGGACCACGTCCCTTCCTGCGACGTGAAGATCGAGTACTGGTTGTCCTCGATGCCGCTGCGAGCAGAGAGAAAAGCGAAGGACAGGGTCAGAACCGAGGTCAGCACGGCCGGAGGGAAAGCGAACGCACGTCACGGTGTGCGTCTCGAGCACCGTCCGGTCCTTGCTCCGGTCCTGCGCCGCCCGCCGACTGTACGTGAACGAGAACGGCGGCGTGCCGGTGAAGCTGAAGACGATCTCGGTCTGCTCGCCCTCGCGGATGTCGACGACGTACGAGTCGCCGGTGTGGACGCGCGCTGACGGGATCGGGTGGATACGCTTGACAATGTCGACCTGGTTCGAGCGACATTGGTCTTCGCCGTGTCCGACCGAGACGACCTTGAAAATCCCGGGCGAGGCGGCGACGCGCTGGAACTTGCCGCTCGTGAGAGGGACAGAATGCTGCTTGCCGTCGAACTCGTACTTGACGGTGAAAGGCGGCGAGCCCTGCACGACGAAGTCGAGGAAGTCGCCGACGCAGTGGTCCTCTTGCGCCGAGACGGGCGTAATGGTGGCGATTTCGGCGACGGGAATCGAGACGGACGTCCGCTTGGCGGAGGGAGCGGGAACAGACGGGTCAATGAGCGTTTCGCAGCCATTGGCGTCCTTGACACGGCGGAGGAGGACGCTGTGAGGTTGCGCCTTGTGCAGGCTGTACGGAAGCGAGACCGGCCACGAGTTCGACTGGATCAAGGGGACAGTGTAGCGCTTCGAGTTGCGGTGACCATCCTCGCGAACCTCGAGCTCAAGCTCGAAGGGCGCCTGGCCGACAAGATCGACGACAAGGTCGTCCGAGCCGCGAGAGGCGAGTTCGTCGTTGACGCAGAAGCCCTGCTTGGCTCCATGGGCGAACGAAGCGCTCGGCAAGTCGAAGACGTCCTGCTCGAGCCGCACGACACCCGCCTTTCCGCCAGCCGGAGCTCCCAGACCCGCCGCGTTCGGCTCGGTGTAGAGCGCGTCGCCGACGCCGGTGAAAGTGTACGAATGGTGTCCTGGCGTCGCGGTGTAGAGCGTGAGGTCGGCGCGAGACTGGATCGCCTGCAGCGAGTGCTGGCGAGTCTCGCCGTGGTGCGAGCCCTTCTGCAGCGTGTAGAAGGCCTTGAACGGCGCTTTGCCTGCGTAGAGTGAGCATCAGATCGATTAGGATAGCCTATGAGAGCGTGAAAGACTGGGGCGCACCCTCGAACAAGACGGGAATCGAGTCGGCCGCGTTCGCGCACACTCCCCTCCTCACGATGCTGCCATTCCTGGCGACCTTTCCGACGCTCTCGTCCAGCCGCAGCTTCGGCCTCGGCAGCGTCTGGACCGTCCACTCAGGCTCGGAGACGTCGCCTGGGCAGTACTTGTCCCGCACGCTGAGGAGGCGGTAGGTGCCAGGGACGGCTGAGCGAATGTTGATCTCGGCGTTGGCTTGGTGCGCGACGAACGAGACAGGGTCGACTGTTCGGCCGGCGATGGAGGGAGGCTGGTAGGTGATCGTCCAGGGCTACGAGCGAGAGAAAGGTGAGCGAGACTTCGAGGGCCTCGAGGCGAAAGGACTCACTCCTTCGCCGGTCAGCCGCAGCGGAATCTTCGCCGTGTCGTCGTCGCGAATGAGCACCGAACGCGTGCCCTCAGCGCCGTGGAAGCGTGCAGTCGGCTTGGTACGGCGAACCTCGACGACGAGATCGCTGACGGTAAGCGGTCGACGGCAGCCGTTTCCGTCACGAACACTCTCTACGAAATCAAGGCGGTCAATCAGAAGCAGCGGAACAAGGGGGACAAGGGAGACGTACCGAGCGAAAGCGCGAACTGGCCACCCTGCTGGGCGATACCCTTCGGGATGTCGATGTCGATGACATGCGGCGACTCGGTGATGCCGGTGATGGCCTGTGACGGAGAGCCAACAACCGAGTACTCGATGTCCCACGGCGCCTGTCCGACGAGCTCGACTTCGACCTGGACCGTCTCGCCCTCGCAGCTGTGCACGGTCTTGCCCTTGTCCGCGTTCTTCCACTTGGCGTCGCCAACGACCGGAATCTTCTGCCACTTGGCATAGCTCGCTTGGGGCGGGAGCGGAAGGTCCTTGTAGAACGCGTCGTCGACCTTGACGAAGCGGTACTCCCACTCGCCTGGACCGGGTTCGAGGCGAAGCTCGTCGCGCGAATGCAGGACGCGACGGGTGTGGCGGGTTGAGCGAGGCGAGCCGGGACCGGAGAGACGAGTGACGGTGTAGTGGACGGTGAAGGGAGGTGCGCCGGTGAGGTGGAGGTTGGCGAGGACGCCAGTCTCCGAGTTGCAGACGTCGTGCAGAGGCGAGAAGGAGGTCGAGAGCGTCGGCGTTGGCTGGACGACGACGGTGCACTGCAGGAGAGCGGGTCAGCTGGACTCGAGCCACGGAGGGAGCGAAGCGAACGCACAGCATTCGGGACAAGGACCGCTCCGCCGCAGTACTTGCTCTTGACACTGAGGATCTCGTACGTGCCCGCCTGGTCGACCTCGATCTCCGCCCTCGCTCCACCCGTCGTGATTAACCTCGTCCATCCCTTCTTGCCCGCTTCCTCGGGCGTGAACTTGACCTGAACCTTGAACCTCGGTCCTTCCGCTCCCGCCGACCTTGCATCCGCCAACTCCTCGTCGATGTCCGACAAGCGCATCTGCAGGCGCTTCTTGCCGCCCTTGAGGAGGTGGACGTCCTCGCCCTTTGCGCATTCGCCGATGAAGGCGACTTCAGGCGGGCGGTGGACGACGACCGAGCGCGAGGGGATCGTCCCGTCGATGAGGAGGTGTCGAGACTTGCCGACGTCGATATACGAGATCTCGTTCCCGTAGCCGTCCTTAACCGAGTCGAGGTAGAACGTAGTCCGCCCTGGCCGGGAGAGCGAGACGTTGACTGGGACGGGCACGACCTCGTTCGCCGATCCCGCATGGACGATCCCCTCGAGCGCCTCGTCCCGCCTGAAGCCCTTCTCCGCATCACCCTCGCGCGAATGCCACTTGATGCTGAGTGGCTCACTGCCGCTTACGACAAGTCCGAGCGGCCAACTCGCGGCAACGCCCTGGTTAGGGACAAGACAGCGGTGCTCCTCCTCCTGTCCCTGGTACCCGAGCGTAGTCGGGGCAAGCGAGAGACCCGCTGAGGGACACCGAACGATCCGCGTCTCTTCGAAAGCGAGAACAACCGTTCCTGCGTCCGACGATGCTGATCCTGCTGAAGGCGGAGGCGAAGTTGCTCGTTTCCGGCGGATCTTGACAGTGTGGCCGTCCTTGTCGAGAACCGAGTCGAGACGAATCGAGCCTGTTGAGGAGATGGGAATGTAGTAGAGCGTCTCAGTCGAGGCAAGGCCGAAGGGGTCGGATGCGGAGGGTCGGGAAGGGGAAGAGTCGGAGGGAAGGCGATGGCGGAGCGCTTGGGAGGAAGAGCGCTGCGAAGAGGGGACGAGCGACCATTCTGCTGCGAGAGCGAGCTCGTCGTCCTCCTTTGACTGGATCGTCGATTCGCTGCCGCGGTGATGTTGCAAGGGATGCGCATGGCGGACGAGCGACGCAGCCGAGACAGTGTACTGATGAGATGTAGGAGGGTCGTCGAAGGAGGTGAGGTTGTAAGTGACTTTCGACGGCACGGTGTTGTTGAGAACGAGGGGGACGAGAGTCGGATCAGATTTGGAGGAGCGGGAAGGATGCCGGCAGTAGATGGTAGAGAGGGGGTTGAGCATGGCCGTGCTGCGCGAGCGTTCTTCAAGTCAGCTTCATGTCCTCGTGGAGCAGCAAGCTTGACGTACGAGACGGCGAGGATGTGGACGGTATACTGTCCACCAAGATGCGCCTTGTCATTACCGACAACAGCCGCTAGCCGCACCGAATGCTCGTCGGTCGACAATGACCGTGTCAAGAAGCCCTTGACGAGGGCTGGCATGAAAACGGACGCCGTGAACTGCGCGGTTGATCGAGGTCAGCCTGCGGAAGCGGAGGAGGAGGAAGTCGCGCGTACCGTCCACCGCCCGAACAGGGCATAGTCCAGCCCTACCAAGACCGCTCTCAGCATCCATCGCGCCTTCCAGCCCCAGTCTAGCCGTGGCACCCTGAGCCAAGCGACCGTCGTCACGAAGACCAAATCGACCGCAACCCACTTCCACAGCAGCCAGTTGAGCGGCAGCTCATCCGCGAGTATTGGCGGCGCATCGGACTGTGGTAGAAGTGCGTCGGCGAGCTTGTAGGCTGTGAGGAGGGCGAGGAGCGATGTCACAAAGAGGCGTTGCTGAGGGGCATCGAGGAGGTAGTTTGGGATGCGCGGTTGAGGTGGAGGAGGTCGCTCCTGCGCTTGTGGACCTGCTACCATCCCTGCAGCCTCTTAAATTAGCAAAGCAGCGCAGTCGGCGTGAGCGGGAGATGCGAACCGTCTCTTCATCTCTCCCGCTCATTTGCACCCGCTCAAACTCTCGCTGTGCGCCAGGATGAGCAGCAGCAACAAGCTCGTGCCTGAACAAGTGCTCCTGCTCGAGCAGGCGACGCTCAAGGTTTGTCCTCGCTCGCTTCTCTCCCCACCCGCTCGCTGACCGTCATCCCTCCCAGGCGCCGCTCGACAACCTCCGACGGCTGCAAAAGCAGACGCAGAAGACCTACGAACACAACTTGAACCCGTCGTCGACGTTCCAGAAAGACCTCGATGCGCTCCTCCGCTCCGCCGCCTCGTCGTCCGCTTCGCTCGACCCCTCGACACAAGCCGAGGTGCTCAAATCGGTCGACTCGATGCTCGCTCGGATGCGGACTTTGAAGCGCAAGCTGAGAGACTTGAAGGGCCAGAACGACAAGGCTGTTCGGGTTGTCCAGACTCGGCTGGACCACCTCGCTGCCTTGCCAGAATCAATGGACAGTCCCGCCTACAGTCCATGGGCGCGCAAACGCCTCGCACACCAACTGGTCGACTACTTTCTTCGCTCTACGCCGCCGCTGAAGGAGAGTGCGAGGGAGTTGGCGCGCGAGGAGGGCATCGAGGAGTTGGTCGATACGGAGGTTTGGGACGAGTTGGGACGGGTTGAGAAAGGGTTGGAGGAGAAGAGGCTCGATGAGGTGCTTGCGTGGGTCGGGGAGAACCGCACGGCACTCAAGAAGCTCAAGGTGCGTAGCGGTACGGTCTCTTTGCAGACTCGCGAAGCTGACGACTCACGCCGCGCAGTCCCCACTCGAATTTACGATCCACCTCCAAGCGTACATCGAGCTGTGCCGCGCACGAGACGCGGTCTCGGCGATCGCCTACGCGCGGAAACACCTCTCTCCCGCAACTGCCGCCGAACTCGAGACTTCGGGCCCGTCGGGCGACGAGGGCGCAGATGGCAGCGGAAAGGGCTCGTTGATGAGCGAGTTGAGTAGGGCGATGGCGTTGCTTGCGTATCCGCCCGACACGACGTGCCGAGTCTACCAGGTGCGTTCCTTGCTCCCTTTTCCCTACTCCTTCTCGCTCACCCGCTCATCGCTCGCGGCGCAGGACCTCTACTCACCTCTTCGCTGGGCCCACCTCCGCTCCCTCTTCCGCACGACCTTCCTCACGCTCCACTCACTCCCCTCGATCCCCCTCCTCCACATGTCGCTCCAAGCAGGCATCGCGTCGCTCAAGACTCCCATCTGTTGTCCCGTACCGAGTGGGACGAAAACTGCTCCGCCGAGTGCGTGGCCGTTGGGTGGAGTCAAGGGGCTGAGGACGAGCATCACGCCGGACGGGGAGATTGTCTTTTCCACCTCAGGCGGGTCGGGTGCCGATTCGCCGTCCCTCACCGGGACGAACGGGGCGACCCAACCCCCGGTCCACACCCTCGAAGGTTCACCCTCCCCAAACTGCCCGCTCTGTTCCTCCCCGCTCTCAGCACTAGGCCCGGACGTCCCCTACTCTCACCACGTCAACTCGACGATCGTGTGTGGGATCACGGGGAAAGTGGTTGAGGGCGATGGAGGAGAGGGAGGACAGTTGGTGGCGCTCGTTAGTAGGGTTACGGGTGAGGGGAGGGTGTATTCGAAGGAGGTGCGTTGCGCCGTCTCTCTCTCTTCTTTCGCCTCACCTCTTCGCGCCGCTGGGAATGGTGGGCTGATGAGAAGTTTGTGCTTCGGCGCAGGGACTCGCACTACGCGCGTCGCAGCATCCCGAGGGCAAACTGATCGACCCCGCGACGGGCGAGGTGTTCGAGTGGGACGAGTTGAAGAAGGTGCGTTCGCGCGACAGCATTTCTCTTCTCTTGCAGGATACTGACGCTGGTTGTGTCGGTGGACGCAGGTGTTCATCTCGTGATGCTCGCTCCCTCGTCACACGACACACTCCTCTCTCCTCTCCTCCTCGCTCTTCTCGACTCGCCTCCATTTCTTCGATCCGTTGTTGTCGCCTCTGCTGCTCGTCTCTCTCTCTCTCTCATGCAACGCTCTCTCGACCCTGTTCGCTCTCTTCGGATAGACACCGAGCCGCTCCTCCTCTTGGCCAGGATGAGCTGATAGGACTCTGAGTTTGCGAGCGAGATGGGAGCAGCTGACCCAATGGATCCACGGGCGGAGAGGAGAGGGGCTCTGCTTGTGTGCGTCATGGAGGGGAGTGAGCGGGGCGGAGCAGAGAGGGGTGAGCGATGGCTAGGGAGCAAGCAGGAGGAGTCGACAGAGTTGATAGAGCTGCAAATTGCAGAATACGGGTGGTGCTTATCTCCTCTGTAATGCGGAGTAGAGCTCTGGGGTAAGGAGAGCTGGAGCCGTGGCGTTGTCGCCGAGGGCGCTCCTGCTCCTCTCTTGTCTTCTCCAGCTGCGAACCCCCCTCCTCCCCTTCCTCCCTCCCTCTCCCAGGTCACACAGGTGCACGCTGAGCCAAGGTACGCAGCCCACCCACTCCCACTCGCCTTGCCCGCACCTCGAAGCGACACCCTCGACCTCGCCAGCCAATCACACCGCACCGCCCAACTCGCACCCCTCGCTCACACACGGCGATACTGACACTGTTCTACGACGCAATGCAGCTCGCGAACCTCGACTTGACCCAGGCGAACCCAACCCCCTCCCCTCTCCCCTCCGCCCGCCCGCCGCCGCCGCCAGCCTTGACCCGCCAGCAACCCCCTTCGCGACCGCCTCGTCTCCCCCGCGTCCATACACCCACCCACCGATTCCCAAGGGGCTCACCTATCTGCGCGACTACGAGTCTGCTGCCTTTGGTGCCCGCTCTTCTCCCTCTTGCGTGCGTTGGGACCCTCGTTCAGTCCTCCTTGCTCGGACCGATTCCTTGTCTCAGCCCGGAGCCGTGCCTTGAACGCATTCGGGGCGCTGTTCGTCGGCGATCTCTTCTCGCACGACCACGACCACAACCACGATGAAGAGCGTAACGACGAAAGTACTGACAACGTCTCTACACGCCATGCAGAACCCGCCTCACCCCGCCTTCCACTCGCCTCCAAAAACCCACTCCCCGCTGTCCTTCTCACTTCCGGGCAACTCCCCCTGCACGACCCACTCGCTCTTATCGCACGGCTTTCTTGACTGAAAGACGCGCACACCACCACCATGACCGCCCCGCAAGACCACCCCTACGGCTTCTCGCCCTCGGCCGCCTCGGCCGAATTCGACGACCAGTTCGACCCGCTCCAGTTCGACGACGACGAGTACGCGCTCGACGGCGACGATGCAGACGACTGCTTCGGCGCGCTCGGCGGGTCGTTCACGACCTCGGCGTCGGCCTCGTCCGTCGCTTCTTCCCAGGCTGGAGGAGGAGGAGTCGGCAAGAAGGCGCGCGCCAACAACCGCAAGGGACCGCACAACGCCGACAAGCGCGCGACGCACAACGCCGTCGAGCGCAAGCGCCGCGAGTCGCTCAACACGCGCTTCCTCGACCTCGCCAAGGCCCTCCCGACCATGCAGCACATCAAGCGCCCTTCCAAGGCCGTCATCGTCACCAAGGCGCTCGATTACGTCTACGACTCGCTCTTGAGGGAGCGCGCTCTCGTCGAGGAGAACAACCAGCTCCGCGTCGAGGTCGATGCGCTCAGGGCCAAGTTGGGACTGCCGAGTCTTCCCCCGCCCAAGCCCCTCCCCGAGTGCAGGCCCGCGACGCAGTCGACTTTGAGGAGATCGAAGAAGGTCCTCATGGCCGGCTCGGCGCGCAAGGAGGACCTCGTCCCCGTCGCCGTCAAGCAGGAGCCCGCTCCAGCTTCGGCCTCGGGCAACCTCCCCACCCCGCCTACCGCCTCGCCCTCGACTCCGCCTATCCCGTCGCCCGCTTCGTACGCGCCCGCTCTGAGCGCCAGCCCGTCCGCCGCGTCGATCCCGTTCGACTCGACGCAATCGACGCAGCAGCAGCAGCACCAGCACCAACCTCCGACGTTCCCCCCTTCGCTCTTCGCCAACACCGCCGTCCCAACTTCGGCAGCGGACCTCACGGGGCCTCTCACCTCGCCGCTCGACGCCGCCGCCG